CACGTGACTTGTAACATAGTTCTTCCGTTCCTGAGTGAATCCCTGTTGTTCCCGTGATCCTGCAGTACAAATGTCCTGTCCTAGCCGTTCGACGCCCAAGTGGGTCGGTTAGCTGTTATCCTTGCATAACGGGTCGTAACAAGGTAGCAATTTCCCAGAGTCCTCACCTGGCGTAAAAGTGCAGCATGCAAGCCGCACAGAGCTGCAAGAGAGGACATAAGCGACGGTGAAGCTGGCCCGCCAAGTTTTCGCCTTCCCAGACGTCACCTGACTAAGCTGGTGGGATGAAAAGCTAATCTCTCTAGGCGCCGCGTGTGATGTCGGATTCACGAGGGGGTAATCCGCTGACACCTCATCATCAGAGTCCAACCAAGTACATTAAATATTTTCAGCGTCGTCGCTTTCCTGCTTATCGGTCGACCGAACAAATAATGACCATGGAGACGACTGCCAAGCTCGCCGTCCTCATCGACGCCGACAATGCCCAGCCTACTGCGGCCCCCGCTCTGCTCGCTGAAGTCGCCAAATATGGCACCGCCTTTGTGCGACGGGCCTATGGTGACTGGACCGGCACCAGCCTCAAGGGCTGGAAGAACCAGCTCCTCACACAGTCGATCCAGCCGATTCAGCAATTTGCATACACCCAGGGAAAGAACGCGACGGACACCGCTATGTTAATTGAATTGATGCTATGGACCTACTCTACACGAACCGCTTCGATGGTTTCTGTCTCGTTTCCAGCGACAGCGATTTCACACGGCTAGCAGCGCGCATCCGCGAGTCCGGTCTGGTTGTATACGGCTTCGGGGAGCATAAAACGCCCAAGCCCTTCGTCTCAGCATGCGACAAGTTCATCTACTTCGAGAACCTTGCCTACGATGAGCAGCTTGCAGTGCCACAAGAAAGCGCCGCCATTGTTGAACCACTCGACCAAGAAGCCTCTTCAAGCACGGTCAAGAGTGACATCCCCCTGGAGAGACTGTTGCGAATGGCGGTTGAGGCCGCGTCGGACGATGAGGGATGGGCCAATCTGGCCAAGGTTGGCGCACACATCACCAGGCAGTTTCCGGATTTCGATCCACGCAGTTTCGGATATCTCAAGCTTAGCGATTTGGTCATTGCTACCGGTGTGTTCGATATTGATCGTCGCTGTCCTGGAGAGGGCAAGGCGACGGTCATCTACGCGCGCGCCAAGCGCTCGAAGCATGTAAACGATGCCAGAATGACGAGTCCATCGGAAACCCTCATCTAAGTCACTATGTGGTGGTCAAGGAGACTAGCCTGGGTTGGGGTGAAGGAAAAGAAGGGTCCTCATGTTTCCTTTTAGTCATAAAGTCTACCATGAAAATCTTGGCTGACTCTACCACATCTTCTTGACCAAGACATATTTCGATGCATTCGCGCCGATATCGAGGGGAAAGGAAACTCATGTCAATGCAGAATTCCGCGACTACCTATTGAGTTACATGCCTGATCAAAATGGCAAGCTGTATTTGCAATTGCTCCCAGGAGAGGAAGGTGCGTTCAATCAACTGTGTCCGAGCTAGGTAAGGTACCTAAGCATTGAACGGGCAGGATTGACCCCGTCTACGTAGCAACATTGAATGCGATATTGATGCCGCCTAGAATGCAATATACTAGGCCATGAAAAAAACAAGTTAAAGACTCGTTAGGATCAAGCGCGCACTAGTATGCCTGAAACCTTTAGTCACCGATCAAGATTCACTAACAATCACGATACGCATACGCCACCCATTCGAATGGGAACATACATCAGGGCTTCAACAGATGTAATGCATTCTAATTTGAGGACGCATAGCACTTGTGGTAAGACCATTTGTTAAACCATCAGAGATGCTGTTCTGCAATTCCAGTGGTACACCATCACAGATTTCCTCCTCAAATAATAGGATCAAACGTCCCGACGATCGACAACGCGACGAGGAAGACCAGAAACACCCCAAGGACACAGGTCTTAAAATCCGAGGCCATATTCTCTTGGATCTCTTGATCATCGAAGTTGTAATCAATGATGCAAAATCCCTCATGAAGGACGGTCAGATTTTGTCCGTTGGTCAACAGGCAGATTTCCCTGAAAATCCATTGGGACAGCATAGGATTTGCCGGGGTGAAGAGGTACTGGGGGGGTATTTCACACCACTGAGAGCAGTTGTTGTGGACGTGAACTGGGTTTGGGTAGCAACATGCCACCATCTGAGGATCGGTCGCGCCGGGGCTGGGTGCCAAGAGGGCTGCGGCAGGTGTTTTGTTCCGCCATTCAGGTAATGAGGGGATCATCTCCAAAGAGCATGAGCCATTAGGGGAGGCCATTTGACAGAATGACTGCAAAAAGAATAGCGCGTGGATTTCGTAGACTAGAGAAGCAGGCCAAGAGGATGTGTTGTTGTAATGGCTTCCAGTAGACGCAGTTGCTGGCAGAGAGGATGACCAGCCAAAATATGAGTTAGACGATGGCGGGATAGGTGACTGATATAGACCAAGGTGCGGAGGCCTAGGGCAACTGTGAAGGTAAGGGAACTGGCGCCCGGGAATGTAGTAAGGTTGTGTCTGAGGCTTCGCCAAGATGGATTTCGCCAAACATTGCTACAGATGGTGGCTTTGTTTGAAAGTATGTATGAAATCTGTGGCACTTGCTCATTCTCCCTGCAATAATTCTGTTTGGAGACGTCTAGAACATGCTATAGATGCGATTGTTTGGTTTCAGTCAGTTATGGTCACAATTCTGTCTCAAACCCTACTTGCAGTGGCAGGCAGAGACAACTAGCCCCACCAAGACGGCAAAGTTAGCCCGATAGCGGCATGGCATTCCATTTGAAATGGGAGAGGAAATGCGAGTGATGACTGTCTGAGTTGCCTGAGTTTTCTTCTTACAGTGGTGTAAAGGATCATAAGATTAATACTTCAAGCTCACTTTCTCATATGGGCATCTTATGGCTCTGAACCAGTGTATCTCTATTTGATGTAGGGTTTCTCATTTGTTTCTTCTTTTTGCATGTCTACTATATTGGCCTGTTAAGGCAGTAGTGTAGTAGAGGTTGGCAGAAACCACGAGAACTGAGTCCCTTATCTGCCACAGTCTACACGAAGAGTCAAACATTCTACAATCCTTGTCAAAGCTGCCTCCACTGAATTGATGTTGAGTTGTTTCGAGACTTAAAGAGATAAACCAAAACGGGTAATGAAATGGCAGTAGAAATGACAGCGACAAAGACGACAACGAAGAAGACAGCGGAAACAAAGAATAGCGAAGGATAACAAGACCCTGAACTGCCTTCCCAGTTCCCTTTAGGAAGCCACCGAGTCAGAAGAAATCTTGACTATGGAGTGAACAGTGTCTGATTGAAGCTGAAACCTATCTGGACTAAGAAGTGAGAAATGAAGAACTCGTGATTGGGTGGGTTTTGGTACATAGCCTTGTTAACATGATAGATCATGCATCTGACCAAACAAATTTCGCATGTGGTCTGCTCCTTGTTCAACGCTACAAGTATTCATGTGTGAAAAGGCATGAAACCAATCGAAAATGACTCAAATGACGATGGATCTTCTCTTCAATGGGATATTTCCCAAAAGCTCATCGGCCTGAGCATTTCTTGCGTCAGGTTCAGCAGCCATCAACAAAGGACCAAAAGCAGCACTGCAAAAGGAAACATTGAGACAGTCCAAACCGACTTTCGTGACGCCGGAGGTTGCATGGGTCCTAAACCATTTTGATTTTCGTCCGTTCTCAAATATAAACTAAAAATCCTTGTGGCAGCCCAGCATATGTATAAAAGATGCTGCGTCCGCATCCTAACTCGTAGACTCTGCTTCGTCGAACAATGCATGGCGCCTTCAGTCACCCTTACCGAGTTTGTCCGCAGGCAAATTTGGAGAGTTTTTTGATAGACGGGTCGATCGTAACATCACTCGGTCAACTTCCGGCTGTGCCAAACTTGGGCACCGTGAAGCCGACTGCGCTCAGCCAATGAATGGCAGCGCTTCAGCCGCCCGGCTAGCTCAATCGGTAGAGCGTGAGACTCTTAATCTCAAGGTTGTGGGTTCGACCCCCACGTCGGGCTCAATTCCCGTCAGCGGTTGACAAGCGTACTCTTTTTGTTTTTTCCGCTTTTTGGCAATTGTTCGTTCTCCCATGCAAGCATCTTGCTCATCGATTATTTTCCACGCGCGTGCGTTAGCATCTCGTACGACACGGCATTTGATAAAGTTCTTTCTATGTGTCCACTTAATACATGGGTTGGATCAAGAGATTGACTTATGGAGCTAATATTTACCTTCTCTGTCCCAATCCTACTTATATTTAATGATCCTTGACCTTCACTGGTGTGTTCCATCTCCCGCCCCGACGTCTTAGATTTGCTAAAGTGGGCATCCGCTATGAAGATACCAGTGGTCATCGAAATGCGTTGCGTCTCTTTAGAAGGGATTGTCTTAGAGAAATTATATCCTAGGATGATGCCTTCCGCACAGTGAGGAATTCTTCGGACAACGCTTCGAGCAGTATGACTGGCTCAAAGTAGAAGCTGGTTGGCCGTATTTTTCAGAGATAGCACAGTACTCCAGTCCGCGAGGCATCCATCTCTCCAGATGTAGACGAAGCTCACACGCTTCTCGACATATGTGACCTGGGTCGGCCAAGCGACGCCCTTGCCTCGCTGAAAGAGAAACGGAGCCGTGTCGCTTTCTGTGTATCGCATAGAAGTGGTGATTGGTCAAACCCAAGCAAGTGCTGTCGACTTTATGGAGAAAGTCCAGTATACAAAGATATATATCAGTTGGAAGGCCGCTGAATGTCAGGCTCGTGCTCAGTGAGAGATTGTCGTTATTTTCTGGTATGTCTTTTGATACCAATAGGTTCGGAAGCATTGAGATGGGGTGGTTGTGATGAACACTGAGGGTTCCACTGTTGTGCATCGATTCAAACAACACACTACTGCCGCAGTGACCTTCAAGATTCTTTGACTGATCCATCTAGGTGAATTGAGACATCAAACAAGTTGGGTAAGATGATAATGGATGTGTTACTGGATGAAAATTTTTTAAAGTTCCGCAGGTTTGTGAGACTGCTGTCGTCGTGGCCAAAAAGGTGCCAACTTTGATATTTGTGAGCAACACTGTACACAGATACATGGGAAACAAGAACGACCCTTTAAAACAATTATGACCGTAGACCTCGCTGGGCTGCCTTCGACTCACCGAAAACGATTCCGTTACCCCGCATCGTGTAATTCGTGGGTGTATGTCAGGGCAAAACACACGATGAGGCGTCGAGGTCTTGGCCCAATGGCAGTCACGATAGTTGTACGCCCAACTATCACGTGTGTAAGCCCACGAGACCCATCCAGCTCGCCACCACAATGGCCTAACAGAAGGTCTACGTGTAAAAGGAGGCTCTGTCGGTAATATCGTGAGTTTTTACAACAATATGTAAAACATCACGATAATTCGCCGGAGATGCCAATGATCAACCAGTAATACTTCCTAAGGCAGAACTATCATTATATACATACTGCAAGGTTGGTTCCACGAACCAGGAGTATCGCCGCCGCGGGATGAGACAGGCGAGTGGTTGTGCGAGATCGCCACCTTTGTATCTGCCGGAGAAGGCTAGCGGTCCCCGCGCCCGGTTGATATCGTGTAACATCAACGGCCAAACGGAGGGCGAGGCTTCGTCGGCACACATGACCTCTTCCTGAGCTAAAGTACCCCACACTGAAAACGCCTTGGAAGTGCACTTTGAAATGTGAGTTGCGATACACGATGTATCAGCCGCAGCTCTGTTGCGTGACGTCTCAAAAGTCCTCCGGGCGCTTGTAGAGGCGTCTGCGAGCCTTTATGACTTCATCTCCCGTCATCCGAGACGTGAACACTCCGACAAGCTCGTAGCCAGCCATGTTGATCTCCCTAATTGATTTTCTAGGGTTGTAGATGAACGTTGTTTCTCCAAAGAATCGCACCGCAGAGGGCTTGCGTTCTCTCGGGTGACTTCGCGATGACTGGAAGTATCTCCTGTTTGCATCCTCGGCTGTGACGCGTCGCTCGTACTCTGTGACTTGCCAATTACGCATGTCTTCGAGATATCTTGTGCGCGGCACGCCCTCCTCGGCTTCGCGGGATTCGTGATCTGCAGGACGAAGGGTTAGCGTGTTCAATGGAAGGAGGGGCCAAGGAGGCGAGAGACACACAAAACAAGCCGCCGGACTCGGTGCCCCAGTACTTTCGACTCGTGAGAGCCTTATTCTTGAGACACGACCGACGCGGTGTCGTGGGTGTATAAATGCGGTAGCATGCCATCGTCGCAGCAAGGGCAAGATGTGGAGAGGAGAAAGATGGTGAAGATTTCAGGAAGCTGGAGGCTTAATGACGCAAATTTGGGCTTTGCGGGGAATGCAAGGACGTAGAACAGTTGGCTTTGATTCAAGAGAGAGAAAGAAGGATTGATTTCTGGAAGTCGTTGTTTTGGCGCGGTTGACAATGACGGATTGTTCGCACAAACAAACGCTACCGTGGTTTGGACAGCAACAACTGGATTGTTCCAGAGATCAAAGAAAACTGAGAGAAACTCTGAGCTCGCGAGACAGAAAAAACGCGTTTAAGTAATTTTATTTGGCTGATCGCTCCCACCGTGCTCGACGGGCGCGTCAAGTGAATTGGGAATTGCCTCATTCAGATGGAATCGAGTCAGCAACTCTACTTCCGTCCCAGCTCCCGCAGAACATTGCCATAAGTAAATGCTCAACGCTTGAATTCAAGTGCCCTTGCGCTCATATCTTCCGCTCCTGTCATTCCCATCGCTAACGAGTTCACGGTCACCCGGACATTCCCTTAAAACCAGTCAGATGGTGACAATCAGACGGTCTCTTCAACAGCTTGATCTGCACCCCAAGCGAAGTCTTCATACCCTTGGGCGTCTCTGCCAGAGGACCGCTTTCGTTCGTCGCCTTGCGCTCCACGTCCACCTCATGGAGATCATCAATCCATGCTACTAAGCGGTCTTCTTCCTCGAGCTGGAGAAGCTCGTGATATTGAGGCGTATCCGAAAACCTTACGCGGGTTTCCCTGGGCTTTTTTTGAATATCGGTATACTTGTCGAGGAAGTCTGCATTTGCATCTTCGACAGCACATCGTCGACGGTAGGCCATCACCTGTTGATTCCTTCTGTTTTGGAGAACAAGACGTGGGTCCAGACCAAGCTGCTGCTCTGATGATCCAGCATCTGTATTCCAGTTAGTGAATGACGGCTTTGACTTAGTTTTGAAAGGGGGCTTACAGTAGTAGCCCCATCCCACTGTGGCTACAGGACTCTTCCCCAAGGGAAAGTCGACAGCCGTTGTTTCAAGTGAGTGTGCCATTTGGGCAAGCCTTTTGGCGATGAAAGTTGTGACAATGCCAAGCGATGTAGCAAACACGATGGTATAGATCATGCTTGCACAACGGCAAGTCGTCTTTGCGTTTTTGAGGTGTGCGTTGGTGCTGTAGCGACTGGAAAAGTGATTTGGATGGTGATATGAAGATCAATGATAGAAGCAGGATTGTTTGGATTGTTTCGATGGACATTAAAAGGCTGGATTCCGAGACAAACGATCTGAGGCACCCTTCGACCCAGCGTTGTAAATACAGGTTCATGTTGCGCTTCATTTCTATCTTGCAAAATCTGATTTTTGAGGAGTATACTAGCGGATCCATGGTCATCGCAGAGGTTAATTGCAGTGCAGCCCAATCATTTGCGGCATGGACACAATGGTGTCGCGCTGAAGAGCCCGCATCCGAACAGGTCACGGACTTGACGCATCGGAAATACGTGGGCGGTGCAAGCATAACTTCGAATCATTGCTCAAATTAAGACTCAAAAGAAGTGATCGGGAGGTCTCCTAGCACAGCATACCTTCCTGCTTGTGTGTTCTTGTTGATCAACCTGTCTTTATTACTGCGCAAGAGTAGCTTCATTGTTAATCGGAGATTTGGTAGCAAATTGTATCTGTAGAAGGTGCCTATTCACAAGTACCAAGATGGGGTGATCTCTGATGAGCGTGAAACCGCTACGGGTAAGAAATCAATATGTTGAGTTGAATTAATGCTTCACAGGGTTTTGGTTGAGGTCGAGTCTTCTTGGGTTTTCATTTTTTGAAGAATTCTTTTGTGAATACTTGTATGACCAGGGATACATGAGAGGTCCCCCTTACTCCAACCACCCCCTACATATCTAGTAAACTACCCTCAACTACTGCCCCATCGAGCTACAGTGCTGCCTTGAGTTCCGCCAACAGGCTCTCTTGCTTTGGATGGTTCAACCGGTTTACTTCGCGATATTGGGGCTTCTTGGGTTTTGTCAGACGGTTGTTTGTCATCAAACTTAGCAGCAAAGGATATGGCAAAACTCTCCATTAGCGTTAGCAACGAAAATGTTTGTCTACGCGTCGACTGCAGTCGACTATGAATAGGTTACAGAACTTGAAGGCCAAATAAGCTTCTTTCGGAGCCATCAAGCGCTGCCGGTGGGAGCCGTAACCTTCGGCCTCGTTTCTGCCGACCGCCGAATTGCGATCATAAGCTATTAAATATTGAGCACAAACCAGGGCCTGATCGACGCTCACACCATGCACCCCGTCGCGAAACAGAACATGGCCATTTCCCGTTCGGTCCTTGGCCCCCAAGATCAATCACGTTCGCCTTGGCAATTTCTACATCATGGCGGCTTCTGGCGATGGGGTTGCATCGGCTCTGGGATTGAGCTCGTATCTGCCGAATGAGGGGTTCTGGCATGCCAAGGCGGACTAATTCAACACTTTCTTGTCAGGACCGCTCTCCACAATTTGGTCTCGGGAATCTTGTGCTTCAGCCCGAAGTCAATCGGCCTTTTTCAGGCGCAATAGAAAATGACAAGGCAGTCAGTAGGTTGGAGTGCAGAATGTCCCGACTTGCTAGCGATGCCAGAGGCAACAACGCAGAGTCATGAGATTAAAAAACGCGGGGGATGGCGGATCGTGCAGGAGCCCACTTAATAGAGTCTGCCATTCCATACGACTGGTCTAATTATCTGCCCCTGATAATGCGTGCGGTCAATTTAAGAACCGAGAGCCTAGACACCAAACCCGATGCTTCCAGACTCAAGAACCTTGCCTACACTTTGAGTCGAGAGATGAACTTCGGATGGCGTTCTTCTCCTCCCGGACTAAGAGTGGGACTTTGACTTCGTGAGACAATCGTAAGTGGCTTAGGCCTGAAGTAAAAGATTTTGTCAATTTGAGACGTTTCCCCTGGATGGCGACATATTCACCGTACTGCCAAGGATTCATATTTCGTTGGATAGAGTGTCACGCTTCTCGATCTCTGCGAGGCAACTTGAGAGCCGAGCCACATCCGTCATTTAAAGGCACGAATCGGAGAGTGCAAAAGAAGAAAGAAAACAGGCTTACTCTGTATTCGGCGGACTCGGGTTTCATTCGCATAGAGAGCTGCCAGAAATCAACGACCACGACAGCCAAACAAGCGCTGCTGGACCGCCAATGAGCGATGCCAAGCCCCCAAACTGGTGTAATGCCAAGAGTCAACATGTGAGCCAAGGTACGGAAGTTTCAAAGGCATGAATCAGGAAGGTCAAGAATTTAGAGTAAGCAAGCCACCAAGAACAAACTAGCAGCTCATCTGTCTGTTTGCCCCTGTGAAAGTTCCATTCGTGTAGCACTCGACCGACCTGGGCGCCCTAGACTGGCGTACAGCTCGTGAACACCTGAGTGACCCCGGGTGGTCCGGAGTCCACGGTGAGCAGCGCCGAGCCGCGCCCAAGCTCGTGGCAAATGAATGCGGAGGATGCATTGCCGGTTCAAGGGGCCGGCCCAATTTCGTCCTCCAACGAAAGTGCTCCTTACGGGCGCATCTGCTGAGACTGGTGCGCATCTGGGGAAGACAATTGTGCGTCTTCGCCGTCTCCACTAGATCGCAAAATGATATAAACAAGCCGCCGTGTCGTTTCCCGGAAGTGGGCAGAAAGATCATCACCCACGATCCTTCACACCCCCTTACCTTTCAGCCGTCTGGAATCACTAATACAATGGCCAAGTTTTTCATTCTCACGGCGGTGCTGGCGCTCGCCTCATCCGTCGCCGCCCAGTGCGGCTCCGGCACCCCGGACGCCCGCGTCACCGGGTCCGGAAGCTCCTTCACGGCCACCAAGGGCTCAAGCAACGTCTACACCGGCTCCGACTACCGCGCCGCCATCCAAGCCGCCCTCGACTCCATCTCCTCCGGCCAGCGTGTCTCCGTCATCGCCTCGGGCTCCATCGGCGCCAATACCATCACCATCGCGAGCGGCAAGATCTTCGAGGGCTGCGGCACCATCAACGTTGCCACTCGCTCCGGCCGCGGCGCCATCGAGTCTACAAACACCCAGGGCGTCCAGATCCCCTACCTCACGATGACGGGCAACCCGTACTTCGGACTGCGCTTCAGCGGAACAAAGGATCTGACCCTTGGCGCAATCACGATGAACCTCAGCGGCGGCCTCGGCATCCGCTTCGACCGTGACTTGGCCGCCAACTCCAACGTCAAGATGGGCGTCATCCGCGTCACCGGCGCCGGCAGCCACGCCGTCGAGACCTGGAACATTGACGGCCTGACCATCGACCAGGTCATCGCCCGCAACGTCGGCGAGTCCGGACTGCTGCTCCAGAAGACGACCAACGCGCGCGTCGGCCTCGTCGACGGCAACAACGTCGGTGCCGGCACCGGCTACGGCACCCTGCGCTTCGCGAACAACAACGGCCAGAACCCCAACGGCAACTACAACACCAACGTCTACATCGACAAGGTCGTCTCCCGCGGCGGCGGCCGTGGCGTCTTCTGCGTCTCGCAGTCCGGCGCCGCCGTCATCACGTCCGTCGACCTCGCCAGCAACGGCAACAACGCCATCCTCATCGAGAACTGCTACAACCTCTCCATCCGCGGCGGCACCGTCAACGGCGGCGGCGAGGTTCGTCTTGCTGCGCGCTCCGAGTTCCCCAACAACCGCGACATCTGGATCACCCTCAAGGTCGACGGCACCACCGTTCGTGAGTCGCCCTGTGGTGAGAACACCAACTGGACCCTCACCGGCAACGGCGCGAGGAACATCTGCTAAGCGCAGGGATACGCAAATCGGGTGTCTTCATTTCATTAGTACATTATTCCTTTTTTGGCTTCGAAGCCATTGTCCATAATTCCTTTTTGGCTCTTGGTGGTGCTCGGTCGCACCAAGAGGCTGCAAAAATACTGAGCGGATCATTCTTTGTGACGGGGAGTAAACGTCTGGCTGGAGATCGAACATGAATTTTGCTAGTCAGAATAAAAGGTTGCTGCCACTGAATCAGCATGCTTCGCTTCCGTCTTCGGGTCTCTTCCCGCTGTGGGGGTTTGATGTGTTCTCCAGCGAGTTGCACCAATCATCGTCATCGAGTCTGTGGACATGGTGGATTTAGTGTCGGTCATCTCGGGCCGAAGCCTAAATCTCCCACTTGCGGTGGATCCTTGAATCATTTCAAGCTTCACAGTGGTCGCTGAGACCACAGAGTTGCATCTTTGAACAGCATCCGCGCGGGAAAGATGTTGGCTAACCTCGTAAATCCACCGCCGGCAGAACCTGGCGTCATTCCTGTGCATGCGCTCAACGGAAATGTTGTCGATCACAGCTGAACAAGGAAACATTAAGCACCACTCACGCTCTCAACTGTCAAATCGTCGTAACAAGCTTACAGGGCCTTATGGCAGCCGCCGGGGACTCTCCGCATCTACTCCGCACGACCATTCAAAAACAACATGGACGTTGCGCCATGTCAACCAACATACCTCGGGTCTTACCAGCCTCCGCGACCGGGCAAGGTGTTTAAACTTGCCTCATTCGGCAGTTCGAATTTTCACATCGCTATGAAGGTCGTCTGATAAACCCCAGAAAGCAGCAATCAGCTGGTTTGGGGCCCCGCGATGAGACAGCTGAGGAAACTGGGTCAATCCGTGTTGTTCCGACGCGACGTTCAATCCATATAAGACTTCATGATGCCAACTTTCATGATATTTTCTACACGCGCGATAAGGCCCGTTTGTTTTTGATAGCCTTTGAACCCGACAGGCAAGATGTTGGCCCGGATCAAGAATGATCCCCTCTACCAGGACCTCAACTGGCGCCTGATGCTCATCGGCTGCGTCGCCAACCTCGGCGCGATGGGCTTCGGCTTCGACAATGGTAACTTGAAACAAAGTGGGAGGAGAAATACTGAAACTAACAATGACAGGCTGGTGGGGAGGTGCGCTCGGCCTATCGCAGTTCCAAAAGAAGTATGGCGAATATGACGACGCTCTCGGCCGGTACGCGATCCCCGCTACGAAGACGTCTGTCGGAACGGGAACGGGCTCGGCTGGTATCATCATCGGATGCATCCTCGCGCCCTTTGTCACTTCGAGGTTCGGTCGCAAGAAGTCCTTCTTGGTCATCTCTGCTCTGATGGGCACCGGCGTTGTGCTTGAGTCGTCTGCAGTTACGTCCTTCTGGCAATTGGTGGTTGGGAGAATTATGGTCTATGCGGGCATGGGACTGGCATCGAACCTGACGCCCATGTACCTGTCTGAGTGCTCTCCTCCGAGGATTCGAGGTAAGTTGATAGCCGATGAAAGCAAAAGATACCGAACTGACGGTAAACAGGTGCCTTTCTGGCACTCTACAGCTTCTTCCTCTCTTTCGGTGTCTTCATGGCTGCGATTGCAGTCTATTTGTCGCGCACTAGGAATGATCAATGGCAGTACCTGTTAGTATTCATACGGACTCAACGACTGCCATCAGTTGCTAATTAACAACACAGAATTGTGATCTTGTGCCAGCTCTTCGTCCCATTGGGCTACGTCGTCATGTACCCATTGATGCCGGAATCTCCCCGGTACCTCATCTACCGCGGAAAATACGAAGAAGCTGAGGAGGTTCTCAAGAAGCTTTCGAACCACCCCGAGACGATCGCACAAGAGGTCCAGCTCCTCAAAATCCAAGTCGAGGAGCAGCGCGAGCTGCACAAGGCCACATCTCTGAAGGACTGCTTTAAGGGCGTAAATCTGCGTCGTACAATCATTGCTATGAGCGTGCAGATTCTCCAGCAGGCGCAGGGTGTCTCGTTCATCCAGAACTTCATCGTCACCTTCATGCAGCAGCTTGGATTCCCCGACTCCCTGCGAACGAACGTCATGGTCACCGGATGCGGTTTCGCGGTGCACTTCATTACATTCTTGACTTTTGATAAGCTTGGTCGTCGACGATCGCTCTCTCTGGGCGCGGTGCTGCTTGCTGGCATGATGCTTGGTACCGGCGCCGCGACTGCGACCGGGTCTGCGGGCCACTACTCTTCGGCGGTTGCCAATGCTGCCGCTGCTCTCCTTATTCTCTGGTAAGCGAGGTTTCCTGGTTCAAGAGATTGTAGATCATTTTGATTGACCAAAAATTAGGTACTCGATCTACGGAATAACGTGGGGCCCCGGATGCTGGGTTGTCGCAGGAGAGATCGGCACCGGCCAGCTTAGAGAAAAGACTCTGTTCCTCGCGTCTATGGGCAGTTTCCTCACGTCGGTACCGATCAACTTCGTCAACCCCTACGTTCAGGCCAAGCTTGGCGGCGGTGTCACATTCATTTACGGTGCCTTCTCGGTTGTCGCAGCCATCTGGGTGTTCCTGATGGTCCCCGAGACGAAGAACCGCTCGCTGGAGGAGCTTGACGAGATGTTCCAGGCCAATGTGAAGACCAGGGAGTTCAAGAAGTACGTGTCGACTGGCTTGGGTGCCCAGATCACCATGGCGGAGGATAAAGGTGCCAAGAAGATGGAGCTTGAGCAGGAGGAGGATGCGTGAGCAGGATGTTGTTGTTCCAACTAAAGAGCAATGCCTGAAGGGAACCACCAAGCTTTGAAGGCATATCATGCGTTGGGAAGTTCTTACAGTTATCATCTTCTAGTGAGCGTGTAGCTATGGAAGGTTCGATTATCACCACCCTCAATTCGATGCAGCGCAACGAATAAAAATGAACCTTTCCATCCCCATGGGTAGAGAAAACAAAGCTTTTCACGGCGATAGGGGGATTACTGTGTGTTGAGCTCTATGCTATCTCTGAACAATTGAATAGTCTATCTATTAAATGAGGGAGGGCTTGGATCCATGTTCAGCGCGGACATGTTGGTGGCACTACAGTTAAGCCTCCTTCAACATTTCAATTGATTAATGGCATGAGTTCTCAGTAGATCGATCAAAACGAACCATTGAACCAGTTATCCCTTTTTCTACGCAGAGCGACTTTCAATGGACTCCAAATGTGGCCAAGACATTGAATTCCAACTGTCAAATTCTGTATCTCTTGGTTGGCGTTTTCCTTGTTGGTTCCCATTTCAGCGCAGAGACAACCTAACAAAGGCCCCATGCATGAATTTAAGCCCCCCAAAGCCCCCTAAAACCAGCTTTGTCTGTACATAGTAGTGTTCGCTCGGATCCTGTGAGACAAGGGTGGCTATTCCTTCCTGTTTAATATGGGGATGGGCAGGGCTTGCCGAGGGGGCCGGAAATTAGCACGATATCGGCCGCCGCTGACAGTGCCTCGACCGAGCTTTGTTACAACGTGGTCCCAATTAAAACACACCGCATCTTCAAACGCCGACGACAACGACCATCACCAGCGCAGCCCCCCTTAACTCGGATATCAAGCCACACCACATCCTTCAATAGTATTCAACAGGGGGAATAAAGTGCCAGCCACCCCTCGCCCGCTCTCATTCGCAACAGCCCGCGGGATTGCTTTTTCCCCCTCTTGCGCCCACAATGCCCGGCCTTCTCGCCACGGCGTTACAATCGGCAACCCTCAAAGCGTCCGCCAACTTCACGGCCCAGATCGTCAACCAGCACCGGCAGGGCGGCGCCGTGCCGCTCGATGTCCGGCGCATCTTTGAGTTCGCGACGTTCGGCTTCATCCAGGGGCACATGAACTACTGGTGGCAGCATTTCCTCGAGGACCAATTTCCCAACTCGGCCAGCAAGGCAGCGGCCAAAGCGGCGGCCTCATCGTCATCGTCTATCGAAAAGGGGGAGGAGAAGCCGGAAAAGCCGGAACTGCTAGTTGTCGGCGGACAGCAACCACCCGCGGGGAAAAACTACTTCAATGTCGCGCGCAAGGTCGTGGTCGACCAGACGCTGGGTCTGTTCATGATGAACTCGGCCTTTCTCATCATCACGTCGGCGCTGAGAACGGGGAGCGCGACCATCACGTACCAGATCTGGAGCGAGAGGATCTTCGACTTGATCAAGGCGGCGTGGAAGCTGTGGCCGCTGGTGGCATTTTGCAACTTCTGCTTTGTGCCTGTCGGGTACAGGGCGCTGGTGGGGATGACGGTCGGCTTCGCGTGGAACATGTTTCTCACTTTTTTTCTGTCATGAAAAAGGCTGGTGGAGGCGGGGCGGTCATCATTTGCATTTGTATGAAAAGGCATAGACTTTTGTTTCTTCTTCTTCAGCTACTGCATAGCCTGTATTACAAGACTTCTGGGGGTACAGCGGCTCTGTTACATGTACGGTTTCTACGGCAAGATATCCTTTTTCACAATTCATCATGAGCTTCAGTCTTCTCAGCGGCCTTCGCAGCCGTCGAAGTCGCGTCGCCAGGCTTGGGCCCCGGGATGGTGAAGACGATGCGGCGGTATGAGACCAAGGCGCCGTCCGAGACCTCGAGGATGAGATGCAAGTGCTTGTCATCGTTGGGGTGGCGGTTACGGCCCTCGGCGCGGAGGACTTCCTTCGACGGCATGGTGACGGTGATGATGGGCGAGGTCGTGTCGCTAAGTTCAAGCCTGCCAACATCCCGTCCGGGGCTGTTGTTGTTGGAAGAAGGCTCCAGGTACTGCCACCACTTGTACGTCAGGTCTCCTCCGTCCGGATCGCATGACTCCCTCGCATCTAGCCCAATCTCCTGCTCCTCCTTCACGATCATCTTCACGACCCTGCGGGATTTGTCCCCGTTGAGTACGACAACTGGAGGGTGAGGGGCCTCGGAGAACTCGTAGCTGCCGCTCCACTTCATACGCGCGGCGAAGTCGTTCTGGAACGCCTCGCGCCACCTCCACACAGTCGCCTGGGCGCTCATGATGGTCTTGCCCGAGTCCTTGATGACGTCCACGCTGTCCGCAAAGTGTCCCTCGCCATATGTCACCGGGCCGTAGCGACCTCCCCATGAGCCCCATTCAGGGTGCTCGGGATCCGACAGACCGTTAGGGATGAGGTACAGCAAGGAAGGCGTGTCTCCTTCGACAATGAAGTCGGCATCGGGATACTTCCCGCCCAGGGCGCTGACGCTCTGAATGTTCTCCTTGATCCAATCGGCCGCCACAACATCCTTGCTGGCGAGACTAGGGAAGTTGTAGTACTCCTCACCCGAGATTCCTCCCCAAGCAGCCAGGGCGTAGCGGTTGAAGTGGTGGATGCTGGCGATGAAGAAGAGTTGTGGGAAGTTTCTCCGGATCCAGGAGCCCGTGTTGTCCTGGTCGGAGATGCTGTAGGCGCGCAGCTTCGAGACGAACTTATCAATCTCGTCTTGTGACCTCGTCGCGTTGACGTGCCACAGCGCCTGAGCCAGGACGGACGCACCGCCCCAAACCGGAATCCAAAGGGGTTCGTCCGAGGCATCGACCGCCTTCACCAGCCTCTCGGAACCGTCGCTGTCCTTGCCCTCACCGACACCATCCATCCCATAGATAGGCAGTCCAGAAGTGATGAGGCTCCTCAGATAGCTGGCTTCGGGCCACCCGGATGCATGCTTCTCCAGGTTGGGCAGCACCTCCTCGTAGGCGTCGACGATGTCGTGCATCTGATCCGGGCGGGTGGTGTCGTTCAACCACACGCTCGTCGTAGCCACGAGACCTTCCACGCGGAGCTCATTGGAGTAGACGAGCAGTCGGACCAGAGACTGCGCGTCGTCGGGCTCATTGGCGATGTCGCTGAGGAGGAAAACGCGGGGCTTGTCGGGAGTTGCGGCCGTGCACTTCTCGGCGGCCAGGGTTGAGCCCACCGAGGACAGCAACACGGCTGCCGTTGTCAGAGTCCGCGGCAAGACCATGATGTTCAGCGAATATAATAGTGTCTTCTTGATCTTCCCACGTTCAGCAATTGTGATTGATATTTTTCAAACAAGTGAAAGTGCATTCAAATACGACGTGTGCCTTTCACTGTAACCACCGACGGCGGAAGCGAGCGCTTCAGATTACCCCTTTCGGTGGGGCGTAACATGCCTGTATGGGTCGATAGAGCCCCTCAGCTTTACGTCACCAGCATATGCCGAGCACGGCACACGGCGAGTTGGTTCTTGGGAAAAGAATTGGTCGAATTTTTTACCATAAATGTTTTCAAGGAAAGCTCAGTTCTCAATCGCAGTTGGAAGTGAAGCTCTGGGCGACTATTTCCTGACATGTTAACCGAGTCCGCGGGAATGACCCATGTTGCGCGGCAAGGGACTCTGGCGCAGTGTAAACAAAAGTGCCCGGACAGGGAGTTGATTCCGGAAAGACGGTATGACTGTAGTCGGTCTCCCTGAGTCGTCTATCGTAGATTCTAAACGACTGTGACTGGACGCAAATGTGATTCTCTATACGCCACTCGGTGTCCACGGGAAGCGCGCGATCGTCCGGTATCAAGCGTCCCCACAATCATGCTACACCCGCATCTGCATCTCTGGACTCACTTGCTCCCATTGCCTGCTAGGATGTCACTGTGTCGAAACAAATCCCGGTGCAAGCATTGATCGCCCTGCTCTTATTCACTGATAAATGAAATTGAAGTAGTTAGCAACACGAAGACTTCATGCCGAGCGGAATGAGATGGATATTGATGAAAGTAACGCATTATTATTGATCATTAATGAGAGGGGTAACATAGCGTCGCTCTAAGAAGTCTAATAACTCTGCTTTGGACTGTTGAATTTCATCCGTGGCTCATACGAGCCTATACCAGACTCTTTGGAATAATCGGTCCTTGCCGGGAAAGAGGAGGGGATTCTGGCACCATTGCCACTTCTCTGAAATCTAACAAGCTTTGGTGTCCCTGATATCCTCTGAACTGTTCTTCGTGATACAGTTGCTGGGGGCTCATAACATCTGAGTCAGTCGTTCCTGCTCTTGACGGTTGGCTGGGGTCGGTTACGTGAATCAAGTACGGTTTCCGGGTAGAGATGGAGGAAGTGTCGCTCCGTAGTAACAGTCTAGGAGTGAAGTGCTGGAAGAATTTTCTCAGCGTCGGCATGGAGCCGCAGATGATGAAAAGATTTGTTTCGACAAAGCTGATCATTCCAACGTCAGAATCCATAGGTGACATCAGAAGGAGTGGAAGGACGTACCTCCAGACGTTTGCGGGAGCACTATCCCACGACGGGTCGCTGCTTCTGAGAAGTTGTGGCAGGAGCACTAATTTGATGATGGAAGTCGATATCGTCCTGTGATGTTTAACCCATCAAATCTGACCAAACGCACCCCTGAAATCCACTCACATGGACCCAACTGCAAACATAGCCATGGCCCCCATCTTCTGGGCCATTCCCATCCGGAGACTGCATATCATCGGGATCGGCAAAACGAACAGCATAATGTCGGTGACAATATTTGCGATGGAGTTCGACATGTAGAGCGGATCGGCGTCGATGCAGGTGCCCCCAGATATCTTGATATCAAACCCCTTTCGTATGGGTTGGCACCGAACGATCATGACGAATGCGACACCCGCCGTAGTGGTGGCAACGAATAAAATCGAGGCCCAGACTGCAGCACGATACTTTTTCTGCGGAGAAAGTTGGAGGTATAGTACGAGAAGCGACAATTTGGCGAATCCATTACAAAGCACGAATAGAGGGCCAGCGACGTAGGTTATCTGGTGTGGCATCAGCTGCCTTGTTCACATGTAGTTGCAGGTCGTTGCGCGGGCTTTTCTCACCGCGAAGTATGTTTGGAATCGCGATAACGGCATCTCCCATGCGTGGGCACACATGCCTCCGGCAGCTATCGAACCTGATATCATCATCTTAATTAGCAGTTCTGGTTGTTGAACAATATCATGACTCACCGACGTATGCCGCCTGAATAGTGACAGATGCCATCTGTCGGGTACCATCATCAACCCGAGCTCACAAAACGTCCGCGGAGCACAACTCACCCAAGAAAGACACATAAATGCTGCTTACCTCGTCAGCAATTCATTCTTCATCATGTATCTCATGATGATGCTCTTGATTGGTTCCGCGCGATCCAGCTAAACTTTCACATGCGCACATGACCCCGCACACACTCACCATCGTCCACCTGGAAGCCGTTCGACAGCCAAATCTTTGTGTATAGTCTCTGTAGCAACGCGATGAGTGCGATCGGACCGCCGATTCCGAACACCAAGTAGTGTTCCAGCACGAGCTGCTGTTGCGGGTGGTCGAAGTCGACCACGTAGCCATCCGGCGGCTTCAAGAGGGTCACGGTGCCATTCATGACCGGAAACTCGGACATGGTGTTTGCATTGAAAACATGGCCTGCCTTTCCCCAACGCCTTTGAGGTGCGGAGGCGAGCATGAGTCTATATCCTGTGGGATGCGGTTGGCCAGTGCATCCTCCATCGGTGAAAGTTTCCTGGGCTGCCCCAAGGCCTCGGTCTAGTCCCCACTTGATGGGCAAGTCGGAGGGTTAAAAGCTGCCGTGGGACTGATTCATCCAGTCGTAGTCCCTTGCCGACAACCTTACGAGTAAAACGGCCGAGCAGAAGTTTGCCAATTGTTTAGACGTCAGTTCGGATCCCCCATTTGCTACTGATTTTATCCCATGAGCTACCAGACGATTTCCCCTTCGGCACTTGTTTACACCACACAACAAGACACTGCATATGATTCATCATATTTCATTCAATACAGAATACCTGATTCAAGACGCCCTGACCCTATCCAAGCTCTGCTTAGAGTTCACATAACTCAGATCAAAAGTCTTGGCGCACGTGTCGTGGCCCTCGTTGTCCTTCCCAAGAGAGGCTACAGTTTCGTTCACGGACGACAGACCGCCTTCCAGTCTAAACATTGAGTTTCTCAAACAGCTCAATCATTCGTGGAAATTCCAAGGCAAACTCTGTGAGGGTGTCTGATTGGTGCCCGAGGCCTCTGTGATTGGCTCTGACGATTCTGTCCGGACTCGGGATAAGGTTTGGTGCGTTTCTTCCACCGTTCCGTGTTCTGGGGCTCCCCGGTGAACACGGGCGCGTGTTTTCCTGGGAAGCGAGGGGGAACTATGAGATGAGCTTGTTTGAAGACGAGAGCCAAGTCGAAACTCAAAAGAGGAATCGTGTGCGGTCCCGCAACGCCCGCGCGCGGGGTGCGACGGTAAGTCGCCGCGGTGGGAACATGAGCCCAGCGTATTCCTGTACGAACCCGCCGGGCCCCCATACGAAGTTTTAGCCTTCGTTTTGACCGGAGTTCAACGACGGAGGTTAATTCAGACGCGATCGTAGAACATCCCTGCTACTGAGACGAACAATCGACGGGGCAGTTCGAGCAGCATGTCTGCCTGCCACAAATCTTGGCTGTTCCTCGCACAGATGCAGCACCCGCCTGTCAGTCAGGTTGAGACGAAAGAATGGCGACGTGCGGAGCTGCATGGATACATGAATACCCGCATCAATAGTACCGGCCCGCCACATCACCAATGTCAATATCATCAGTTGGATCAGTCCAAGATCAACGATGGTCACTTCTCAAATGAGAATGTCAGTTTTTCTGGCTGGGGAGCTACTGCTGCAGATTCATCAATCATGTCAAGGTTCAGTTCCTCTTCCCCTGGCGCAAACACCGTGTCTATTGGGTATCGTATTCGCAGCCGACGGGATGTCGCGCCTTCTTACGTCCGCATTTTTGCACGGACAAAGCGGTGTGACCCTGACGAGTCCCCGGGTATCGACGTGTGACGAAGGCGGTGCGGTGCAACTACTCGGACGCTGGATATGCAACACAAGATCTCCACGACCAATCCGGTGCGCGCTGGGTGACGAAGCGGCTGATTACGATTGACCTGGCGGACAGTAAGCGCTACAGCCCTCAAAAGAAAGCAGGGTCGAATGGGGGTGGGGAGTCAAGAAACGATTATCTGACTACCGGCTGGGCATTGCACAGCAATTGGGAGAACCAAAAGCACAAGACGAGACCAGGTTGAAAATGAGAGACACGGCGGTTGCAGATCCTCTTGGAAACTAAAAGAGAGGTTGTCTTTGCAACCCCATCAACGCTAACGGTATTTGGTAGTTGGAGGTATTGAAGAAGTGTTTCAATTAACCAACTTCCCCAAGCACCGGAAGAGTTGTTATTCATGACTCGTCGATCATCAACTGTTCAATCTGACAGTCTGCAAGTCTGTGAAACGGATGTAGGACCTTGCATCGTGCAGTTGCAGTGCTTTCGCCAATGCATAGTTCCATGGAGCGATCCATACCAAGAGCCGTCAGCCATGCAGAGTACCGACGACCATGCCCAAGTCGACATTGATAGTGGCCAGGCCTTCCCCTCCATGACAAGAACTAGAGCGAAACGAAGCCTCTTGGATGTCTTGTTTTTTCTGTTCTCCACTTGGAGCAGGAGATCATTCCACGGGATTTCACGAGCTTAGACAACTCAGCGGACGGATGCCTATCCACCCGCCCGCATCGTTCGAGAGAGGCGGCAAACCCCCAGAGGCGGTTTTGAGACTGACAGCCACCCCATGTGGGCACGTGCAGATCCTACGGGCGTATTTCGAGGTGATATTGATGAGATTTGGACTCCACGTCCTTGGTTCGGGGTCATTTTGGGGGTGAGGGTGGTCGCACCGCAATTCTTGGGGTCTTGTTGGAGCAATCTGGGGCCATGTTGGGTGGCATCGCCTTCGATGGCGACGAGAGAGGTAAGTCGTTCAACGCACCAGAAAAGGTATTTGAATTGAATATAAAAGATCACGTACATCTCTTCGGTTTCGCGAAATAGCATCCTGGCCATCCCTTCCCAGTTCCATCATCCAGACGGCAGAACTTTTCTGGAACACCACACTCTCCTGTCCGAATACTCCGGCCTCCTCCGCAAATCTTCACCTCCCTGAACCTTGCCCAACCTTATTCCTCCCCAGACCCCTCTTTCACGCGTGACAAGAGTCAGTCTGGCTCGAGCTCGGAAGCCATGAAGTTCACCGTAGGCCAAGCCATCCTGGCGCTGCTCGTCCCAGCGGCATTGAGCGTCGACATCACCGGCGGCCGCAGCCCAAAATGCATTTGCGTCAGTCTCACCACCACCATCCTATCCTCCAATCTTTTTTTTTTCACGTGGCGCCGTCGGGACTTGTTGCTGACAACCGGACCAGTGTTCCGCCCTCGCCAAGGACCCTGAACTCGAGGGCAAGGTCCTCATGCCCGACACGGAGACGTACGACAAGCGGCTGCAGTCGTACTACTCTGCCAACGCGGCACAAGCCGCTTGGTGCATGGTTCTCCCAACGAGTACATCCGATGTGTCGCGCATTGCCAAGATTATCTCTGAACACCAGTGTCCGTTTGGTATTCGGAGTGGTGCACATTCTGCCTTTAAGGGGGCTAATGGCGCGAAGGATGGTATCACTGTTGACTTTGGTAAGTACTCAGCTATGCTGGTGATACCTTGGACTTTCACTAATACTGTCTCTAGGCAACTTGAACACGACAACCTACAACAATGTGACCGAGATTGCTTCGATAAATCCTGGTTCGACCTGGGAGAAGGTCTTCACTCTGCTCAAGGGCGAGAATGTGACTACAGTTGGTGGTCGAGCCTCTGTCGTTGGTGTTGGAGGTTTTGTTACTGGCGGTGGTGTAAGTTCTTCCGTTCTTTCGAGGCTTATTGACTTTTATGTCCGAAGTCTATTGCTAAACACCTTTGCAGTACTCCTTCCACACCAATGCGTATGGCTTCGCATGCGATACGGTGACCAACTTCGAGATCGTCCTCGCCAACGGCACTGTAGTCAACGCCAATGCGACATCCAACCCAGACCTGTTCAAGGCTCAAAAGGGCGGCTCAGGCAACTTGGGTTTCGTCACCAGAATTGACCAAAGTGAGTCCATGAAGAGGCAACACTTATGATACGCAGACACTGACACCCCTCACAGAAGTTGTCAACTCCACCGATATGTGGGGAGGTCTCCGGGAGTACGACAAGACCAACAGGGACAAGCTCTTCCGCGCCTACCTCAACTTCGCCGATAAGATGGACCAAGATCCCGCCAGCCAGAACATCGTGGGAATGTCGTACGGGACTCATCGGGCTGTTGGACTCCGGGCAATTTTGACCAACAGCGCCGGCGTCGACGATGCTCCTGCCTTCAGCGAGTACGAGAAGATCAATGTCACGAGCAACACTTCTCGAGTCGCAGCCGTTGCGGAGATGGTTCCCGAGTTCACTGGACCTACGCCACTGGGCCTGTAGTAAGTACAAACTTGACATTATTTCGTTGTCGAATCCGTACTGACCTCCTTTTCTCAGTGCTAACTGGTTCGTTGGCCAATTTCGAAACGATGTCCGCATGATGAATTTCGTATACGACGAGCTGCAGATGCTCGGCAAGCATTACTTGGACCCCGTGGCCGACGAAATGGCGAAAAGGACGAACAAGACCGTAACATACGACGTTCTCGGACAGTTCCAGCCATTCACGCAGTCCATGGTCAAGCACGGCCAGGCCAACGGTGGCAACATTCTCGGCCTCGAGGACGTGGTGGCTGATGGGCCGACGAGCAACTGGCTGCTTGTGCTGACCTGTGACACCCCTGAGCTGCAAGATAAGATGTTGCCTCACATTCTGGAGTTCCGAGAGAGAATCGATGCGTATGCCAAGTTCATTGGCGTGTTCAAGGACTGGAGGTATCTCAACTATGCTTGGGGCGACCAGAACCCGATTGCCACGTATGGTGAGAAGAATGTGGCGTTCCTGAAGGATGTCGCCAAGAGGGTGGATCCAGATGGCGTTTTTCAGAAGCTGAGGACCACTGGGTTCAAGATCCCGGTCGATGCGAAGACTACGCATTGACTTTGGTGACAGTGGTTATAGATTGTAGGTCTATGATCGAGCCTTGTAGATGTTTTTCAGATAGGATGTAGTGTATAATTCTAGTAAATGCTTTTGTGTAATTCTCACATTCGAAGAGCAACTCCTAGAAGGATCTCAACTGGCCGCCCCAATGCCCTGCTCACCGGCGTCTGAAGTTCCACCACTTTCTCTCCCCAGCTGAGCCCTCATCCGAAATCTCATTCACTTGAGTGTCGATCCCCTCCTCCTTGCCAAACCCAGTAGCGGTGGCAGAGTCAGTCGGCACAACACTCAACTTAGCCGCCTCCTCCGCAGTGAACGTCCCATACTTGTCCTCCTCATCAAACTCGCCCAAATTCGGCAATGGGAACACGAGATTAGCCAGGTAAAACAGCACAAAAGAGATGAAGAACCCCACGAAGAACGCAATGTAGTACAACTCATATACCGCATCAGGCGCGCTCTCGTCCTTCTCCGCACTCACAATCAGGCCCCCGATCGTGGGCGCCCACCCCGCGATCCAGCACGGGATCACGCGCCAGTTGACGCCGTGCCAATACCAGTAGTCGGAGCCCTGCGGGTGGAACAGGTGCGACAGCTTGACCTTGCGCGCGCGCAGGACGAAGAAGTCGCAGACCATGACGCCCATGATGGGCGCGAGGAAGACGGCGAAGGAGTTGAGCACCGCGACGAAGGTCGCGGCCTGGTTGATGAGCTGCCAGGGCTGGATGATCCAGGCGGCGAAGAAGGTGAGGAGGGCGCCGCGGCGGATGTCGATGTAGCGCGGGAAGAGGCCGGCGAGGTCGATGCCGCCGGCGACGGCGTTGGAGCAAACGTTTTCGAACATGGAGGTGAAGGCGAAGGCGAGGGCGAGGAAGAAGACTGCGGCGCGGGCGGCGGAGGAGCCTTCGCCGTCTGTTGCGGGTTGGGGTCAGTGGGTGGGACGGGTGGAGGGCGTTTCCGTGGGGGCAGCTTACGATCCATCATGACCATCAACAGGTCGGGAGGGTTCCAGTAAATGGTGCCGTAGATCTTCTGGCAGGCTGCGGTGGTGACCAAGCCGCCAAGGCAGACTAGCACGCCCGTGATCCAGTAGACGGACACCGTGCCGATGATGTAACCCTTCTTGTCCTTTGCGTAACGCGAGAAGTCGCTGCTGTTCGTCATGCCGGCAGCCTTTTGACCGATGGCTTGGTTGATGCCCGCCATCATGAGCCACGAGACGCTCCAGCGTGAGCTGGTAGAGACACTCTGGCCTTGGTAGAATATGGGACCGACACCCTTTGCGACGGTGAGCGACCAGATGAGCAGGGCGATCATACCGGCACCGCAAGCCACGGATGAGATGAAGAAGGGCTTCTTGAAGCGCTCGGGTCGGATGAAGAGGAACGGGATGGACACGACCCAGAACACGATGAAGCCGATGAGCTCATAGGTTGTCGTCGGGGTGCTGGCGCTGAGGGTGTTCGGAATCTTTGCGAAGGAGGGCCAGATGGCGGTGATACAAACGCTGTTGTGTATTGTCAGTATTTAATGGCCGACTTCTTCGGGGGTGATCCTCACGTTACAAGTTTGCCGCCATTCCAACCTGATCACCCAGTCAGCTTTACCCCCTCTCGAACGGGCTCAGAGGTACTCACATTGCAGTGCGTTCCAGATGAAATTGAGCAGAATACGCTGCATCAACGGGATATAACTCGCCCGGAAGCCCCACGTGTACCGGTTCTGCACCGTGAATCCAATGTGCCAAGTCAGACCACACCAAGCAACAAGAATCGCGAACAAGCAGCAAAGAGCTCGGGAGACGACAATGACGGCCATGGCCTGGCCGACCGAGAGGCCTTGCGTCAAGAACGTGTTCGGGGTCTGCCATGTTGCTACGTTGAGTGAAGACCTGGCCGTCATAGTCAGTTCCGCGCTCAAAGTAGTTTATGTTTTGCGTCGTACTGATACTCACAATGACCAGGAACCAAAGAAGTTGAACCAGCCCCAGGTGCGACGAGACGGTGGCAACGGGATCAAGTCTCTGTTCGACCAGGCGCTGACCTCCTCGTGCCGCGACTCGTCAGACTTGAGGATCACGGCCTCCTTGACCCTCTGAACGGTCTTGTTCGTCATTGTTACGCCGAGGAAACTAGGATACCTGAACCTAAGTCAGTCAGACTGGAGCTGGAGGGCGCCGGCCGCATGATATACGGTAGGCCGCCATCTTATCTCGGTGCCCTCAAGCAACCCGTAGATCTTCCGATGCTTTCGGCTCTCATCCAAGTCTTGGCGTCGGCTCCATTCGCGATGCAGCGCCGTTGCGTCTTCGTTATCTGTCATGCATATCAAGACCGATGTTCGGTAACAGTTTCCCGGGTATGCGACCCTTATCCCGCCCTAGAACGACCCCGGCGTCGACAAGTCGAGCATCAAACAACGGGCCAATGATGTGCTTGAACAGGAGTTGGGGTCTTTGAATGGGTCGCATTTTGACCCAGTCGACCGGTCAGAAATCCTGCCCCCCCCGAGATAAGAACCCGAACATGTGGGGTATTCTCGCCCCCTGCCGGCCACATGCCGGTGATAAAGATGAAGGATCACTTCAGTTTAACCATAGCTGTTGCAATGCATGGGTCTTTGGAGCGAATCATGAGAGCTGATTTCAATATGTATGATTCAAGCTGCTGACGGTTTCTTTTGCTGACTGGTACATTCGGAAGCAGACTCAGGGTGCAGACCATGCAACAGATCCAATGTCTTTCGGAGGATGGAGTCAGTTGTCGGCCGGGCCCCGATGCCGGCGCCACGTCGGAGAGCGTCCGATACTTTACCTGGGCTCATTCTCATTCGCCCGTCTTATTGATCCCATGTTCTCCCTTCAACCTCTAGCCTCTGACTGTTGTCTTTGATCGTGATCTTTGTCTTGGCCCAGACTCTCACATCCAAGACAAGAACTCAACCCCGGTCAACGCAGTGCTGCTGTTTAAGAAGAAGATCGCAGCCCAAACCAAGATGTCGCCCCCGACTCTAAGAATAGGAGTCGACGTCGGCGGGTACGCCACCCCCATCCCCCAACGCTCACCACAAACTAACACGTCCAAGCACCAACACCGACGGCGTCATCCTTGACCCAACATCCTCCTCCGCCCCCTCCCGCGGCATCCTCGCCTCCCAAAAGACCAGCACAACCCCCAACCCCAGCGATGGCATCAACGCCGTCATCAACCAGATGTTCGCGCAGTCCGCGCCGCCGCTCGACCCCTCCCGCGTCGCCAGCATGACCATCGGCACCACGCACTTCATCAACGCCGTCGTCGAGATGGACGTCGCCCGCCTCGCGCGCGTCGCCGTCATCCGCCTGTGCGGGCCCTTCTCCGCCGATATCCCCGTCGGCGTCGACTGGCCGCCGCGGCTGCGCGACATCGTCTGCGCGCACCGCGGGCTCGTCGACGGCGGGCTCGAGATCGACGGCAGCTTGATTGCGGAGCTGGACGAGGACGGCGTGCGGCGGGAGGCGGAGGCGGTGCGGGCGAAGGGGATTAGGAGCGTGGTTGTGGTTGGGATTTTCAGCCCGGTGGATGTCGTGTATCGGCAGGAGGAAAGGGCGGCGGAGATTGTGAGGGAAGTGTATCCGGAGGCGGACGTGGTGATGTCGAAGGATGTGGCGAATATCGGGTTTCTGGAGAGGGAGAACGCGGCGGTGCTGAATGCGTCGATTTTGCCGTTTGCGAGGCGGACGATTCACTCGTTTCAGGATGCGGTTGCGAGGCTGGGGCTGAAGTGTCCTGTGTTTGTGACGCAGAATGATGGCACGATATTGCCGGCGAGCGCGGCGGCGAGGTTGCCGATTAGGACGTTCTCGAGTGGTCCCACGAATAGCATGCGCGGCGCGGCGTTCCTGACGCAAAACCTTGAGAAGGAGGCTATGATGGTTGTCGATATCGGTGGAACGACCACCGACGTGGGTTTGCTTCTTGAGAACGGCTTCCCGAGACAGGCAGCGGCGTATAGCGAGATCTCAGGCGTGAGGACAAACTTTTCGTATCCTGATGTCAAGAGTATTGGTCTCGGGGGTGGCTCCATCGTCAGACGGGATGAGAACGGTGCTTTGACGATCGGGCCGCAGAGTGTGGGCTACAAGATCCAGGAGAAGGCTTTGGTATTTGGCGGAGATGTGCCGACGACGACGGATTACACTGTTCTTGCAAACCCTACAGTCCAGATCGGAAACCGTTCTCTCGTAGAGGGGTCCAGCCTGCAAAACGATCTACCCGAGTTCAAGGCCAAGGTGAAGGAGATGCTGGAACGCATCGTGGACACCATGAAGACCTCCCCAGAAGACATTCCGGTGGTCCTTGTTGGCGGTGGCGCGGTGATTGCGCCGGACTCCCTGGTTGGTGCCAGCAGAGTCATCAAGCCCGAGTGGTCCGGCGTCGCCAATGCCATTGGCGCTGCCACCGCGAGAGTCAGCGGCGTGGTTGACTCGATTGCAAGCACGGAGTCAAAGAGTGTTGCGGAGGTCATTGAGGAGTTGTCGCAGCGCGCGGTGGATAAGGCAGTTGAGAGCGGAGCTCTGAGGGAGACGGTGACGATTGCGGAGATTGAGAGTTTCCCGTTACAGGTGAGATATTTACCTCAGTTGCTTTTGGCTGCCATACTCACGAGGCTTGTAGTACATCGCGAACAAGTCACGAATCATCATCAAAGCTGTTGGAGATTTCGACTTCTCCAGGACTGACTTCAGCGACGCTACTCCAATTGCCAATGGCGTTGACGGTTTCGAGAGCGAGCCATCTGGAACCAATGAGAAGAAGCCAGAGACAAATGGGGATAGCCATGCTTCAGGTTCACAGTCGATCATCTACACAAAGGACTACATCCACTCTTACAAACCAAAGATCGCCAACAAAGAATGGCTCCTTTCAGAAACGGACCTGGATTGGATCACGATAGGCTGTTACATCCTGGGCACAGGCGGCGGAGGGTCTCCCTACCAACACATGCTGAGACTACGGGAGATGATGCGGGCAGGAGCAACCGTCAGGATCATCTCACCGTGGGACCTCAAGGACGATGATATCGTGGCTTGCGGTGGTGGGAAGGGGTCTCCTCAGGTTTCGATTGAGAAGCCCTATGGTGACGAGTAAGTCATGGCTTCCACCACGCCCGAGGATTTGCTAACGACCTCGCGAAAAGGATCATGGAGTCCCAAGTAGAGCTCTACAAGTACCTCAACACCAAGCCAACGGCCGTCATCTCCCTCGAAATCGGAGGCGGCAACGGACTCCAAGGTCTCATCCTCGGCGCCAGCACAAACCTCGACATCCCAACCATCGATGGCGACTGGATGGGTCGCGCGTACCCCATCTCACATCAAACGACACCAGTCGTGTTCGAGAAGAAGGCGACCATGATACCCTCATGTATCTCGGACGGCAACGGCAGAATTATGGTGCATCCTCCCCTCCATCAACCCCCTCTTTCCTCCAGAAGCTGACATTTAGACTTTCCACAGCTGATGACGAAAGCCCGCACCGAGCTCGACGCAGAACGCGCCTTCCGCGCCGCCCTCTCGCAGATGGGCTCCCACGTCGGCTGCGCCAAGGGCCCCGTCAGCGGCCGCGACACCAAGTCCTGGGTCGTCGAGAACACGGTCTCGCTGTCGTGGCGGATCGGCCGCGCGGTGGCGCTCTCGCGGTGCAGTAACACGGTCGACAGGGTCGCGGAGGCCATCGTCGACGAGGTTGGTGGGGATGAGTCTGCGCGCGTGCTGTTCCGCGGCAAGATTGTTGGCGTTGAGAGGGTGACGAGGATGGGTCACGCGTATGGCGAGGTCATCATCGAAGGGGCGTCAGCAGATGGGAAGGGGGTTGAGAAGTTGGTGATTCCGTTCAAGAATGAGAATATTCTTGCGAAGAAGGTTGATGCTGAGGGCGGGGAGGAGGTGAGTTTTGGTCTTTTTGGGGAGGCTTTCGGGATGTTGCTGACTTGTTGAACAGATTCTCACCATCGTCCCTGATCTTGTGTGCGTTATCGACGCTCAAAACGGCGAGGCCCTGGGTACACAGGAGTATCGGTATGGTCTTCTCGTGGTCGTCCTCGGCATTACTGCTTCCGAGAAGTGGACCTCGACGGCCCGAGGTATCGACATTGGCGGGCCGAAGGGCTTTGGCATGGATGACTTGGAGTATGTGCCGCTTGGCAAGTTTAAGAAGCCGAGGAGTGTGATTGAAGAGTATGGTGATACTGCATGAGCGATCATGGCGATTTAGACTAGGTAGTTTGCCATGACCAGGGCGAACAATAGAGCTTTCCAATCACAACACACCGGCTTCGGTTGCAGCTACGGAGTGAAGTGGGATGAATCAATTCGCATAGCCTGCCAACGTCGCAATTCAAAGACAGGGACGGCCAACTACCGTTCCAACGGCCCCCATTGATCGGTTGTTACCTCGGAAATATCTTTTCGGCTGCTGTCTCAGCATCCACACAAGTTGTCTCTCACCGGCACAGATCGAAGAGCAAGTCCACGCGCCGTTGGAGAATGGACAGGGCGTTGGCACGTCTATTCGCAGCCAATTTGACAAGGGTGTGATAACGCCAACGGGCTAGTCCCGCAGGATGGTGTGCTGAGGAGACGTTGGGGTAGGTCGGGAGCTTTCATCCGCATCATTGCATGAGCAGCATCCATTGACCTGTGAACAGCTCACCACGGAAGTCTTCGGAGATTTCAAGCGCGGGGCGTCGTAAGCGAATCAGAAGAATAAACGGATGGATTCAAGGAGAGACAAAAAGGCGCATGCAATTGGGAGAGAAAAGAAGAAAAAAAAGTCTAAAACGTGACACCCCGGCTCCGTACTGCCGTCGACCACGGAGCACGACATCGGCGCTGCGGGGCCACCCGATCGGCGAACCCCACACTCCAATTACACTGACACTAACAGAGTGGTGGTGGTGGTGGTAGTGTCTCGCGTCATCGGACGAGCAGTCGCGATATGGGTCCCTGAGCACGCCATCTGTTGCGTCGAGCTCGACAACCCCCCTCGAAACCCTTCGAATCCCGCCATTCCGGTGGTTTGGTTCGCTGGCGATAAAGGGGCGCAAGGCCCCCGTGCGACGTCAGAGAGTTTTTTGTGTCAAAATTTGGATGAGGGGTAACAAACTCGATCTCCGGCTCTGCTCATACTTATAAGTGTGTTTCCCTTCTCCAAATTGCTAGGTGCATTCGCATCAGATACTCAACCTTGCCCCTCACTGTACATCTTCTCTTTCTCTTTTTTTTTTGGATACCCCAGTACTCAATACGCAACCATGGCGCCGGGTGTTCTCGTCGACGAGCCTGTTGAGGTCAGCTCCTCCGGCCCTTGGAAGGGCAAGAATGATGACGCTCCCCGCGACATCTTCCCCGACGGCATCAGGACGTCGGGACAGCACAACCCCCTCTACGACGTCCTGCGCCCGTACGAGGAGTTCCCAAAGGAGATCACGGGCCGCACCGTCTGGCACAAGGAGGAGTTCGAGAACAGCCCCGAGAAGTGGACGCACCGCCTCACCCCCGAGGAGGTCGAGGAGCTCGGCCGCACATCCGACGAGTTCATCGCCAGCGGCACCCCTCTGACCGGTATCTCCAAGGTAAGTCGTCGATCCAACCCCGGCAACGCCACTTGGCAGTTGCCTTCATCTTATCATCTTCCCCAACAGCCATACTAACATCTCATCCCCGCAGAGCAACTTCCCCCTCCCCAAACTCAGCAAGGCCCTCACCGACCTGCGCGAAGACCTCATCAACGGCAAGGGCTTCATCCTCTTCAAGGGCTTCCCAGCCCAGGAATGGGGCCCGCACAAGACCGCCGTCGGCTACATGGGCCTGGGCACGTACCTGGGCTACTTCGTGTCTCAGAACGGCCGCGGCCACGTGCTCGGCCACGTCAAGGACGTCGGCGACGACCCGACGCAGATCGACCGCGTGCGCATCTACCGCACCACGGCGCGCCAGTTCTTCCACGCCGACGACGGCGACCTCGTCGGCCTGCTGTGCGTCCACCGCGCCGCCGAGGGCGGCGAGAGCGACCTCGTCAGCATCCACGCCGTCTGGAACGAGCTGCAGCGCGCCCACCCGGACGTCGCCGAGCTGCTGACCAAGCCCGTGTGGTACTTTGACCGCAAGGGCGAGGTCTCCGAGGGCCAGGAGCAGTGGACGCGCCAGCCCGTCTTCTACATCGAGAACGGCGGCCAGCAGCGCGTCTACTGCAAGTGGGACCCTTACTACGTGCGCTCGCTGACGCGGTTCTCGGACAAGGGGATCATCCCGCCGCTGAGCCCGGAGCAACTGCACGCGCTGAAGACGCTCGAGGATACGTGCCAGAAGCTCGCGCTGCACATGATCCTGGAGGTGGGCGATATTCAGTTCTTGAGCAATGCGCACTTGTTGCACGCCAGGACGGAGTACAAGGACTTCCCGCCGCCGGCGCCGAGACGCCACTTGCTGCGTTTGTGGCTGTCGACGCCCGAGACGGAGGGCGGGTGGGCGCTGCCGTTCCCTGATAGCAAGGAGAAGAAGCGCGGTGGTATCCAGGTGAACAACCAGCCTCCCACGGCGCCGCTTGACGCCGAGTAGATGGTTGTGGTGTGTGATGTTGCATGAGCGGTCTGTGTCTTGTCAGAATGATGCATTATCTTTTAGCGTATCATGGTGTGTGATCATCTTCAAAGAAAGATGAGGGAAAACGTGTCTTTGCGCCGCCAACACTCATAGAGTGTTTGGAACATACAAAATGTGAAGAGTAGCAAATTTTGAATGAACAAAACAGTTAAACACAACTTGTCGGACTCGCCGAGCACTTCACCTTATTCCATAGTGCATCCTCAAACCTTCATAGTGAGATGTCAATGCTGATGTGAATACGACTTGCGAACGAAATGACATGGAGACAAATCGTGCCCCGCGATGGCCAGTGACAAGGGCAGCGTTCTGGATTCCGTCCGCCGGGCAACTCCTCCGATTCCGTTACTTCGGCGAAGTTCGCCACGGGAAACTGGCGGGAAAGTGGGTTTCCCGAGTTTCCCGCCAAGTTTCCCGGCAATCGCAGGGTTTTCCGGTCGCGCCATCGCCGGGAAATTTCGCGAGTGCGGCTGCAGGGCATGTCTGTCACTGTTTTGGAGGGGTAAAAGGTCCCCTACAGGTGCTGATGGAGGGGCAGCAGCAACGACGAGTTACACGACGGCATCGACACTTCTGCTCTACTTTTGCTGCAAATCAGGCCGGGCAAATTTCGTTGACTTGATCTCTGGCTAGGCAGCTCAACAAGAGTTTCGATAACCTTCATTCAGAGAAATTGAATGATATAATGGCCATCAGTTCTATGCTAAAGTCGTTAGCTTTCCTTTATCGATAGCGGCCTGCATGATCCCGTTGCAGATAACGGTGGGCCATCGTTATCCACCCGCCCGCGTTTGCCCCTCGAGTCAGCTCTCACGTCTTGGCCTTCAACCATCCGACGTCGCTCTCCTCACGACATCGCCAATGTCTTATTTAAGAGACGGCCTCTGGTCACTGCTGTCTTTGATCATGTCTCTCTCACTCAGCATCCCATTTCCCTTTCTCCTTTGATACCCGTTTTCCACAAAAGACACTCACAATGGCCGCCGTCCTCCCTGAGCCGTTCGCCTCCATCCCGAGGGAGAACTTCCTCTTCGGCCCTTCGCCCATCGAGCCCCTCCCCCGCATCTCCAAGGCGCTCGGCGGAAAGGTCAACGTCTACGCCAAGCGCGAGGACTGCAACTCCGGCCTGGCCTACGGCGGCAACAAGACCCGCAAGCTCGAGTAAGCTCATCCCTCTCCCCCCTTTCACAGCTCCCATGAACTAACACATCCCCCAAGATACCTCGCCTCCGACGCCCTCGCCCAGGGCTGCGACACCCTCGTCTCCATCGGCGGCGTCCAGTCCAACCACACGCGCCAGGTGACCGCCGTCGCCGCCAAGCTCGGCCTCAAGGCCGCCCTCGTCCAGGAGCACTGGGTCGAGTGGGAGGACCCCGTCTACGCCAAGGTCGGCAACATCCAGCTGTCGCGCCTCATGGGCGCCGACGTCCGCCTCGACCCCTCCACCTTCGGCATCGAGCACAAGAACACCCTCGCCAAGCTCAAGGAGGAGCTCACCGCCGCCGGCCGCAAGCCCTACTACATCCCCGCCGGCGCGTCCGACCACCCCCTCGGCGGCCTCGGCTTCGCCCGCTGGGCCTTCGAGGTCGTCGCCCAGGAGAAGGAGACCGGCGTCTTCTACGACACCGTCATCGTCTGCGCCGTCACGGGGTCCACCATGGCCGGCATGGTTGCGGGCTTCAAGCTGGCCGAGAAGACGGGCGCGTCGCCGAAGAGGAAGGTTATCGGTATTGATGCGTCTGCGACGGTGAAGCAGACGTTTGACCAGGTGCTGCGCATTGCGAAGAACACGGGTGCGAAGATTGGACTTGAGGAGGGCGATATTACGGAGAAGGATATTATCCTGGATGAGCGCTTCCACGGCGGCATCTACGGCGTGCCGGACCAGACGACCATTGACGCCATCAAGTTCGGCGCGAGCACGGAGGGCTTCATCACGGACCCCGTGTACGAGGGCAAGAGTCTGGCGGGCATGATGGCGCTGATCAAGAACGAGGAGATTCCCGCGGGAAGCAATGTGTTGTACGCGCACTTGGGCGGACAGCTTGCCCTCAACGCCTACTCTGGCATGTAAATAATGACTTAATGCGAAATACCCCTGAAGTTCAATGCCGGTTCGATTCCCGTACTTGATATGATCCCTGCCCTTCTTACTCGCCGGTGTCCGTCATTCTTCGTCGCATATGCACGTCGACACACAAAGCGGAAGTAAGGGAGAATGGCCGGACAAACGATGTGTCCTACGATACCCAGAAATCGGCACGCGTTGTTTTCCCAAGACGTCGTACGCCCTTTGATGGCCGAAGGGCCTGTACAAACGCAGTCGTCACCCCCAAGTAACGAGACCTACCTACGCCGGTCCAGCTGACAGCTTGAGACCTCCCACTGAGGCGTTCCAAACCCCATGGCTGCGCTTCCATCTGAAAAGTCGTCTGGTCGTCAATGGAGCTCAGTGTTTACCACAGCGTACATGGATCAAGTCACTGGAACGGGACGGCGACTAGTGATGAATCATATGATCTTAGAGACTTTTTCATGTACGTAGGAGAGGAGTATTAAGGTTGGTGTACGGTGGTATGAACCCTAGGGTGTGCGTGACGTGAGAACACGAGAGCTCCAACGACATCAGATAAGCATAAAAAGAAAAGCCAACCCCCCAGACCTGGCCGCTGCCCCCATCTGAACTGGATACCCTTCCGGCCCACGGCCCCCGGAGTCACTGTCCCTGACTTGCACTCCCTGCTCCTGCTCTCTGTTTTCGTTGCTCTCGTTGCCGAAGTATTTGGTTTGTTGTGTGTGGCAGCAGCGCTTAAGTCAGAGTGGATACCGACTCACCAGACGGGCATTTGCTGTCGACTCACGTTCGCGGGATTGCTGACATTCACTGCGAGTCTCCTCGAAAGGTGAATTATAGAACTGGCGAGCAGCGCCTCGCTTGCCCTCTCGATGTCTCGCGTACCGCACTGAGTATAGACAGCGCTCAGGCTCCTTATGCGGGCCCGTTAGAACAGTCTTGCCGGCATCGTGATGGGATTCACATCTAGCTAGCACTAAGATCCAGCGTACTGCCGTAGTGACGGCGCAGTAACATTGACCCCACCTTCTCTACTAATGAAACCTTGCTTAGTACCTAGCACAAATTGCGTTTACTTGCGCCTAGAATTTAGGCAGGTTTCTTGCTGTGTCGCAATATAGTCATCCCGACACGTACCAGAGAGTACCTTCAAGGTGCCGCACATAGGTAAGGTAAGGTAAGGTAAACAAGGTGAAAAGGAAAGCGGACCAGTTTCCCCAGATGTGGAGTACCGCTAGTGTGAACATCGCCCTATGCCACATCAAGGTAGGTACCTTTGTCCATCAGTCACTCCTGCCCTTCCAACGGCAAACTTCGCTCTTCAGAAACACAGAAAGGTGAGACACAAAATCCAGCTGTTTTCACTATGAGAAAGCAACAATGTTTGAATTCGAATTTCTATTCTTCATCTTTCTTTAAACGCAGCTGATGAATGCAATTTTAGAGCCGCTCTTCCTGCTATCTTCTCCGCCTTCTTTCCTCGCACGCGCAACAACCGGAGAGCATTCCGAAATCCCTCAGTACTCTCTCTGCACCGTACAGAGCCGCCAGGTCAGGTCATTCTATCACTCTCGTCATAATCGAACACGAACAAGACACGCACAAGACATTGCCCACCATGTCCACTGATTCGGTCTCGGACCGGCGTTCAGCAGGCCCTCAACACCCCATCTTGACGGAAGAACTGTTGTCAGCCTTTGAGTCCCTCTCCACAGAAGTCGACAATAATACTCAATGGAATGCAACCGATGTCCGTAAGTTAGCAACCGAAAAGTTTCCGGACCGGAATGTTCGCATGGAGCTTTTCGCATACGATGGCAGGCGGGCCCAGGAGAGAGTTGAGAAAATCATCAACCCGCAGCTCACTCCCCGACAGTGCATGATGCAGATCAAGAACACCAACTTCACTCAGTCCGGCCCCAGAGCTCAGTGGTATTGGATGATGGAAATGATGTTCAGAAAGTTCCACCCCATCGGCTTTGCAACTCACGGCGGCCATACCACTGGCTATGGCATCGATCCTGGCCCGGTATACCTTCTGCCTCATGGCTTCAACCCCAACAACCACACCGGACAGCGACTTCATCACAGTTTGCTCGGAATCAATCTTGACATCGGCCTTGAAATTTGCGACACAGACCCAGGAATTCCCATCAAGATGATTAACACCGGATCCGACCATGTGTTCACCCCTCCTGAGACAGGCTTTGTCTTCGCCCAGATTGGATCTCTGCGTGTCTTTAATGGTACCAACGGCTGGCCCAAGAAGGGCGAGCCATTCAACGACGCATACATGCGCGAAAGTCCATGGGAAGAGACTAAGTTTGGAGTTGTTGTCCGGATCGATAATGATGGCAACCCAGGAGCGGTCTACGTCATTTACAACTTCTGGGCGCATGGAAAAAACATTGAGGCGAACGACCATTTCCGACCTCCTGTCAGGAACCACAAAAATCAAGTCCTCCCCCACGTTGGACAGCTTCACCCCAAGTGCAACCCGGGCGAGAACTTCACCGTGGCCAAGATTGCTAACAACATTGCGGATCTCATCCCCAACCCCGAATCCGAGTCATCCCTCCTTGTCTTCAGCAGAGAGTTCGACTTCAAGGTTGTGTCAAAGGAAGAGTGCCACATCGGCCCCGCCAAGCAGATTGACCACAACGGTAAGAGCTATCTCTTGCGTGATAGTATCAAGGGACCGCAGACGCGCTGGGGATGATCTCCAGAGCCAGCGAATTCAATCTCAGCATTTCTTCTACCGCTAAATTTCAGGGGCGTCGCAAGAGTCACAAGACATCTCGATGCACTTTCTCGCAACATTCCTGCACTCAGTCATGCGAACTTCACGTAATGTCATGCCCATCAACAGCAACATCCGCATGATGATCAAACATGACAAACTTTTGTAAGTCTGATGGAAATGAGTTTCAAACTCCCTGGTGAAATCTTTCTGACAGCTTTCTCCAGTCTTTGAAATGTTTTCCATTTCTCTTCACACGATGATGATACCCCTCTCCGAGAGCAGCAGTCAGTCCGCGGACCTTGACTCTCAAGACTTGCGCACGAACAACCACACACATGGGCCATGACCTTGAAGATACAACCACCAGGACGATATCGAAGGCGACTTGGGGTGGCTCGACTTCTGAAATTGGCGGGACCAGAGAAGGATGCTGCGACGTTTTTGACTCGGGGGACTGGACGGCGATCGGATTTTCGCAGCCTCGTCTTTACGTTTTGCTTTTCCTTTTCTTCATTCCCTTTTTCTCCTCAAATGAGTCACCACAGGATGTCTTCTCGCCTCGGGCACATAGCCTGCGCCAAGACCACGCAGACTTCATTTGGCTCATTCTCTTCCTATGGACACACCACCCTTAATACTCCTTCATCGCATTCACGGATCCATAGACAGTACTCGATAGCAAACAGAGCCAGACCTCACAAATTCAATTCATTCCTTTCCGACGTGATATTTGCCATGTTCTGTCCAGTGTACAAGAGTTTGCTCAACCGCCTCGCGGTGCTTCCAGCCGCAGCATCATGACGACCGCACGAAACCAATGGCCAGGCTTCCTAGATCAACATGACGAAGCTTCGCGCACTCGAGAGACAGGCAAAGCCTACTCAGCCGGATGATGCCTCGCGCTAGCCCGTCATTTGATGCTCTTTCGTTCTCCGCCTCGACTGTCGCCGCAGCAATGGCGCGCTTCGCTTCGCGTAAGTCATGCTCACCAGGCGTCTGCTCCTGCAACCTCGACGACGCGTATCTTCTCTTCCATGACCTTCACAAAGCATCACTGAGCCTTGTGCGGGCCAAGAAAACAACAAAGGACCCGATTGAGAGACCTATGACACCGGCGAGGGGTCTCAATCACTTGGCGCGAGCAATCTTTGATCCCCACTCGCTTGCCATGGACCTCCTGAAGGACAGCTTTCTGCGCTCTTTGTCTTCATCATTTGTGGTTTCTAAAGTGTGTCACCGTACTCCTGCAAGACTTTGTGGCTCATCTGCCATCCATCCTTTGAAAGACATGGTCGTAAAGCTGCCTTGGGGCTGGTCGGAGTCCGTGTTAGGGCGGGGTGTCTGGATCGAAATGATCTTACGCGGCCCCAGTATTCGCCTCGTTGTCGGCTTCAGGATATGAGCTGTCAAGGATGCTGTTTCTGTAATTTGAAAAGGTCAGGTGTACTCAGTAGCAATAAGACTCTTAAGTCATAGCACGGCGGTGGCCTGTCCTGGATGGATGTACATAGAGGTGATCCTGTTTGGATATTCCGGCCAGACTTTCAGCCCGTTCGTTCTTCCATAGGTTCGGTTTTCCTAACCAAGGTTAATCGTGCGTCTGTCGGCACAGAACTTGTAACCATCGGGGGACAAGCCATGGGCCGGAATGCAAAACCGATCGTGGTTATAATAGGGTCTCAACTGCGCCATGTCCCCGCTGGCAGTGTGTTGAAGTACAAGGCGGAATGCGTTCCCCGTCAATCTCGCCGTTGGAAATAGATTGAATCCTGTAATGTGATACTGGCAGCTGCCTGTTCGGCACCCATTTCGTTTGCACCTGAAACTTTCCGATCCGTACTTCCAGGCGAGAGTCAAGATCCGATCTACATGCGTTGGGAGCGGCAATGTCCAATGATCTGACCGGTGCGCATGCCCGAACTCGTTGAGAAACGGGTTTCCCTTCCATGTATTAAGCCACTGAAGTGGCTCATTTCTACCATGCTCGTAGGATGTAACCATGTGTGATATGAGGTCGGACACCTTTTCTCCGGGATGTGGGGCGAGTTGCCGGTAAATGATGGGCTCCAGGGCCAGCCAATCAACATATGGTCGCGAACGACGGGGTTCGCCTACTTCGAGCAACAGCCAGTCGTACCTACTATCTACCTGCTCCAGGTCGGTTCTGGAGCCTGCGGCACGTCAGCGCATTATTTAGCGCAATGCGGGTTGGACCTTATACCTAGAAGACATGCCAGTGATCGCATAAGATGGCATAGCAATGTATCCCATGATGAGGGGTCCTGGCTCGACGTTATGTTAGGTACTTTGCTTTTGAAATAGTCTATGATCAGGCGCTCTATGTTTTCAGCATCGACCGGTCGATATCGCCGAATATCCCAGTAGAAGAAGAGAAAGGAGTCCATCCAGACGATGGCACTGAAGGTAGATCGATAGTAATCCATGATGTCGCGGCTAAACATTTCGAATCGGGTGTAGAAGAGCAATCAGTGGAAGCGGGGACGCGCTGCTTTATGTACTAAGCGTGAAGCATATTCTATAGCGGGAATGGATTCCATAGGCTAAAGCTAGAATACAGTTTAGATTGTTGAACTCTGACCTAGAAGCATCAATCGAAACAGCTGGTGTCTCCTGCGAGGCTCCAATATCAACGAAGCTTTGTACAGGGTACTCCAAGGTTAGAGCGATCCTAAATCACCCGTAGACTCTCTTTTAGACGACATTGAGGACAACAAGGACGTGAAGAATGACGAAAATGCAAATGCGGCGACAATAAAAATGAGGACTATAATAGCAGCGACAAACATCAAGAACAACGAGGACAAGAACAAATAGCGTGAAAATAACGAAAAGAGAAAAGAAGAATTAGTCTCACGAATAATCAATAAATTTATAAATGAGAAGACAGAGAAATACTCTCCAGAAGTAGTAACAAGCAAAGCTGAGAAACGCAGGTAAATCGTGGCGTCGAGGAGAATACAGGCAATCGCTAACCTTTCTAGACATGGGAGCCAATGTCAACCTTTTGGCAAATAGCTTGAATGGGTCTTTGACCTCAGTCTTCCAACGACAAACCGCATGCTTAAAGACTTTCCCATGAGAGGCATACCTCCCCCATGCGACTCACGTAGCGTTCTTTCAGCTTACAGTGGCCATTTCCTACTTGTATTGGGTCTTGCCTGAGAGACGGGGGCTTGTGAGCGCATGATTGGGTGTTATTGATAAACGGCGAAGTGTCTTCTTGCTGAAGTTTTCAAGTCAGCATCTTGGTGGATCATCTATCTCATGAGCATGTCACACGAGTTCATCTGAGCTCATTTCATATTACGCATCTCTAGGAGAGAAGCCCGTCACATTGATTCTCGTATCTGGACCTCTTAATTGCTGACACACATGCGACTTCACAAATGTTGAGCGAAGTCTTTAGTGACATCTTCCGTCCACGCCATTTCCAAAATAAATGCCTCTAATTACAAAACTCAACCATCAACTCGAACTATGGGAGTGCTTGACTATCGGTCTACTTGCACTCGACCTCATCATCACGCTCTACGGCCTTGGGTCTGAGATGCCCGACGCTGTTCTCCCGCAATCCGAAGCGGAAAGCGTCATGGTAGTTGCCGTCAAAGAGCTTCTTCTCCTCATGCAGCTGCTGCAAATTTTCCTTCCTGCCTATCCAGGCAGCGATTTCGAGAGTCTCACACCTTCGAATGTTTTCAGAGAGCGGGCGGCCTGCAAGTGGATCGGCGGCCTTTTCGGAACACACAGCGCAGAGTTCGCAGATTTACTACCCAAGCTTGGCGACGATGAGCTCAAGACATTTGGGTTATTCATCGTTCCAGTGGCAGCCGCTGTGGTTTGGAAGTGGAGAAGATTGCAGCGGCGTTTGCGCGCTGCTAGGAGGGAAGAGGAAGCGGCGTTGATTGCGAGGGTTTTTCGCGTTTGGGATCGGGGAGATGGCACCGGCGGGTGAAATGCAACCTCAGTCGTGAGTTCCTTCTGAGCGGCTTCCATCTTGATGAACCTGATTGGAGATAATCGCCTTGAAACTAGGTAGCTAACTCTCAATGAACAGGCCAGAATTGCCTTTCCAAATAAGGGAAGCTTGAAAACGCAAGCTCAAACCTGGCCCACTTGAGGGAATTGGGGAGGACATACTGTGAACATCGACGACCGGCAACCCAGAATTGGTCTACCAATAAAGATTATCACTCTCTACTGGAATAAAATTGGGCAGTTCTCGATCTTCTTAGGGTGCTACAAAAGAATGAACATGCCCGATGACCGGTCGAAAGCTCCAGCATCATGTCCAATACTCCCACACTTGGTAATAATGCCTTGCAGGGCCATTATGTAGATGCCTTCACTTCTATCAACCTGCCAAAGCCAAATAAGCTTACAACTTCCGACTATCCAGAATTCAAGCAAAGATTTGAAGATCACGTGGAATCACCCAGAACTCTACAAAAGATTGTCATCCTTTCATTAAATTTACCACATATAGGTTGTTCACTCTAGGCACTGGGTTCGTTCCTTCCTCTTTGCGCGCCTCTCCTTCCTGAAAGGTGAGAACCGTCTGAACAGAGATTTCTTTCACCTCACCCTGCCCCACGCGGTGAATTTTCAAACTCACCACTCTCTCAATAAAATATTTCGCGTCGCAGTCACCACCCAAAACTTCTTCTCCCACAAACCACCACAACAAATCTCTCCCATACAACTCACAAACCACAACCTCAAGACAAAGACACACACCAACATCCACCAACACAATCATGGTCACCACTATCGCCAATTATACTCTCGGCGGGCTCTGGTAAGTTTCCCCTCACCTCTTCCGGCGCGCCTTCCCCAGACTCACCTGCTTGTTCACAGGATGTACTACCTCTTAGAGGAGGACAAGACCAAGCGTCTCGCAGAGGCCTACACGCCCATTCCTCTCCCCGATGAGCCTACCTACAACAGCAGTGATGTCAGCATCATTGTTCCCACCATCAACACTCCTGATGAATTCACGGACTGTCTTCGTCTGTGGCTTACGAACCAGCCAAAGGAGATCATTATCGTAACCATTGAGCGCGACCTCCAGCGCGTCTACGACCTGGTTCGCCCCGTGGTTACTGAGGGAGATGAGCGCATCAGCCTCATGACTGCTGATGTCGCCAACAAGCGCGAGCAGCTGCTTGTCGGCATCAAGCACGCCAAGGGCAAGATTCTCGCGCTGGTTGACGATGATGCCTTCTGGAAGTGCCAAGTCCTTCCCCACCTCCTGGCTCCCTTCGAGGACCCCAAGGTCGGTGGGGCTGTTGGCAAGCAGAGGTATGTCTGAATTGCCGCTCAATCTTCTGTCATCTTTTCTGACCAGGTTTCCAGTGCCCATTTCCCTGTGTGTCGCCGCAACCCAAACGTCATCACCCCTTGGGAGGTTGCCTCTCTCCGTTCCCTCGAGAACCAGAACAATGTCCAGGCTGTCCGATTCGCCGCAGATGGTAGCGTCTTCTGCCTCGTTGGTCGCACCCTCATGATGCGCGCCGAGATCGCCCAGGACCCTCGTTTCCAGTACGAGATCACTCACGAGTACTGGTGCGGCAAGCGTCAGAACACGGGCGATGACGTCTTCATCACCCGCTGGCTTGTCACCGAGGGATGGAAGATGTCTATCCAGAACGCTCCCGAGGCGGAGATTACCACCCTCGTCATGCGCGACAGCGCCCTCCTGCGTCAGATGGTTCGCTGGCAGCGCAACGCCATCCAGTCCTTCCTGGTTACTGTCGTCTACAAGCCTGGTCTTCTCCAGCTCTACAAGTACGTCTCGTTCCCCGCACTACCCATGACGTTGTACTGATAGCTTAGTAGGAAGCACCCCTACATGGCTCGCAAGCTCGTCGAGCGCCTTCTTCGCCCCATCATTGCTTGGGTCCATATCATCGCCTTCATCGTTGGCGTTTACCAGAAGTCGCCTGTCGCGTAAGTACCACAAACCTCTTCCAACATGATCACAGACTGACACAGTTCGACCAGGTACTTCGTTGGCATGTGGTACCTTTTGTCCATGATCGCCACTTACCGCGACTTTGTTCGCCGCTACCCTTGGGCTGAGGGTCACCTTGGCGCTGCTATTCTCCTCGACATTTGCTACCCGGTTGTCGACGTCTACTCTTGGCTCACTCTGAGCACCGAGGCCTGGGGCACCCGCAACGAGAACGCTTGAATGATGACCTTGGGCGTTGATGATTATTGGCTTTGACTTATGACTCTGGGTTTGGGAGGCGACGGATCCTTCAGAATGGCTTTTGGCGTTTGGTACTACAATGGCATCTCGCACGAGAGAAAAGGACAGATACCCTCAAATTGGTAGATACAGATTGATGAATAAAAGTCTTTGACACAGGCCTATGTTCATGCAGCACGCGACACGTCTGGCTTCCCAACCACACAATCTAGCCTCCCCGGCTCAGATTTCCCGTTAATGCCAAGTCCTGAAAGCAGTTGATCCTTGAGTGAAAGCTGACTCTGCAGCAGGTCTATTTATGGTGAGCCTTTGTCATCGCTCGTGGCTACCGTACCCGGTCTACGAGCTCATGCACGTAAGACGCCGATGGGCCGACTCTCTACAATTGGAGTTGCAGCTACGAAGGGCCCAATCAGAATTTCGGCACGACCACCCAAGGTCGTTGCAACGCCCAATCCAGTCGACGTTGAGGAATGACACCACACACCAGAGTTGCAGTCAAGACTCATCGCTCGTAATCGCCCCTGATGACTACTTACGCTGAGGCTGACATCCACGGCAGGTTTGATGACTCGAGGAACTTTTTGATGTCAGCTGAAGCTGAACTGAGACCTCACCACCTCAATTGACTTCTTCGCCAAGATGCACTGTCGCCTGTATAAGAATGTGTAACCATCGCATACCATGCTTGATTGGCTTCCAGTCGCTCTCTATCACTCATTCATTGTGTTCTTAGGCCGTTGCCTCAGACGAACGCAGCAATGTCTCAACTCGCAATCGGAAACCCTGTTCGCTTCCAGGACTGGTTCAGCACCTTCGGCCCCAGACTCCAAAACATATCGACGGGTGTTTGCAATGAGACGCTCAATGCCTACCTCGCAGACTACCGCAACTTGAACACTCGAACTTGCGACCTGCATCTCGATTGCATCCTCACCGAAACCTCCGAATCCACAAAGGCCAAAATCGCTTCTGCTGCCATTTTCCTCGGCATCCTTCCTTCAATGCTATCAATGATGGGTCCCTCGATGACCCAACTCACACTGCTTTCCGCCCGTCGTCCCCTCCTTGCCATACTCATCGCCTTGGGCAGCACGGCCTTCTGCCTGGATCGCCTCTTCCATATAGAAACCCCAGCCGACATCTTGTCCATGGTGCAGGGTGAACGGTTCATACCCCGAATCCGCAGCTCAAAATGGGGCATCGTCGTCAGCATTCTGGAATACCTATTCATTGGGGCTGCGGTATTCAATGTCATCAACTTGGCTGTGCGTGTTGGCGACTACACCGTCATGAGCTTCCAATGCAACATCTGGTTCTTCCCCCTCATTTGGGTCCTCTCCGTTACCTTCATCTTCCTCCTTGTCGCAATACCGTTCCAATTCTCCGCCATCGCAAAGCACATCCGCAACCGCACGGGCCCTGGTAGTGTCAGTCGGGTTGATGCGGGTCCGGAGGGCCCCGACGACACGCAGTGGACCCCGCTCCCGCCGCGGGCCGAGTCGGTTTCCCCGTCCGGCACATTTTCACGGCAGAACAGCGGGACATCCGTCTCCAAATTCATGTTGAGGGAGCTTACCCCAGGGCTTCGGCACCCGTCGCTGAAAGTCGCCGAAGTACCGCAATTTGAGCCGTGGGTTGCGGTGCTGTTCGGCGTTGGCTCGTTTTTTGCTGCGTTTCACATCATTTTGGGCACCGGGTGGTTCTCGTCCATCTTGTTTCTGTCACCGGGCGACGCTATCAGGGTTATCATGAGGTTCTTTGCATCATCCGTGGTATGCAGGCTTGTTGTGATGGTGGAGCTGGCGAGTATGAAGTCGCAGGAGATGCCTCGGGGATAAGAGTGATGGAGCGGGGACTGGTTGAGTCATGAGTACGCCCAGCTTTGAATCGAGTCTCGCAACAACATTATGTGAAAAGGATATGAGACTTCAAGTTTATCGGAGAACCTGGACATGAAAATTCTCGAAGGCATCGAATAGTTGGCTGCAGTGGAAGCCTCTTGCTTACGCCCGGGTGACACGGCATGGAGTTGATATTGGTTCTCCATGCGGGGAGCTATTACAGCGTAGGGCCTTATTATTAACAGGGGATCCGGCCTCACCGTTTAGCGGAAATAGATGTGACGTGTGTCAGGTTGCGCACAGCTCACAGGAGGCCCTGGTGTCAGATAGCATGATTGAATAACTGTTTACCTGCGAACAACTGCTGGAATTTTAGGCACTGGATAGCTCCGGATAGCCAAGCGAGCCCGGGTACGTGTACTGAGTATTAACGAGAATATGGCGAAAGGTTTCGCTGCAGTTGGATGGAAGTAAGACAGCAAAACTCATTCTGTGCTATCTACCTAGGTAGCGTGGGCATCGCTATTACGGGACATAGAATCCAATTCTTCCTATTCCTGTTGAATGTTTTGACGCCGTGGCTTTTTCAGCTTTCGCCTTACTCTCAGCCGGGCCCGGTCGCTTGGTTCTGGGGGAACACGACGTCGCACCCATGCTATTGTCCGTTAGAGATGAACGAACCCATACCGATATCATGGAAACCAGTGAATGTTGGCGGCCTAGCTTGCCTTCGGTATGAAACCACCTCATTATTCGGAGAATATAGCTTTACAAGCCATACGAAGCAGCTCGGTCTCGCTCACGGACTTTGGGGCCGACGTGGCAGTACGAGGCGTTCGTTCCATGAAATCGGAATGGAGCTTAAGGTTTGCGTCACGCCCCTGCCCTTAAGCAGTCGCTGCCAGCTTACTACAACCTCATAGTCGCTGAAATATGATCAACGGCGTTCCTCGATGAGTTGGAACGAGTATAAAAGTGGACAGCTTTCTTCGATTTTGTTCGAGAAGATCATTAATCCAACCCTCAAATCATCCATATAAAAACCACCAACCGTGCTAGACGCTTTACTTAACTTTCTCCGTCCCGGCGACCCATTTTTCCAAATCACCATGCAGTTCAAGACTTCCTTCCTCGTTATCCTCGCCTCCATCTTGTCGGTCTCAAGTAAGTTCTGCGTCCAACATTCACCACAAAGACACGTTCAACATGGATGCTGACTCTTCTCAGTGGCCTGCAAGGATGCGCAAGGCAAAGAGGGACAGTGCAAGCCTCCTAACTTCTGCTGCGCCGCCGACGGATTCCAATGCGTCTTCAGGGAGGAGTGCAGCAGCAAATAGAGGGTGGCCACGAATATCTGTGAGACCCATTTTGTACATAAGCGAGCTCTTGAAAATTCTCATATTGTTTTTCTGTCCCAAACACTTGCTATCTAAGGATGCCTCTCGTAATGGATGGCTCATAATAAACGACGATAATTGTTTCCAGCTAATGACAGCGCGCAGTTTCTTCGAAACATCACGACGCTCGGGCCACACTTGCGCAGCTTCGCTGATTCCGCAGTTGTCACTGGCTTTGGAAATGGCTCAATGCATCCCAGTCCAGTTCAAGAAAGACTCTTGAGAAGCAACATTTAGTACGATAGAATCTGAACTTTTATTCTGTCTCGTTACATGATGTCTAGCATTCGTCTGATTTTCTTTACTATACCCTCAATCAAAGTAGTTGGAGCCGAGGTACTGCGGCCGTCCTCATCACCATCCGCGGCGCACAGAAGTGAACGCAGCAACGTCGGCGTGCATCTTGGATCTAGGAAGCTTTTTGCGCGATCAACGATTGAAATCGGCAACGGTTCCGCTGTGTCTATATCCGCCGGCTTGGGGTCGATGCCTAACACACTTTCCATTTGGTTCAAGATCCGACAACTGATGTAGATGAGCATTTCGATCTGCAGGTGAGGGTGTCCATCCAGCTGGAACCCCCCTATGCGGACATTGGGTAGCAGAGAAGGTGCTAGGTCTGTCTTCCAGCATTTTGATTGCGGTGACGTTTGCTGCCCATCTTGTGGGTCGCCGATGGGTCCTTCGTGCGCTGACAGGGATGTGCGTCTGTTTTTGCGCTGCTGGTTCTGTGACAGTAGGGCGTCGTGAATGGCGGCGAAGACTGCCTCGTAGCCGTGGAACAGCCAGATGCAGCATGTCATGATGGTCAATGTCGTCGGGCCACTGCAGTGGCTACTAGATCGTTTGGGGTGTGAAGATGTTGTGCTGCCAGGCGTAGTTTCGCCACCAGACGGGTGCAACGTGGTTCCCGAAAATTGACTGTAGATAGCGTCTCCATCATCATTGTGGGATCTGTTCCTTGTCTCAGTGTTGAAGAAGACAGAAGTATCAAGTGAGTCAACCAGGAAATCCTCTGAATTATGATGAGAGTCGTACGACGACTCCTTTTCTTGACGTTCCATCAAGTCCTTCAGTCCCTCAACTGCATCCAAAAACTCCTGGGAGCTCTCCAGGAGGAATCCTATGATATTCTTGCATGGTTTTGTCTCTGATGTATCGCAAGGGGACTTATAGGCCAAAATGTCTTCAAGAGTGATATGATGATCCTCCGCAGCGCTCAGGCAGTCCAGAAGTTTTAAATTGAGACTGGAAAGTCGGTACAGACATTCGTGCTTTGTTCTGGGTGGCCCTTTGGTTTTGGAACATGTTGTGGCGCCGATAGTCCTTTTGTCTTGATGGACTTTTTGATGAGAATCCCGAACCTTACTGGCAATGGATTCCCCAGGTTCACTATTTCGATTTGCCGACGGTAGATCGTCGTCGAGCATACCATCCAACGGCGAGCCTGACGTCATCATGTCAAGGTCAAATTCGCCAAGGCCGTAAGATACATCAGGCCCGGTCCTCTCGTCCCTGTTCATTGATAGGAGTGGCGGAAACTTTGCAGACATGACGGGCGCATCTGCTGATGATGCTGGCGCGAAGACATTGTTGTGCTGATATTCCATGGGAGAAACAGTGCTTGGCATCGGTCCTGCGGTGCAGTCCTCCCTTGAAGGGTGTGCCGACAAAGGTGAGGGGTAAACGCCGAGCGAGACCGACTTTTCAGGATATGATTTGACTCCCACTCCGGAGACAGAAGCACGGCGATTGTTTGCAGGTTGGTTGAAGGCGGGTAGTGACAAGGGAGGAGGTCGAGCCAGCCGACGTTCATAGCCACTTGGGCGGATCGTTGGCGACCTACGTGCGTGCGCCACACGAACGCACTCGACGCCTGCTTTGACACATCGCGCACACGGCGTCAATGATGCTTCATTGCGCTCGGGCGATGGAATCTCGTCCGACGGCCTTACGCAACGGAGTTTGTAAGCGCGGCATCGGTCGCACGCACTTCGCCGAGCGCTCTGAGAGGCGGACTTCCTGATGTACGAGTTGCTCGTGTTGTCGACGGTGAAAAATGTAGGAGATCTAGAAGCCATGGGAGCGATTGACATGGAAAACTGGTCTATGATCCGGAAGAAACATGCAGTATCCTGAATAATTAGGTAAGAGTGGGCCTGGTTGAGGGTCCCGGGGATGAGGAAGCGGTGGAGATGCTGTTCGTGACTCGATATTCGGGCGGTTGAATGCTGGAGTTATTATACATGCCAGATCCCCCGCCAACTAGTGTAGTTGCGAATGGGTCGCACTTCCCAAGTCTCCTGTCCAAACAAGGGAAGAAGCTTATGCAAAAGGTTTACCAACGAATCCAGATACAGTTTTGCTGGCCCTGAGGGGGGCTTGATGACACCATCTGATGTCCTTACCAGGTGCTTCTTTCCAAATTCATGGTATTTCTCTATTGAACGCAAGTCTTCCCTTGCTGAAATCAATGACTCGCTCTGTCACAGCTCGTCTGTTGAGCGAGGCTTTATATTATGGGTAGCATGAACCTGTCGCAGTCCAGGGATGTTGATTGACACCTGAACGCCTACTTACCCTAGACGATATATCATACCAATCAACTCTCTTGTGTGCGCCTTCGTCGGTCGGCAAGAAAGTCCGCTCGTCAGGTTTGCTGACGCTTGGCGGACTTGGCAGACTTATGGCCGGGACCGTTGGACGAAGTTTAACTGCTGTCCCCTGCATTAGCTTATCAGTTCGGAGTAATTCAACACGAGATCTGCCACTGCCGTCTTTCTTGTGACGGCAGTCAAGGACGCCCGCCACTAGTCGTGCCACGCGGGGGGTTTGTCGGATTGGGTTTTCTGCCGTCTGACGCCACACAGCTTTCCATAAGGCGAGCCCTCAGACCACTCATTCTCTCCTTTGCTCCTCGGACTCTTCTTCAGTGCGATCAGTCATCAAGGATAGAGCTCCTAGCTAACCACGGCATGGCCAAAGCACACAATGCATTCAGAGATCTGCATCCCCAGCCGCTCCTTACCATTGCAGCCTCACCCGTGCTCTAGCCATCTACCTGAGAGAATTAGTTTCACAGGTCTTGTGTAACTACTTGAGACTCTTCTATTCCGGCCTCGGGTTTCCCAAATGCCTAGCACTTTCATGTTGGGATTTAGGCTTCCGCAAGAAACAGTTATCTGGTTTGATGAGTTGCAGTTTTATGCCATTTGAAGCAGCTACTCGGCGCTGTTTACCAACTTGGATCCTACCGCCACCTCGCTATTATGTATCTCCGCTTATTGTACCTCGCGCTCGGCGAGCTCCCTCGGCGGCCACGTACGCACAGCATCCCACTCAGTCCAATGAGCTTGCTTCTTTGAGTCATAACCTGACGGAAAAGCTGTTCATTTCCTTGACCTGCCTCGGTCTGCGCAAGTGCGAGCCTATCGGCTGTCTCGAAGAGTCCCTCGGCAGAGGCGTGAAGCTTCCGACTCACTTGTTCGGCATGCTTCGTCTGCCTGCCGCAGATTCGGTGGTGTCTCTGACTCAAAAACCAGATCCCGCACAGCTGGGCCGGGCCAAGTGGGTAATATGACCTCGTATTGTGCATGTTTTGCTACCTAGGTGGGAACCTGTCAATGCAAGAATTGGCGGACAAGTTCAATCTCCGAGGTACTGCTACGTTAAGGTACAGTTCCGCAGGGCTCTAGGGCCCGAATAATAATTGACCCGGCGGGCTGACTGTCAACGCTTCCTTCCGCAGAGTCAAGGCACCACGGATGAACTGTTTAATACCTTGTTCTAGCTCCGTCAGCTAATGCGCGAGCCCTGGTGCGGTCCAGAGAGTGTCCTGGTAGCCAAATTGAGTTTCCGATAGACCTCGGAGTCGCTAAAAGGTGCCGGCGTGAGCTCCGAGCTGCATTCGGTGAGGGGCAGTTGGCATGGTAGCCTGGGATACACCCTGTAACTCACCTTTGTCCGCCGCCCTACAAGGCCTGTATTATGGATGGAATCCACTCTCACAGAGTTCGGAGGATGGTTCGGCGCTTGGAAGCTTATTTAGAGGTCGGCAAAAGTTTACCCAATATGGTAAAGAACAGTCTGCTCGTAGCGTCTGACGCAATCCGGAGCAAGACTAGAGCTCAATGAAAATTAAACTCAGGAAGCGATGAAACATTCTCGCACTGACAGGAGGTTGAAGTAGGGACTTCCCAACACTCTGGTAATTATTACAGAACAATTGAGTATAGCTCCCGCGTTAGTGCCGTTTCGAAGCAGCTTGATTCGCGCAAGTTTAGTTATCATTGCTCAGGAGAATCGTCTATCGCCGACAAGACGCAGAGAATGGAATACCTTGCTCAAGTCTTGTTGGTTCTTGACTTTAACGAGAAACACCATGGCTAGTGTCTGCCTCCGAAGCTCAACGACGGAGAACTGTGGAGGCTCTCCGAAGCTCAATCGTTGAAGTGCTCCGAAGCTGAACTGTTCCTGTCCTCCGAAATACAACTATCGGGTGGCTTCGAGGTCTCCTGGTAATGGCGTACGAGAAATAGACACCATTCGTAGATATATAAAGAAACGATCTTGGATCTATAACTTACAGATTGTGTTTGCTTCCCATGTGACCATATGCGCGTCACGTCAACATCTCAATATCAAGCTTGACTAGACACTATTTCACTTAGAACAGTCTATTCTAGATCTTCTGCACACAATGTTGGCTCAAAGCGCTATCATCAATCCCGTCGTCCCGAAGCCATTCACACTATCTAGAAGTGATGGTTTCGCTCCCAGCCAGTATGAAAAGCTAGGAGCAGAGCTCGTGCAATGCATGTCGGCATATAGCAAAGCTTTGGAGAAGGAGGGGCTTCCCGAGCCGTCTCTGTCACCCAGCATCTCTTCAAAGGTGGTTCTCAAGAGCAACAAAGCGGTGCAAGAGAAAGCACGAATCGCCGAGCTTGCACGCCAGATCCTAGCAACAACGTTGGATCCTGGAACAAGTTTGTTTCTCAGTTCTCTGCAGGTAAAACCGCATCCTTTTCTCAGTCGCACTCACCACAATATCAGCCGCATGTCGGTATCTTCGTGTCTAACAGCAATTTCAGTTTCATTTCTGCGCATGCCTGAAAGTTGTCTTAGACCTTAAGGTAGGAGACAACATTACGCAACATGGCCGAATCTCAAGAAAGGAGCTGGCCGAGTCCCTCTCTGTGGAAGAGAGCCTGCTGGCTCGCATCATGCGTGTCGTTATGACCAACTTCGTCTTCGACGAACCCGAGCCGGGCTACTATAGCCACACGTCCATCTCCTGGGCGATGCAGGGCCCGGCAATGCATCACCTCCTTCTTCATCGCCTGGGTGAGGGATTCCGATCTGCCAGTCGAGAGCCCGACGCCCTACGCCAGAGTGGATTCCGCAATCCCAAGCCTGGCGATTCCTGCGGATTCAACTTGGCTTTCGGCTACGAGGGCACTTATTGGGATTACATTGCCAACATCGACCTCGAACGTGGTGACAACTTCAATCAGGCTATGAAAGCTGTCACCATCAACAGCTTAGGCGAAATCCCGAGATTATATCCTTGGGAAAGTTTGGTTGCCGACGGAGGCCTTATTGTTGACGTTGGAGGTGGCCTTGGTCAGGTTAGCCGAAAGATTTTGGAGGCCTTCCCTGATTCAGGTCTCCGCTGTGTGGTTCAGGACAAACACGCCGTGTCTTCTGATACGAGAGATCCTCGAAGCGACTTGGATCTGACTCTGCAACAACACGACTTCTTCAACACTCAACCGATCAAAGGTATGTTCCCAATGCGCATCATTAGTCACATGCTCGCATCATGGTCTGACCAGTCTTCATACACACAGGCGCTGCGGTCTACCATCTTCGCCATATCCTTCACGATTGGCCTGATGACGCCTGTGTGGAAATTGTGCGACAAATAGTTCCAGCTATGGACGCAAAGCGCAGCCGCATCCTCATCTGCGATCAAATAGTCCAAGACCACTCGCCGTCTCTCGCATCTGTTCTTTACGACGTTGACATGATGTCACTTTTCAATGGTAAAGAGCGCTCGCTCTCAGAGTTCCGTCAGATATTTGTGAAGGCGGATCCGAGGCTTTACATCAAAGACGTGAAGCGGTCACAGGAATCCGCTACGACTATGATAGAGGTTAGAATCTCATCTGCACCCACAGCTTGATGTTTGGTAGAGGCATTAGAGTACGTAGCTTGTCATCAAAGTTCTGAGGTCCATCGTGTGCCTTACAGTATATCTCTCCCATATCGGTGACTGTGTGGTCTTCGGACTCGGAGGCATCGGAGTGACCCTGGCTGAAACAAGAAGGGCGTTCGGTCGGGACTTCGGCGCCTTGGATCGGGCGAGGGCTGTATGCATGGCGCTGAGTAGCTACCCTGCTCACCTTGGAAATGATCGCTGTCGATATGTGTAGTTGGTGAGACGAAGAAAGCATGGGGGCTTGTCTGGAAGGAAACCCACCCCTCTTTCACACTTGACCAAGGCTTGCGCCATCAATCTTATGGATGTAGGTAGGGAGTTGACATTGACTCTCTACTTTGAAATTATTGCATGAGTATGGTTACGGTAGGTGGGATTGGGCGACTTCTAGACCCCATCAATGATGTGATTGACTGGACCGCACGGCAAGATGTCAATACGAAGTAACGCGAGCCATCCGAGTGATTCGGATGATAAGATGCTGTCGGATCACATCTATAGCGCGGATGTGGAGTCTTGACTGAGAGAGAATGAGAGGGTGTTTGCAATTGTCTGGATATTCAGATCAATTGGGAAGCTTACGTGTGTCTATCACGTGAGTTGGGCTGGCAAGCGATGAAGAGCGTCATCATCTTTAACACAGACATATCGTGGATTATTTGGTTGAAATACATGTGCTCAGTCGTACTACGCTATGAAGTATAAATGAAATATCATTAAAAAGAAGAACCATCTCCAGAACTCCTGGAACTCCATGTCATGATCATCGTTAAGCTAGTGGAAGGACCACTAGACTCTCAAAGCCAGGCTTCTTCCTTTTGCAACATCGTCAGCGTAACGGGCGCATTAGCCGCGCCACGTAAATACTCGCCAAGCAGCACGCTCATTCCTCTGGACTCAGCTCGTGTCGCCCACTCATCCATCGCCATCACCTCAAACTCACATCCGGTATCGAGCTCAAGCGTGGCCTTAAGGTCCGTCAACGGAACAATCTCCTCGCCACTCTTGTAGAGATATGCGACCCGGCCTGGCCAATAGTAATCCTTGTAAACCTCATCTACGACTTGCATAGCCGCGCCCTCCACCGTGATGAAGTCCAGCCAACCGTTCCAGGAGCTGACGTCGGGCATGGCTTTGATGTCTCTCGAATAATGCAGCAGATTGGAGATCAGGTCGCCCGCCGGTGCGCCCACCCCCTTGATGGAAGAGGGACGGTGAATCCAGATGGGCAAGTCGCACTGATCGCTGATCTTCTCAAGGTATCGCTCACTGGCCCACTTGGTCGCGATGTATCCGCTGATGTTCCTGCTTGCAAGTGGCGGGTAAAGCTTGACGGACTCGGCACCCCAGGTCTCTTGTCCCGTGAGTTGGACGATGCTAGCCGATGAGATGTAATGGAAGGAAACTCGGCGCGGCAAACTGAGACGCACGAGCTTCTTTGTGGTCTCGAAGTTGACCGGCTTCAAGGTGGCGTAAGATTTCATGAAGGAAACATCAGCCCCATTGTGGATCACGGCGTGTGCTTTGGAGAAGATGTCGGAAAGCTTCTTCTCCGATAGACCAAAGTGCGGAGCCGCTAGATCTCCGTGGTGCACGACGACCTTCGGCGAGCGGAAAATCTCGTCCTGGATGTCCCGACGTACGGCGAGACAGTGGATCTTCTCGACGACGCTATCTTCGAGCAGGCGTGTCAGGATGGCTCGACCAAGGAAGCCGGTGGCTCCCGTGAGTACAACAACGGTCGGGTTTCCGAAGTAGAATCGCTCACCGCGCACACGGAGCAGGTCAGGAGAGATGCTGGTTTCCTTCTCCCAGTCTATCTCAGTGGTGGTGATGACCTGTGCTGGTGTCTCCGAGGAAGCGGACGAGAGTGAGGCGATGACTGCCGCCATGCCTGCCAGCGTACCTGATTCAAATAGCTGGAACAGGGTGACCTTTGTGCCGAAAGAGTTCTCTATCAGCGCTCGTAATTGGACGAGCAGAATAGAACTCCCGCCGACGTGGAAGAAGTTGGATTCCTTGGTGATCTGGTACTGCGAGAGCACCTCGAGTAATATGAGCTGTGACCAGAGCTGCAGCAGCTGTGATTCGATGTCGTTGAGATTATCATCACCATGACCCGCAGATTGAATCTCCAACTCTTGTGCCTTAGGTAGCGGGATGTTCTTCAAAGCGATCCTATCGACCTTGCCGGAAGGATTCTTGGGGAACTCATTGAGAGGAATGATGGCTGCTGGACGCATGTATCCGGGCAAAGGAAGTCGAGCCAGAACGCGGCTAAGGTCCTGAGATGCTTGTGAACCGGCTGTCAGGGCGAATGCAAGCAAGGAACTGGCACCGGTGGCCTTGGACTCGCGGGCGGCCACCACCACGTCTGAGATGCTGCCCTCGGCGGCTTGCATGATGGCTAACTCGATCTCACGAACGTCGATGCGCATGCCTCGAAGCTTGATCTGGGTGTCTCCCGCAATTCTTCCACCGAGAATGAGCGCACCGTCGGTCGGGTTGAGCTTGCCTGTGTCTCCAGTCACATGCAGTCGATTCCAGCCACTCTGTGAGAACTCTGAAGAGGCCCAGGCGTCTTGAGCGAAGCCAACGTTGTTGAGCTCGCGGTGGCTGTATCCAGCGACAACACCCGCGCCGCCGACGGCGATCTCACCGAGAACTCCGGTAGGAACAACCTTTCGGTTGGCATCGAGGATGTATACAGAGTAGTTAGGCCAAGTCTTGAACCCTTCCGCTTCGGTACTGGGAATTGTGTCGAGGCGGTAGTCTACCACCCTGGTACTGCAGCAAAACGTGATTTCTGTAGGGCCATAACAGTCAACCAGCTCCAGATCTGGATTATCAACCTTCCGCAAGCTCCTGGTCAGACTTTCCTTGACTGGCTCGCCGCCACTCAACAACTTTCTCCAGGACGACTTCCCGAGCGCTGCGGAATCTCCGTAATTGATCCAGCTGATGGCCTCAGACGGGGTAGCCGTCGTGAATGTGATGCCCTCTTTGGCGATGATTGAAGAAATGGCCTCCGGATCGCCGCGTAGCTCCCTTGGAACAACGTGGACCGTACCTCCGTTTGAAAGGGCCAAGAAGATCTGACTGAGAGACATATCGAAGCTGTAGGAACTCTGGTGGAGTGAAGTTTCTTGTCCCTCGCGGTAAGACACCATCTCCGTCAACACTTCAACAGTGTTGCGAAAAGATTCGTGCTTCATGACAATCCCTTTAGGCACACCCGTCGAGCCGCTGGTGTACATGAGGGCCGCAACAAGGTCTGACTGGGCTGCGATGGGGCCCGCGCGTTGGTTCAAGGCCGTCGCGAAAGCTTCGACATTGACCAGCTGCTCAGATGAAATGGTGTGCTGCAGGTTATTAGCCTCGAGCTCTGTTCGATTGTTTACCAGAACCAGATCCGGTTCGCAATCCCGCACAATGGACGATAGTCTTTCCCAGCCGATGGTGATGTCGAGAGGTACATATGTTGCTCCCAGGCGAAGAACGGCCAGCATCGAGCAAATCCAATCGAAGCTGGGATCGAGGAGGACTCCGACTTTGCTGTTGATGCCAATGGGGCGGGTACAATGTTTGCTCAAAGCGTTGCTGACGGTCCCGATCCTTCGTGACATTTCCCGATAAGTGATGCCGGTTGCCTGGCCGTCTTTAACGGCAATTCTGTCGCCGAAGCGCTCGATCATGTCGTCAATCCTATGTACGAGGGTCGTTGGCCACTTCGGCTTTTGGAAGGGTCCTGTAGAAAACGTATCAGTGATCGTGAAACGCCTCACAAAAATACTGTTTGCTAGAACTTACCTCGTCCAAGTTCAATGGCCGCCTTGATATCTTCTGAACGGTAGATAGGAGCAGCACTCAATCGAGTTGCCGGGTTGCGAGAGACGGAGTTCACAAGCTCCAAGTACATGCTCTTCATGCGTGTCATTTCTGACTCGCCATAGAAGACCGACTGGCCGCTGAGCATGATACGACATGCACCCCCAGGATTCTCGATGATGTCCAACGTCAGATCATACGCCACGTCGCCCTGCTTGAATGTCAAAATCTCACTTTCGCAGTCGCAGAACTGGCGAGCATCCGATACTCCTGGGCGGTAGTTGACCATTGCCTGGAAGATCGGACTGTGCGAAGTAGTTCCTGCGACGCCGAGCTCCTTGACGATGACATCGAATGGCACCATCGCATGGCTGAAAGCGTTGAGGGCCTTTGTTCGGACTAGCTTGAGGACGTTCGCAAAGGTGTTGTTTCGGTCGACTTTGAAGAGAAGGGGAAGAAGGTTCAGGTACAAGCCGACACTCTCCATGGCCTCGGGGCTTTGTCGGTTTGCTGAGCTAACGCCGATACAAAGCTCATCAACGTCGACCAGCCGAGCCAAGAGCGTGTAGAAGACGGCAAGGTGGAAATGGAAGGGTGAAACTTTGAGCATCTTGCAGGTTGACTGGATACTGGTCGAAGTTTCCTCGTCAAGGTAGAACTCGGTCGTGGTTGTCGAGTACGTGGTCAGAGGCACGCGGGATTGTGCCTTAGCCAAGGGAAGAAGAGGGAGCACCGGAGGGGGCTGGCCTCTGAACTCGTTGCGCCAGAAGGCAAGATCCTCAGACCAGCGTCCTGAATCGTAGTCCAATCGCTGATGCTTGGAGAAATCGGGGTGCTGCATGATATTTCGTGCAGGTGATAGGTTTTGACCGTCGTAACCGAGTTGCAGCTCTCGCAGAACTACTTCAAGACTGACGCCATCCATGTTGATGTGATGATAACCAATGAGAAGGCGGTATGATGTTGGCATCATCCTGAGAAGAATGATTCTCATGTTCTCACCCTGGTCGAGCCGGTACTTGTGCTCGGCCAGCGCCTTGTAAAACTGCTCAGCATGGCCGGCGTCGTTGATCTCGTAGACCTCAAGGCTCAGGCACGATCCAGCGAGGACCTCTTGCACAACACCTTCCGAGTTCTTGCTGGCCGTGAACCTGGTGCGAAGTGCCTCGTGTCGCTGACCTACAGACGAGACCGCTCTCTCAAGCTTCTGAATGTTCAACGGGCCCCGAAGGTCAATGGCCATGGTGATGTTGAGAGCCGACGCAGGATTGTCCAGGAGATGTTGCAGGAACCAGAATCTTGACTGAGCGAAGGAGATGGGAACGCTCTTGGTAACCTGGGTACCGGCGCTGGCAACCGCATTGTTTTGCGCGAGATACTTGCAAATATCGGGCTCCGCAAGAGTACGGAATGTGGTGTGGTAAAGTTGTTGGCATGCAGCCTCGGGCTTGTCGACGTTGGACATCGGAGTCGACATGGAACTTGCCGGAGAGTCAGGAACAGATATTGTTGTGGATTTGTCGAACATCACAGAGTCAATGCTAGACCTGACGTCTGTGGTGGGTGACCAGATGGACTTGGCGGGTGTTGAAGGCGATAACTGAGGCGGAGCAACCGGGTCTTGTTTCGGAATCACCTGCGTCCGTGTCTCTTCCTTTGGTGGTTGTTGCTTCGGCAAGTTGAAGGAGATTGTAGGCTTGGTGTCCTTCTTCTCCATCTTATTCGATGGAAAAGCAGACATCCCAGGCTTGCTCACGGCCTTGGGCTTGAACGAATCAGCCTTCGGCGCCGTTGCTGTTGGTTTCGGGGTCACCACCGGGGTATCCTTCACCTCTGTCGGTACCGCAGTTGTGACCTTCTCTCGAGGCTTGGACAAGCCTGTTGCGTTCGCATCAAACTTGGGGATCAGATCCTTCGACAGCAGCTTCTGGGCTTGGGCGATGATGTCGTCAACGGTGGCGCCGCTAAGAATTTTTAGGACTGGAACCTCGACCTGGAACTCCTTGATGAACCAGGAGCGGATGTCAACCGCGACCAAAGAGTCAATTCCAAGATTGTCTGCTGTCAAGCTGCCCACAGCTCGGCCCTCCTCGACTTGCAGAGCGTCCTGCAACTTGGCTGCAAAGGCGTCTATCGTGTCAAACACCATTAGTTTCAGAACGTTACTTCAATTAGTAGTTCATTCAAGATGGCGGTACTGACCGTAGATAATCTCGCGGATATCATCTGAGCTGACGGCCTCTTGAAGCAGAACTTTGGCTTGGACTCGGCGACGGCTCTTGCCAGAGTCCACTGCCTGTCCCTGATTCTGTGCTGTTCTCACGCAATGCTGAAACATGGGGTTGTTGAACCATGTGACGTTCTTCCCAAAGTCGTCGCTGTCATCGATGGTCATCAAGCCTGTAGCGAGCTCGGGGTTCTTGCCGCGGTGGGCTTGCCCGGCATAGACAGCCTCGGCAAAGAGGGTATGGAAGTCCTGCTCCGAGAGCCACTGGTTTCCTACCCTCTTCAGGTATTCCTGTTGGGGGAGTGTCAGCTCTCTCGTGACGTACCCGTTGCCGAAAATGGCTCCGATATGAACGGCTGAGGCGTTGAGTCCTCGGCGTCTGCGCTGGGTAGCAAGACCAGACATGAACATGTTGGCCGCGGCGTAGGCCGACTGGCCCGGATTGCCGACGATGGATGCCATCGAAGAGAAGAAGACGAAAAAGTCCAGATCTGCGTCGTGGAATATTTCTTCAAGATGCAAACTGCCTTGAATCTTGGGCTTCGTGACCTTCTCCACGCGCTCCATGTCAAGCTCGGAAAACATGGTGTCGTGAAGCACCATGGCGCCTTGAGCAACTCCAGCAATCGCTGGCATGGTCCTTTCAATGGTCTTGTGTGCATTTTGGACAGAATCACGGTCAACAACGTCGCTATTTGTAAAACTAAGGTTAGCCATGGACTACTAATGTGAATAAATGTGGGTAAAATAAGAGACTTACACAGCAAGCAGTTCGATGCTGACACCCTTCCCACGCATCTTGGACAAGAATCCCGCGTCGACCTTGGGGTTTCTGCTGCTTAAGGCAATGTGACGAGCGCCTTGTCGCACCATCCAGGCACACAGCGAAAGACCGAGGCCACCAGTGAGACCAACCAGCCAGTACGTCTTGTCGCTCTGGAAACGAACCTTGGTTTCAACGGGTTCTACAGAAACGGGAACCTTGTTCGTCAAAGATTGCCAAGAAACGACAAACTCTGCAGGAGATTCCGGGCCGGACACATCTGTGGGTGACAGGACAGCGAGAGCTGGCTCGGCTGGTCCATGAATGCTCGTTGTCATCCTTCGGCTGTCCAAGACATAACTAGAGGCATCAGCTAGAACAGTTCGAATGTCTCTCGAACAGTCGCGCGTCGGTAGGTGGGCAGCAGAGCCAGTGAGATCGGCCTTTCGGACGATGCGGCGTTGGGCCGGTGGCAAGAAGTCGGAGATTGCCATAGTGACATTCCCGTCGTCAGCCATGTCCATGACACAGTAGTTGGCTTCGGGCGTCGTATCGGACTTGATGAGGTGCTGAATTGCCAACTTGGACGTCCGGGGCCCAACATGAGTCCACTTGGTGTCGGGTTTGCATGTCAGACACAGAACACTAGCCCTCTTGTCAGTTGCCAGCCTGTTCACCGACTCAGCCAAGTGATTCCAGGGCTCAATCAGGATAATCTGAGTGCCGGACAGGCTTTCATTGCCCAAGGCCGCGCGGGCGACTAGCTCTGAGTAGAACATCTCGACAATCTTGGCCCCTTGGTCCTCTGAGAAGGGGATCCCGTAGAGAACAAATGACCTTGGAACAGAGACCTTGGACGCCAAGCTCGGAGTCAACGCCAGGACAGAGTCTCCAGTGCGAGTGTCCTTCCCTAGGACAGGGAAGAGAAAGCAGTCCTTGGCTATGGCCACGGATCGGTTGACAGTGTAGGTGACATCCACGTCGACAAGATGATCTCGTGAGAACCATGATTGATGAGTAGGTTGAGCGTCAACTTCCATAAGCTCCCATGTTTTGCTGTCAATTTGATGACGGAGCTCAATTGTTGAAGTTTCGGTGTTGACCAGGTCTTTGACCGTGCCCCTTCCCGACTTGTAGCGATTGTTCATGTCGGTATTGTGCTTAAAGCGAGGGACAAAGAGTTTACCACTAGCGTCGAGGAACACCTCAGGCTCGTGAGAGTGCAGCAGAGAGTATGCCATGTCGCCGCTCTCATCCCAGGACCCTGCCACGTCAAACCGGAGCATCGCCTCGGCAATGGCATAGGGGCTGAGTATCGCTGTGGTGTCAAGGTCAAGGAACTGAAGTCGCAAGTGCAGCATCTCAAGCACAATCGTCCTTCCGAATCCGACAACCATTCTGGCGTAGGGGTCTCCGTCACGAACGCCTCTAGTAACCCAAAGAACATGCTTGGATTGCTGAAAGACTTCCTGGAAGCCACGAAGCTTGGTCGCATCGATCGATTTCAACACGGGACCATCTATATCGGCCAGACACAGAACGCTGCCACCAACATCCAAGTCGCCGTCCTGGAGACTGTGCAGTGACTCGACGAACCGGATGGCACCATAGTGCGTGAAGAGAAGCCTTTGCACTTCGAAAGCCAGCGCTGAGCTTTCAGATCCACCGCCAATAATTGTCAGCCGAGGGATGACATTGGCCTCTAAAGATTGGCTCAAGGGCTGTTTCAGGAACTCGACCTTGCTGTCGACTGCTTGCGCCACGATAACGGACAGCGGAACTGGGAGAGTGTCGTGGTGTGGGACAACGGTCTCAACTCCGGAAAATCCAGTCTGTTTGAAAACATTGTCCCATGCCTCAAGATCGATGCACGGGGACAAGACGCGACCGTCATCGGCTCCAAGCCACCATCCAGGAAGACCGCCAAAGAGGAGACCGAATCGCATCTGCTCGTTTTCTGTGATCTCAAGCAGCAACAGATAACCGCCCGGCTTAAGCAGCTTGCGGACGTTGACCATGGTCTCCGCCAGGTTGCGGGTGGCGTGGAGCACAAGGGATGCCACAATGAGGTCGTACAACCCTTCTTCGAAGCCCTGTGCCAAAGGATCTTTCTCTATGTCCAAGACTCTGAAGTTCATCTTGGACTTGTATGGCGAAAAGACCCTGGACGCCTTCTCGAAGAATCCGCCTGAGATATCGGTGAAGTCGTACCTAGAGAACTGGTCACCCACTTCCCTGAGAACGGCCTTCGTAGCACCACCCGTCCCGGCACCGATCTCGAGAACCTTCATGTGAGGATATCGGTGGGCAACCTGGCCGGCAAAAGTAGCTAGGTACGAAGTGTACCGGGGAAAGCCCTCTCCAAACTCGTAGAAGTTATTGAGCTTGTTGTCTTGAATCATGTGCTCGAGCATGGTGGTCTCCTTCCGGGCCACGGCTACAATGTTGTCACCGACGGCGCGCATAAGCCTAAGGTCAGCGCTTTGAGGGTACTTGTCGAGGATCTCGTTGATAATCTCCTCGGTGTCATGCTTCCACTCGTTTTTGGCGAACGGATTTGTCCCCGTAGCGACGCTGTTCAGGACATAGTCGTTGTACTCGAGTAATCGCTTGAAGTTCCATTCCAAGTTCTCGCGCTCGTAGGAGGGAAAAGCGCGGCCAAGGACGCGGTGATAATAGTAAGCAACACGCTCGAGTGCGAAGAAGAACTCGCCATCTAGGGGCGGGACCAATGTCGTTGCGATAGCCGTCTCTGCGTCGGGTTTAGCGACATTCCAGGACATCTCGGTGAAGATGTTAATGCCGTCGGACTGAGTGGGATCAGAAAGTGGTCGAGTCTGAAGACCCTCGAGCTGCAGAGCCTTGAAGGTCGGCCCTCGAGGTGAGTAGATGTTGATGTCGCCCGTCACACTCTTTGCGGCACCTGTGAATGCGATCGAATCGAACGGCACCTTGACAGGTTGGCCGGCGAAATCAGCGCAGAGTGTCGGGTTGACAAGGATGCGCTCAAATCGCGTGGGAACGTAGACGGAGCGCAGCATGGTATCCCCAGGGTATGAGTAAGCCATCATGATGGACTGAATGCCCGAGTCCAGTGTAGCTGGATGGACCAGTAACGGCGGTTGGACGTTGATGTCGACTGTTGAAGCCGGATTCTGGATGAGACCCTCAGCATAGCCAAGCCGGCGTCTCAGTCCCCGAAGGGCGCGGAAAGGCCCCGAGTACCCAAAGCCGAGGCCATCGAGGTTGTTGTAGAATCGGTCTTCTTCGACATCTAACAACAAAAATTCGTCTTCATCTTGCGGCTTCGGCGGCAGGAGATTGGCGTCACTTTCACACAGAACGACGATAACTCGGCAGCTGGCATGAGTGTTCATGGCCAGGGCATCGTTGCTTGCCGTGGAGTGGAACCCAAATCGGGCGCTGATGGTGTTGTCCGATTTCGTTATTTCGCCCAGTTCAATTGTCGCATCGACACCAGTGCTGTCATCGTCCTCAAACACCATTGCATGTCCAATGTCGAAGTCGCGGAGCTCAATGCACTGAACAGAGCCATCTTCGGAGAACGCACGCATACAGGCTTCGATACAAGCCGAAACGTACGCAGCCGCGGGGAACACGATCTGACTCTGGACTTGATGACCCTCGAGCCACTCAATTTCGCTGCGCTTGATGATATTGCGCCATCGCATGCGGCCCGGTACGCCGTCCAGAATCTGGCGGCCTAGAAGCTCGTGTGAGCGGTTCTTATTCGTCCTGAAAGCCTTTGAGAGCCGAGACTCTTGCCAAAGTGTCCGACTGTGGTCCCAAGGATAGGTGGGAAGGCCCTTTGTGACGGCGAAGTTCGGTTTGTCAACCAGTTCACCGGAACAGAAGGTTTCATATGCGCTGAAATCAACGACACCCTCTCCAAACGTCTGCCAGATGTAACCAAGGCTCTTGGAGACGCTTTCGGTGCCGTTCTTCCCACGCTCCAATAGTCCCGTGTAAGCCAACGGTGACTCCCCAGTGTATTCTTGCACTATGCGAGGAAACAATTAGTTGCTAGATATGTATAGGAACAGGGAAATTACTTACCAGTCTGCTTGACAGGTCCCTGAAGTGCGGGATGGGGTCCGACCTCAATTCCGAGATTGAACATTCCGTCCATTGTGTTGCCCAAGTAAAGCACCTCCAAGGCCTCAGCAAACCTAACTGATTCAACAAGGTTGGAAGCCCAGTACGAACTGCCAAGGCTCACATGTGAAGGGATTTCGGAGATCTCGCACGTGAAAACGGAAGACACCCAGCGACATCCGCTAGTGGGACGCAAGATGTTGATCCCGCACTCCTCTAGCGACCGCTTGTATGGCTCGGCCACGACCTTCATGTGATGAGAGTGATAAGCACGGTCCACCTTGAGAAGGCGATTGAACTTCTTCTCATCTTCGAGGACGATCTGGATCTCCTCGATGGCATCGGCGTCACCTGACAACGTGACGCTGGCTGGAGAGTTACTCGCAGCCACACATGCTCGCCCCTCGAAGGCAGGCAGTGAGCAAAGCTCTTGAGCATCCTCAAACGTCGTCCCCGCAGCTATCATGGCTCCTTTCGTAGTCACCAACTGGAGGTGGAGACCTCGGTAGTAGGCGATCCGGACTGCATCAGTCGCGGAAAGATAGCCGGCGGCGTATGCTGCGCCAATCTCTCCCGAAGAATGACCAACCACCGCAGAGAATTGTATTCCGGCAACTCTCAATAGATCAACAAGTATGATCTGGACGGCCGTGCAAAGCGGTTGCGCCAGAGATGAGTTGGCCACCATGGAGGATTCTTTTGGAGCTAGCAGTTGATCGCGCAGGGTCCATGACGGTCGGTCGCGCGGTGGCAGCGATTGCAGGCTCTGATCGAGGCGTTTGATAATGTTCGTAACGGAGGGAGAGTCCTCAATCAACTCAGCCGCCATCCGCGGCCACTGCGCACCCTGGCCGGTGAACACGCCAAATACCCGAATGCCGGTATCGGAAGACTTGTTGGTGGAAGAGACAGCGGGGGACTGAATTGAAGCGTCCAACTTGTCGATGAGATCTTGCGTATCTTTGGCTGCGGGCACGACAGTGCGGGACCCCCAGGTTGAACGACGGTTACACAGCGTCCATGCCAGATCGCGCATGTTGATCCCGGTACTGCTGGTGGATTTTTGGTTCTTCAAAAAGCCCTTGAGGCGCTCGATCATGGAAGTAAGGACAGTGTCTGAAGCAGCTGACAGGAGACAGGGGGCAAATGAGCGGGGGCTTGGCACCAATGTCTTTTTGGCTACGTATGCGTCCGCACTTTCGACGATGGCGTGGGCATTCGCGCCTCCGAAACCGAAACTGTTGACACTGACTCTGCGCGTGCCGTCTTCTGGCAGTTTCGGCCACGGTTGGGCCGCGGTCAGGATTTTCAGGTTTGAGTAGTAGGGCTCAATCTTGGGGTTCAGGCGGTTGAAAAGACGATTCGGTGGAAGAGTGCCTGATTGTAGCGCTTGCGAAGCCTTGATAATGGCCGCCAGACCGGCTGTGCCTTCAGTGTGACCAATGACTGTCTTGATAGAGCCAACAAAAAGAGTGTCGTGCGTGTTTGTAGACTTGGACTTTACGTCGTCGCCGAAGAAAGCGTCGCTGATTGCCGCGGCTTCAATGGGGTCCCCGGCCGGAGTGCCTAGTCTTGTTAGTGATTGTGATGTGAATAGCACCGACGGCATCATAAATAACTCACCAGTACCATGAGCCTCAAAGAACTGTGGTCGATCGCTTGCTTTGCTCAAGTCAAGACCTGCCCTGGCATAGGTAGATCTAATCAAAGATGCTTGTGCTTTGGAGCTAGGCATGGTGATACCGGGAGTTTTTCCGTCTTGATTAATGCCAGTTTCGCGGATGATGCTCTCGATGTCATCGCCATCGGCTAGAGCCTGGCTGAGAGTCTTGAGAACGACAGCGGCGATACCCTCCCCACGGGCATAGCCGTCAGCTTCCGCATCCCACATGCGGCTTCGTCCCGCTGGGGAGAGCATCTGGAGTTTACTCTCTGCGATGTACTGCTCTGGGCCCAGAATGAGGTTCGACCCGGCAGCCTGTTAAAATCAGCTTATGCTTTACTACTAATTTGATTTTGTGCACGTGGTTCAAAGCCTGAACTTACCACGGCAACTCTGGATTGTCCTGAACGAAGGACCTGCACAGCTTGGTGCAGAGCAATCAAGCTCGATGAGCAAGCTGTGTCGATTGTCATGGACGGGCCGTGCCAGTCGAAGAAATAAGACAGGCGGTTGCTAAGAATGCTGCGTGCTGTGCCTGTAGCAAAATACGTGGGGTATTTCTCAATATCACGCGCCAGCATCTCGGTAAAGTCGGCGCTCATCACGCCAACATAGACGGCCGTGTCGGAACCTTGCAGTCGTTTTACAGACAGCCCAGCCGACTCCAGTGCCTCATACACAGTTTCCATGAGCAGACGCTGCTGTGGATCAATCGAGCTTGCCTCAATAGCCTTGATTCCAAAGAACTGGGCGTCAAAGGTGCGCAAGTCCTCGTCCAGCAGGTACGAATGTCGTACGTTGCTGGTTCCATGATGGGAGTTTTGGGGGTGATAGAAGCCGTCGGCGCTGAATCGATCGTCTGGAATTTCCTTCAACAAGTCTCGAGGGTTTTCCAATAGCTCCCATAGCTTGGAAGGAGTGTCGCAGCTTCCGGGAAAGCGACAGCCGGTGCCAATGATGGCGATAGGCTCGTTCTGGGTCTTCATGTTGAGCTTTTGGGACTTGTTGAAAATAACGGCAAAGGAGCTCTACAAGCTTTAGGCTAAGCAATGTCATTTCCAAGAGTCTTCTTTTAAAGATACGGTTCGTAGTCAACCAAACCGGTGTCTACACGAACCGTTGCATTACATCTGCAATGCTGCGATAAAAGCTCACCGGTCCGAACTCCGATGACAAGAAGCTCTACACCTTGCATTGGGACAAATTAACTTCCAACAAGACTGACTTTCGCACCAATGTTCCAAGTTTCCGATCTTACTATCCAGCCTCAGAATGACTCAGCTACCACTGCATTTTCTGCCCCACCTTTGTTCGCCGAACCAGGCAGTTGACGCCGATTTTGAATCGGCCCCGAAACGCCGACCCCAAAGTCCAGCTGCAAGGGCGAGCTCAACGTGGCCTAACCAGCCATAACCTCTCTCGGCAGAGTAAGAGCCCTGTTGAACTTTCTGAAATCTCGTGTTGCGTAAAACGACAGAAACTGACATTTCTGGGAATTGTCGTCTCGAATAAGCATGAAGCGTCAACACAGGAGATAGATAGTCCATGTCTCGTTATTCTTGTCTATAGAAAGATGCCAAATGTACTTGACTCGCAAAGAGACTGCCATCTCGTCTTTTTTGAAAGCAATAGGAGCTAGAACTAAACCCTTGTTCACAAAAGAGAAATCTGATTAGTTAGCGGACATGTCACTACTAGTCTTGGAGACTAACGCGATATTTCTAGACAACGTTTTTGATTGCGAAACTGTGTCAATAATGATTCTCGACAATGAAAATGTGAATCCTATTTCAATAATGCTACTGAATTTGACTTGGTGGGTGGGAATGCTTGTTGTTCCAGCGCTTTAGCTACTTGGGAGATCGAGACTTGAACAATATCTCAACCGAATTGTCCGGTGCGTACGATCCGTTGACCAAGGGACTGCTCTTCAGAGGTGCTACCTTACTCAGACGAATGTCATAGTTCATAACAACATGAGCGATGACGATCTTGAGCGTGCTAGTGGCGAAGAAGCGACCAGGGCAGGCCTGCAATCCATCGCCCCAGCCCGGCGAGTTCGAGCTAGTGGTCACGAAGTGATAGCGATTGTCGTTGCCAGACAACTCCCGCAGGCGATAAAAACGGTCCATGTTAAACTTTTCAGGATTCTCCCAGAGATCAGGGGACCTGTTGATCTCCTGCGCGTCTACAACAGCCATCACGCCGGGCGGGACCGTAGAGCCGTCAGAAAGCTGGAAAGGCTCTTTGACGTAACGCTGAAGAGTGACTGCGAACAAAGTTGGTTATTTCAAAAATCCGAAAGAAAACATACGAGATACTTGCGAGGACGACAATCAAATTTGTTCATGGTTGGGATTGTGACTTACAGCGAGTAATGGGGTGAAGTCGGAAAGACTCGCGGAGGAAGCTATCCATTCGCTTCAGTTCTTGAAGGTGGGTCCTTGGCAGCTGACCGTCGACCATAACCTCCTTGAGCTCCTGACGCAAGATATCGGCTGCCTCGGGGTGCTGCGCTAGCTCCCATAACGCGTGATACAATGCAGAAGCGGTCGTCGGTGTAGAGGTGTAGCTGACTTGAATGTAGTCTGTGACGAGTTGCTTAATCGTTGCTGCAGCTTCGGTGTATCGTGACAACAGAAATTGCGTGAAGGGAAGATCTTCGTCTGACTTAGGTACGAGAAGTTTGCGCTTATCTTTGGTTTCCTTGAATGTCTTGATTTCATCGTCGAGCTTTGGCTTCAGTAACCGCTTCATGTCCCAGTAATTTTTTGTTACGGGCAGGAAGTACAAAGGACGCAAAATCGATCTCAGGATGCTTGGGGTAGCATTCAGGAGCGTGACTGCCATGTAAACGAACAGAGGAGAATAGATGACGCCTTTGACCCAGCGCTGATTGCGCCCAAGCTCTCTGCCAACAAATGTGCAGGCATTGATTTTGGCGATGATCTCCAAAGACGTCATTAGGAGGTTGAAGCCCTTTTCCTCGGGGCAGTGACCGATAATGGTGTCAAAGGTCATTTTGGCGTCTTGCTGACGGTTGAGGACACGTGCGGGCAGGGAGCGGGTCAGTTCGGCAGTGATGGTTTTGACGAGTTCGTGTGTCTCGCCGCCGATAAGACTCCAATCGCCAGAATTACACACATGCTGGAAGTTCATGATAGATGCTGTCTGCTCGGGAACTCGTTTGAGTTCGTCCCAGCTGCTGGTAGGGTAGATGACGAATCTGTATCGTTTGTTGATGGCCATGAAAGGCTTGTCCGGATACTATGCGGTCCAACGTCAGCTCTTTGTGCTGCCGCCAAGCAGACATAGATGCCATCTCACCAGTTTCTTTCCTTCCGCAATGATGGTGTCGAAATGGTAATCATTTCTTTTGACGATGGGAAAGCCATGATCAGGTTCTCGTTGCTGTCGACCCCAAGTTGCGCGATATAGACCGTACACGACGAGACTCAAGACCGTGCCCAGGAGGAAGACACGAGGGAAAGCTGAATAGAGGACAGTTCTGGCGATGAATTTGAACATTTGCCATCTGGAAAGCCTGAGGGGTGCCAGACTTTGGCGGAGAACCAGGTATGGTTCAATAATCTTGGATTCGATTGAAAATGACATCTTGGGTGCGTTTGATTTCTGTCTTGGTGTTGAGGTGAAGATTGGTTGGAGTGAAGGAAGATGAGGTCTTCACATGGCTGAAAAGCACAGCGACGATGCGAATATCAAAGCTCTCCTCAGGGTTCGGATGTGGACACAGCTTGTAGCTTGGGATGGCTTGACCATGCTTGTCGGCTGCGGCATCCCTGCACCGTTGCCTTTGCTATCGGGCTCGGCGATCCGCACACCGAGACCGCACCCCGATTCGCTGGGTTGTGCGCCAAAGTCGGGATCTAACCAAGCATCCTGGGTGTATTAGGGGGATCCCTGACGCGTCCGAACAGGTGGGCAGCGTGGAGAAGAGGGGAAGTGGTCCAACTCTAAATCCTCGTCAACCACGTACGACTCAGTCTTTTCAAGACGGTATACCAAGCCAACCCAAGGCCATTGGCTCGCTCACATCCTTGTAATCGATTAAGGCCGGATACACGTGGGCAGCGAGTCAGCATCCCGAAAGAGTATCAGCATCACTGAACTATGAATTGGACAATGGAAGCTATGTTCGTTGATTCTGTCTGAAAAAGCCCTGATTGCGAACTGCCAAAGTCTTCGGTTTGATGACGGGAATGGAAGATGACCACGTTAATATGCGTGATTTACGAGTGAGTGTACGAAGGGGGAAATGTATTCTTTTTATAACTTTGTCCGAGGAAGGGGCTTTTGGAATCGACATCATGATTTCATCCCGAAATCCCATAGGATAAAAGGCTGGAATGCAGCTTTGTTGGGATATTTGTCCTAACAGCCAACAGATTCCAAATGAATAATCCATGGACGATACAATTGTGGCCTGCGAACCAAAGCGGGAGTATACGAGTGTTCCGCCAAAGGATATTCATTGTCCTCAAGTCCTTCCTAGTACTTTCTTCTAACCAGCAAGTTAACAGTTGGGGCAGGTCTGCTAGTGTTGTCATTGTACAAATTCGGCAGTCTCTCTATGCCACCATGCTCGTACTTGAACTCGTACTGCGTCATAAAATTGATCAGGAAAAACTTCATAACGATAGCGCTGAGAAAACGACCCGGACATGCGTGTATCCCGGCTCCAAAGCCAAGCGCACTATCCGAGACCGAAGCGTAATGGAATCGATTAGGATCGACTGTCTCGCGGAGGCGCAAGAACCTATAACCATCAAATTTGTCTGGGTCGGGATAGTTATCAGCGTCATAGTGAGCGCCGTCGGAATGAAACATGATAGTTGTGCCCGCCGGAAGGTGGAAGCCATCTTTGAACGTGTACGGCTTGAGTGTGTAGCGCTGGGTAGAAACTACAGAATTGTGGGTCAGCGAATGGTTTGCTCCGTGACATCGCTCACCTCTTTGGGAAACATGACTCACCAAAACCTATGGGGTTCAACCGGGCGCTCTCTTTCATAAAACTATCTAGCTTTCGCATCATAGCCACATGTTGCAGTGTCCATTGGCCATTATTAGCCTGAACCTTGGCGAGGGTCTCGGTGACTTCCAGCAAGATATCGTCATGGTACTCGGGATGCGCAATCCAATCGTAGACAAATGAGTTCAGTGTCCCCGAGGTAGTGTGTATGGCTGTCAAAGATAGGAATAGCTGCGACTCAGTAATTCCGTACAATGATCGATCTTTCTGGTTGCTCTTCATGAGCCAGAAGACGACGTCTCTGTAAACTTCAGATGGATCTCGGAAGCTGTCCGTGTTTGACATGGCCTCGCGACGTTCCTTGTAGAGGGGTCGGAGTAGGTCAATTGACTGTTTTCTTATCCGTCGCAAGTCCTTTTGGATCGACTCTGACCACGGAGCCAGCCATCTCCAGCGTGGTGTGTACTTGTCTTTGATGGCTTGTGCTGCCCCAAACGCAACAAACGTCGTCTCAACGACGATCTGCTGCCAAGCCGGATTTCGGCACAGCGGAGCTCCAACGAGAGCGACAGAAGCTACGCGGGCCACAAAGCTGCATACGAGCTCATAAGCCGACACGGTCTTCCACTCAAAGGAGACGTTCTCACTGAGGTGCTGGGCAGCTTCGTTCCAGAGGTCTGTCACTAGAGGTCCTGGGGAACCGATCAGCATAGATCGAAGGGAAGAAAGAATAGATGTTATAGACGGCTTACCCAAGTTTCTGTTTAGGTCAACCCGGATCACATGGGCCGCAGCTTCCGTCTGTCTTGGGGCTCGACTATAGTCCAACAGGAAGGACTTCGCTGAGTAGGCCTCGAAGCTGAAGAGGTCTGTCGGGGCCTTCTTGACTTCTTCCAAGTACTTCGTTGGTAGGAGGACTTGGGAGCCCAATTCGCCGACGGGGTGACGTATCTGGAAAGGGATGCCTTGGCGCAAGTATTTTTCGTAGCCTTGTCGAAGGAGACTCCGGGTCTCATTCATGTATCTCTCAACATTGTTCGATCCATCAAACCGGAGCAACGGTATGTGTCGCAACTGATCTGCTGTCGCAGGCTCAACGTCATTGCCGAATGGCCAGACGTTGTAAAAATGCAAGAAGTAGACAACAGTTACCCCAATGCTACCACCTAACAACAAGAAGAATGCCTTTGCAGTTAGCAGTTCAAATCCCAGTAGTTGCAGCATGGTGTTGATCCTGGAGGTAGGCGTTGTCGATTTCGTACATAAGAATGAAAGCGATACTGCGTACAGCAGATGCGCGACAGCTGATGCGCCTAAGGGTTATATCATCTTACTCCTTGAAGCCAGAGGTCCCCTGCATGTTCGGCGGTCGGTAGTCGCTTCGGAGACACTAATCCTCGTTCACAAACTTTGTTTTGGCGACGCAACCGAGAGTCAAAAGCCTGTTCCCAGCCTATGGAGAATATGCAATTGCCATGTGAGCCTTGATGCTACTGGAGCCAAACAGCACGGTTCGTAACATGGTCTTCTGTTAAGAACTATAGGTAGCCTGTGTATTATCTGAAATCATTCGGGGACTTAGGAGACAGGCCTGAAGGTCGGCTGAGCATGCTCACTTTACACTGATGAACCTGCACATTGTGGTCATTGATCCACGATGGGGTTCATGAACTGAAAGACAAAGGAAAGGAATGATCGTCAACTACTAATTAGGATTCGTCCAAAGTTACAATCAGCTTCTGGCCGGAGACCTCCTTATTTTTCAACATCTCAACGCCTTCCAGGATAACCTCAAACTTCCCATCCAATTCCTTCAGTGGATGGGGTCTCAGATTCCCTTGATCCAGCAACTTTTGCAGGTCTTTGTACCAGCGGATGCCAAACGCTCTAAGTTCCGGGTCCTCGTCTCTCTCGTAGCCGTAGTCCAAATCCAGACGATGACCCAAAATGGCCATCCCCATGACAAAGAATAATTTAACGGCCCTCCGTTCCAGAGCGTAGTCTGGGTACATCTCGAGGCAGGCATAGCGGCCCCCTGCTCGTCCCATCGCTTCGTAGCACAGAGCAACACTTTTGAGGTCCGTAAAAGGGTCGATGATGTAGGACAGCGTGTCGCGAGTGTAAGATTTGATCTTCTTGCCGCAGTCCGGATCGTTGTAATCAAAGACTTCCTCTGCGCCGTACTTCTTGGCCAAGTTGAAGTTCCTCGGCGAACAGGTGGCAATGGGGATGTGTCCTATCCTATTTAGATTTTAGATCGTTAGTATCAGGGGTACCCTGACAAGCGACACCAACATGGGAGACTCTGCCCCGCTCGGAGACGAACTCACAGGCGAAGGAGCTGCAACGCCATTGTTCCGACCGACGAGCTGGCCCCATGAACCAGCACCATGCGGGGCTTTTCGGCTGGTTGCATGGGGGTTCCCGGCAACATCAAACCCTTGTAAATTGCCATCCCCAGTGTGCTGAGCCCCGTCGTGCTGAGACCAACAGCCTGTCGGAATGACATATTGGGCGGGAGCTTGAGCGTAAACTCGGACTCGGATACGGTGTACTGGGTGAACGTTCCGGACTCCGGCCGACTCGGATTGGATCCGTGGACAGCTCCGCACACCCTGTCGCCGACTTTGAAGGCCGTAACGTCGGATCCCAATCCAACAACGATTCCAGCGAAATCGCATCCGTCGACTGCGCCAGGGCAAGGGAATCGTTCATACATTTTGTGGTCGCATGGGTTGATGGCGACAGCCTTCACCTGCACCAAGAGCTCGTTGGGTCTAGGCTGCGGCATGGGCACATTCTCATCGATCCGTAAGGAACCATCGTCGCCTTGAACGACAGCAGTTCGCTTGGTAGGGATATGCATCGTGAGTTGAAGCGTGAATAAAGGAAGAAAATTGAAGAGCAACGTTTGTATCACTGGGTGTTCGGTCGCTCATCTACGGGACCTGGTTATATGCTATCCAGTGAACCATTGTGTTCGGAGGTCAGTTTTATCTTTCGGACATCGAAAACTCAATTGGGATGGACCAGCCCCAAGAGGGGACTCTAGCTGGAGTAGATAGCCATAAAGTATGCCTGCGAAATCCCCCACACGCTCTATTCCACCGCTTCACACCATCCGTACGAGCTTGCAGCATTGACTCACTCATTCACGCCAAGAATACTCCGTTTTACAGCTCTTCTGTATCTTTTCGAATAGCCATCTCGAAAAAGTCATGATTGCTGCCAACATTCTCTTGGCTTCACTGCTTGTTTCCCCTGCTTGGGGCAGCAAAGTGTGGCTGGAACCATGGCCTCTGCATTGGAAAAGCCCTAACCTCGCTGGTCTTGCCGTACAAGAACAGCAGGTGCCTTTAACCGACAACATCGAGGCATCAGGCTGTCAGATCAGCAATTTGACAGCCTACGACATGGCCAAAGGCAGGAAGCTGGTCGGTTTCGCTAGGGGTGCCACCGAGAACATAGAAATGCCAAAGATTCGTCCACTCAACTCAACCGCTGGTGAGCAGTGGGCCTTTGATGGCGTCTCTGAAGATGGCATGCAGTCGTTCATCTTCGGCTTCTACCGCGACCCGAACTACTCGATCCTAGGCGCTGGCAATTTTCGCCTGTCGCTCGAGTTTGGGTTTTCTGACGGCACCCGGTTTTCCGAGCTTTACTACGCCGAGCGAACCGTCATGGAAACCTGTCCACAAGGTGTCAGGGGGGTGTGGTACAGTGAGAAGGAAGGATACCAGTTTTCTTTCCTCGTGAACTCGGACATGAGCGAGGCTATCATCACTCTTCACTCAGACACGGTAAAAGGAACGATCATCACGAAATCCAAGTCATTGCCTATTGCTGCCGACGGCCACGTCTGGCCAAATGAGAACGCGACGACGGAGCCCGTTCGCCACTTGCACTGGTCGCAACCCATTCCTGCCGGCACGTTGGACTTCGATGTCGATATCAAAGGCAAGAGGGTGACTTGGAGTGGCATTGGTGGTCATGAGAGGTTCTGGTCTGCTTTCAGCTGGTTTACATGCTTGAAGAACCTGCAAGGTGTGCGAGCAATGCTCGGGCCTTACGTTCTCAGCTTCTTCCGCTTTGAGTCAAACCTGGACCAGGGCCACGTACACCAATCTGCGGCCCTGTTTAGAGATGGTGTCCCCGTCTTTCGTTCGACATCTCCAACCCCGTCCGACAGGGAAGACTACGTCCTTGCCAGCAAGACGTATGGCGGCGCGGTTACTGGCACTCTCAAGGACAAGGTTACAGGCTTTCAGCTTGAGCTTGTCTCCCCGAGCAATAGACGCCACTACACTTTCTTCGTGGAGCATGCAAACCTGGCGTTTGAGTACATTCTTGGCGAGGGTGTTGGTGGCAGTGGCTTCTCAGGAAAGGCAAGGGGTGGGCATGTTGGAATGGATCAGTACGAGGGTGTCTCGATGAGCGAGGCATTGACATTTCCCAAGAACTCGCCGCTCTTCCAGAGTAACTATGTCGAGTAGACACGCGTTTCCCAAAGTTGACTTAACTTCTAAGATGGATATCTGACCACCAAAAGAATAGGTGGAGTTATTTACGTTCTATCATTAGGTATGCGCTAAGAGGGCACGAGGAGACATGGTGTTTGAACAACAGTTTGAGAGCTACCAACCGAATACAGTCCTCCACAAATTTCCTCTGCTGTTTCGTTGTAGAGCTTTTCTCTTGGTTTGTGTCATTTAGTAACGGAGGTGTGAACAGTCTACGCAAGACATCACCTTCGAAGAAATCTCAATGTACCGCCTATTATAATTCAAATGATCTCAAGGTTGGCACGCTTCCACGTCAATCCGGGGGTGGGGATGACCCATTCCACACAGGTTTCCCTCTAGGGACAGCAGAAAGTGCCTCTTAGCAGTGAAATGGTACCGTGTGACTTTTGAATCAGAACCCAGTCGGACCCGTCCCCTGCAAATTTTCGGAGCTATGTCGAAGGTTTGGGCATCGGGAACTAAGATAAGAAAGTAGCATCCCCGACTCCGAACGTGGGCACCTCGGGACATCGTAAAAGTATACTCTCCATCATAGCTCCCTCACCTCATTGCTGCGGCATCCCAAATTTACATTATCTTTACTAGGAGAGGCGGCTACACATTACGACCTGCTTTGCCCAACAACCACAGTGGACCGTGGCAAGCCAATCTCCCCTTGTACTGGTGAAAATACCCATGCGGCACTTATTTTCATCTCTTAAGCTAATGCAGAAGATTTAGGCTACTCTACCCGTAAACCAGAAACTATCATCACGACTACTTAAAACTTTGCAAAAATGCACAAACTATTCCCAAGTAGCACGTTTTTCGACTTCGAGACGGTTCGAATTCTCGGCACTACCGTCTATGGCGGTGCGGAAACGGCCGAAGTTCTTGAGGCAGTCGGCGAAATCAAAGCCAACGATCCTATATCGTGGGAAAAGGCGTGGGCTAAGCAGGCGGCACGAGCCGAGGTTTTAGCCAAAGAGGCCTGCGCGCACGGCGACAAAGATGCCGCCAGAAGGGCATATCTGCGAGCTGCCAATTACACCCGTGCCAGCGGCTACATGTTCGTTTCTTCCCCGCCTGCCGATGGCGGCACGGCCATGATACAGCATCCGTGTGCGCTGTCTGTGTCGGAGCGGATGGGCAGTCTCTTTCGCAAGGCCATTGATCTTATGGACTGCCCGGTACAATTGCTTTCTATCCCCTACGAGGGCCATCAACTGCCAGGATATCTCTATCTGCCGCCTGAGAGCTGCCGCATCCCTGGCCGAAAAATCCCCATCTTGGTGAACTTTGGAGGAGCAGATTCGTGCCAGGAAGAGCTGTTTTTTATGTACCCTTCCTCTGGTTACCGGCAAGGATACGCCGTTCTCACGTTTGATGGGCCTGGCCAGGGTGTCATGCTCCGTCGCCACGGCCTCGTTATGCGACCAAACTGGGAGATTGTTTCGGAGCGAGTCATCGATCATCTTGTCGACTTTTCCGCCAAGAATCCCAACCTTGAACTCGACGTCGATAGCATTGCTGTCGCTGGTGCGTCCATGGGAGGCTACTATGCGCTTCGTGCTGCTGCTGATCCCAGGGTCAAAGCTTGCGTCTCGATCGTAAGTTCAATTCAAGGATCAGAACTTCATGACCCCTGTGCTAACACGGTTCTTTCTTCTAATCAGGACCCATTCTTTGACATGTGGGACTTTGGCACCGCCCACGTCTCTCGCTTGTTCCTGTCGGCCTGGATGAATGGATGGATGAGCCGGGACGTCATAGACAAGTTGATGAATACTCTGAAGACGTTCTCATTTCAGCTCAAGTGGGAGATCTCTGTCGCTGGAACCTTTTTTGGGCTCTCGTCGCCTTCAGACATCCTGCTTCATATGAAGAAGTTTTCGCTGGCTGGTTCACAACAGAAGGATGGTGTCGACTATCTCACGCGCGTGGTCTGTCCTGTTCTCGTATCTGGTAGCGGTAACTCGCTGTACTTGGATGTGGACGAGCACACCAAGCGATGTTATGACGGCTTGGTCAATGTTCCTCTCGAAAACAAGGAAATGTGGGTGCCGGCCAGTCCGGGGCAGGGGAGTCTCCAGGCAAAGATGGGAGCCGTGGCCTTGTGTGGCCAAAGAAGTTTGCAGTTTCTTGATCGTGCGCTTGGTATCAATAGACCGCCGGTGTTCTTGTAGCATATGCTCCTCATATGACAACATATCTCCGGAGAAACCTTTTTGTTGCGGATCACAGTTATTCCCCCGTGTTCCTATGGTAACCTAGGGATAAAGGCTCGTGTTCACTATAAGTGGAAAGATTATGGCAAAGAAACATTGTATCCTCGTGGTTTGCCCAGTTCAAACACAGAGAGAATTCAATACGATCTAATGAGAGAAGTCTGAATATTCATCTCTGTCGCAAAAGCCATGATATTGCTTAAAGCACGTCTACTTGTCGCTTCCTGTGAAAAAATTTGACATCACTAAGCTTGTGGTAAACTTAGAACACGGTCGGCGAGGTATCTCACTCAGACACGCTATCACCACTTTAACTCAAAGCACAACGCAAACCATCCACGGCACGTTGTGTCAAGGTCAATCAGAAGTCTATTCTAAGCGCTAGCACATGCTTATGACATGCGCGAGTGCCAGGTTGAAACTCAAACGACTGATTATACATGCGAGATAGTCTATACCTCACTGTTGGAAGATGTCTGGCCCGGCTTTTCCTCTTTCAGACCAAATTCCTCTGTTGTTTGTTCGGTGCGACACTCCAGGTCTTTCTCTATCAAAGACGCAATAACGCCAAGACCCGCGATCGCGATGAGCACCTGCCAGACGCGCTGTAGGCTCACCTCGTATAGGCCGATGATTTCGTTCTGCACCGCATCAGGGAAGGAACGGACAAAATCTCGCGACGCCTGTTGGTAAGCCTGGCCAAGGCCCAAGCTTGCCCTCGCATTGCTGTCCAGGCCGGAGGACGAAAGTAGCTCGTCAAATCGACTGTTGAAGATAGCAGCTGGGATCGTGATGGCAAAGACGGTGGAAATACTTCTGATGAAGGCGAATGCGCTGGTGCTGGCCGCGTTGAGCGAGTCTGGCAACGCCGCTTGAACGGCGGTCAAGATGGAGGCGTTGGGAAGACCGACGCTGATACCCGTGATAATCCCCGTGATTGCGATTACAGCGAGGTGTGTGTTACGGTTGAGCAAGGTGAAGACGCCCATCATGATCGTCATCAGTGCAAAGCTGCCGATATGTACCATACGGAATTTGCCCATATTTGTGACTAGAGCACCACCGACAGCAGCAGATATGCAGAACAATATCGAGAACGGTAGGAGCAGAATTCCAGATCTTTCGGGATAAACCAGAAGCGTTGACTGGAAATAGAGCGGGAGGAAGTAAAGGGCGCCGTATGATACCAGGATCTGCACAGCCTCGGCCACATAGGCGGCCACAGACGTTCTATTCTGGAACAGTGATATCGGCAAAGCTGGATGAGGACACCAAGGCGATGCCTCAAAGCCGATAAACAAGCCGTGGCCGATGACACCCAGCACCAGCGTAATTATGATGACCGGATGGGACCACGCGTACTTTGATCCGCCGCCGTACGTAAGACCGTATAGAAGTGACGTGACAGATGCGCACAGAAGAAGGAGACCGACAACGTCAATCCTTTTGAGCTTTTCCAGTGGTGTTGAGTCCTCGTCGCTGCGGTGCTTGAGGTTCAGGGAAAAGAAGAGGAGGGCCAGGCAGACTCCGCAAATTGGCAAGTTCAGATAGAAGACCCATCGCCAAGATGTCCGTTGGACGATGATCCCACCTAGAAAGGGTCCCAGCACGGAGCCGATGACGATGAAGAGGAAGAGGAGTCCCATGAATTGTCCACGCTCCCTCAGCGGTAGGAGGTCGCAAAGGATGATCTCTACGAGAGTGTTGATGCCAGCGGCGCCAAGCCCTTGTACCGCTCGCCCACCGATTAGTGTCGCCGCGTTGTTGGCGGCACCACAGACAGCCGATCCTGCGGCGAAGATGACCACGGAAGCCAGCATTGGCCACCGTCTGCCCCAGATGTCTGCTAGTTGACCGTAGAGAGGTTGAACAGCCGCACTGGAAACACGCGTTGGTAAGCGTCAAGATCGCGTAGTACAGTTATCCATGCTAGACCATCTTTTGTTTGCTTGACACTTCCATATCAACACCACATGACCTACCTGGTGAGAAAGTAAACGTTCACGACCCAGATGTAGTCCCTTTCGGCATCTACAGCGCGCGAAATCGCTGGGAGAGCCGTAGACATGATGCCGCCTTCCATGGAGCTTAGGAGAGCTGTGACGGACAAGCTGGCGAAGATGGCCCAAAAGGCCCATCCACGACCACCGGATTTGGGTGCATTTTCGTCGGGCATCGGATTGGCTGTCGCGTCTGCCTGTGTTTTGTCGTTGAGTGTCACAGGGCTATCTGGATTAGATTCAACTCGATTTGGAGATCGATCTCCCAACTTGATGTCATCCTCGGGTCGAGACATTTTGATGATGTGGACTGGTTGAACAGGAAGGGAATACTGGGTACGGAAGAGAAATGTGTCGATAGAATGAACACAATGAACGTAGAACTTATCGATTTACTCCATTTATGGACTAGCCGAGATACGCTTCTGCGGCAGGCTCTTGACTCGACATTCCTTTACATGGCCCCCAAAGGTGTCGTTGCGACTCAATGTGCCGGAGGGGCACTCACGACAATCTACGAGTTCCTTGTCTATTGCAAAGATATTCGACGTATTAAGATGGGACGAAATCGGTGCGATCGACAATAAACCAGCGAATTCCCACCGATTGGAAAGCCTAAAGTCCAAAGAGAGGTTCGTGTCTATGCACATTGGGTGGGTGCCACTGACAGGAGTGGTAATTCTAGTCCGAAAGCATCATGCAGGTCTGGAAGCCAAATGCTGCCTGATTTATAATACGGTTACATGAGCGACTCGCGCCAAGAGTCGGCGAATTTCGCCATTGGGAGGACAACACGGTCGGAGCCCTCCGATGGTGTAACGTAGGCCGAGCCATCAAACATAACGGGAAAGCCAAATTTTGACTTCCGCAACAACGCAGGGCAGATAACTTTCGGGACCTGAGAAAACGCTCCCGCAGTTGCACCCATCTAGATTGAAACGGAAGAGATACTGGGAACCCAGGGAGAATAATGAGGCTATCAACGGAAGTGTTTTGTCAGCAAGTGAGGTTTACAAATGCTGAGAGGTCTGGAAATTTCGATCGTCAAAGTATCTGCATGAAAGGCGTTCCATCTACTACCCGTACCGTTGCAAAGATAAAGTAAAAAGTTCTTGTCAGGAAATTTTCGCTGCTTTAGTTGAATGAGACTTATTTCTTGGGAGCTGTCTTGTAGGCGTTGATACACTGATGCTGAGCATGTGTTTCTAAATGGACATTGTCACCAGTCTGAAAAGCTGTGGGAAACGGAAGTTCGATTGTTTTATTCACGTAGAAACGTTTTAGCTTAGATGCGACTACAGTTCCGCCCTTTCAAGACTCGGAGTTGTTTTGTTTTCTGCATACTTTCTTTGTGCTCCACGGTTCTAGCGAAATAGCTAGCCACTCCATCGCTACCTAAACTACAATACTCATGTGTTTGCAGTGTAAGTCACCTAAACAAGGACTTCCATGTCTCGTTGCTTCATCAAAATAGTCTTCGTGGGGTCAGGGACATTCTAACGCCAGATTTCGGTTAGATCTTCTTAGTCATTCTTATGAACAGCAATGGGACTACTTGCCTGATCACCAAACACAAGGCTGGGATATCTCTCGTTTACACCGTCAGGCAACTTGATGTCGTAGGTGCGCAAAAGATTCGCCATCACCGTCTTGATCTCGTTAACGGCGAAAACGCGCCCTGGACAGGCGTGCTTGCCGAAGCTGAAGCTGAGGTGCGTGGGTCCAACGTAAGCAGCCTGAAGCTGATTCAGTTGGGCTGGGTTGTCATCTCTGCGGAGCTTGTAGAAGCGCAGAGCATCGAATACGTTGGGATTCGGGAAGATCTCTGGGTCTTGGTTGATGCCGACGCTTGGGACCTCTACGAACATGCCCTCCGGAATTACCTGGCCGTTCGAGAGTTCGAACGGTTTTAAGACCTTGCGGACGTAGGCACCTATTTGTAGAAGAATTGGTCAGCCGTCAGGACACAGCAGTTCGTAATCCATGGAATCGGTCACATACTCGCACTCAAGGGAGTAACTCTCATAACCTCCCTGAGAAAGCTATCCATCTTCTTCATATTCTGGAGTGCTGCAGTTGTGAATTGGCCATTGGATTCCTCCAAGACCTGTTCAATCTCTTCCAGAAGCATGGGAGCTAGTTCGGGCTTCGCCGCCAACCAGTACACTGCGTTCGTAGCCGTCATCGTCGTAGTATGAATGGCCGCGAAACTAGCACCAATTTGCGCCAGCGCCAGATCTCGCGTGCTCAGCTCCCCCACGCGGGTCTGCGAATCGAGCATCCACTGGAGCATGTCATTGTGCTTCAGTGAGCTCTCCTTTGCCGCCTGCTGCCGGGCAGTGACGATGGGTTGGAAGACCGCATCGGCCTCAGCGAGTCGCTTGTGTAGCGCCCTCGTCATGGGGAGCCAGGGGGCAATGAGAGGCCGCAGGAAAGTCGGTATCATGGCAATGCCGTACACGGCTTTCATGAGGTGTTGAGTAAAATCGATGGATGTGCTGAGATACGCCTCATTATCGCAAAGCTCAGGCCCGACGAAAACGTGCCCGGACGCAATTGCGATAATGCGCAGGAGTTTTGCGTTGATAGCAACCTCACTCCAACTGGATGTTGGCGCCAGTTCGCGTTGCAACGTCTTGGCAATTGTCTTGGCAACGGCGGGGTTCAGATCGTCTATTATGGAGATGAGTTAATTCGCCAGTTATTGCACTAGACCAGAGTTCACCAACTTAGCGCGGGGGTCAAGTTGGCTCTTGATACATGTACGAACACGGGTAGTTCGAAGCCAACGGTCGTGTATTTGGATTGGATGAACTTTCTCGGTCAGCACTTGGCAGTGAAAGGCAGGGTGAGCGCGGTTCCACAAACCTCTTCAACCGCCTTTTGGGCACTGATGACATCGTCGGGCGCTTTACTCAACTCTGGCAGATACTTGGGAGGAACCAGGATTGAATCTCTAGCTTGATAGTGGATCAGCTACAAAGCATTGTATCACGGTGTTCATCCATCTTACTCTTGGCAGTTGTGATCAGAGAGATGCTGTCCTTGTGCTGTAGAAGACGTCAGGGATATCCGGTCACATAATGTTTTCAGGGCACCACTGACGTTACGATAAGCATCAAGGAACATCTGAGTCGCGTTGCCCTGCATGAAGTGCTTTCTTCGGGCCCATCGCGAACCTTTCCCCACGATGGGGACATTGGCAAGTGGATTCGGCTTGAACCAGCTATGCGAAAATAACAGAAAAGCGACGAAAACAACACCTGCTAGGGTAGAAGCCCAGTAGCTATGTAGCTCAGAGCCAGCAGGCGAGTAAGAGTCAGATACGTTGGCCATGTTGAAGTAATCAGCTCTAATGTTTGGTGTTGCGTAATCTGTGAGCGGACTGACTAGATACTGTCAGGTATGCAAGGCGTGGGGACAAGGGACATGTACGGCGTATGATGGATGCCGGCGCTTGTGCAATTTGGACTTATATACTCTCGATCCGGTTCTCTAGAAACCATTTCACGAGAAGAATAGTTCCTCCGTGTTTTTTGCTTGATCACTAGTGCCTTCGGAGTTCGGTGCTGGTTGCACAGGACTCTAGATTCCTACCTAAATCAGCCACCCCTACCACAGACCTTCTGTCACCAATCCCTGTCTGTACTGGCAGCATCAACCATACCACCTTGGTCATCTTATGTGATGAGCTGAATGATGTCAATAATGTCATGTGACTACAGCCGCGATACTCTCGCGTTGGTGCAATGCAGCATAACCTTTTCCCGTTCTCCGAGATAGTACAGCCCCTGACACGTTACTCTCGTTGTCCCGACTTTCTCACTGTGAGTTGGCCGACCGACAAGCTGCCAATAGTACAGGGTGTTGCAGCGTTGCTCCGGACAGGCACTCAATGCAACCCTTTGGCCCTGCTCAAGTCTATTTCCTTTCGACGGCCTTACCACGGCGGAATAGTAGGATAAGATGCCTCAGAATATGTCCATCGGGGCATCGGACACGGGCATCACAATTGTTCCGGAAGGTTCTGGAAGGGCGAGGCCAGGCATGTCCTGTTGGTTTCGGCCTCCGACGCCGATACCGACGTCTCCACATCCGAATCCGAGTGTGGGGGTGGTTCACCGAATCGTACGGCACCCAAGCGATCGGCACCTCTGATGAACCGCAGCATCGATCACCGACAACTCAGGAACACCATCAGTGTAGTTTTGTGGGGAAGGAGGGCAACCCCAAATGTTGCTCGAAGCGAGCTGTGAGAAAGAAACCAGCCCATTGGCCAGTAGCGTTGCGTTACCCGGGTTCTGCATTCCCAGGTAGGGCGTACTGATGCAGAGTCAAGGCAAGCCTATTTCACGTGTCAGAATCCGAGGTGGTGGCTGCGTAATAAGTGCTTACTTCTATTGACAGGGACGTCGCTTATCTGTACGGGGAAGCCCGCGAGTGTATTCGTCCGAACAATGTCCGCAACCTCACTTTGAGTCGTTGAGCGGTTAATGAACATAATGACTAGTAGCTCAGTGAGATCCAAGGCAATTACCAAAGAATCAAGTGATATTCCCAGTTCCGGGTTTGATGCTTTGAGTGTATTTATGTCATGAAGGCCATCTACATATCGCTGTAATCTAAGTCATGGCTCTGAATCTAGTCTACCTCTCTGACATGAAATGGTGTCTAAACACGTCCACCCTAACCACGTCCACCTCGTAAAGTATGCCGGATGCTCTTCACAATCCCGCGGACCAGTGACAGCCGCGCCGAGTTGGGCCCCTCCCCGCCGCCACCCCTGTTCGCGCCGTGCAGAAACGTGTGAAGCAGCGTCGGTGCGCTCGTCAGATTGAGCACGCCATTCTGCTGCGCATCCGCCAGGGTGCTCTCGCGCGATGCGGGGTCGATGCCCAGCACGGCCTCGATCCGCTGCAGCATCTGGCAACTGACGTGGATGAGCATCTCAATCTGCAGGTGCGGGTGGCAGTTGAGGCCGAACCCGCCAATGTTGATGTCCGGCAGGATCACCGGCCCCATCCCCTTGCCGGTATGCCGTTGGTTCGTGCTACTGCTGCTGTTGCTGCTGCTTTCGGGTGTACATTGACGCCGTTGGTACTTTTGCGTCAGGAGGGCGTTGTGGATGGCTGCGAAGACGGCCTCGTAGCCGCGGAAGAGCCACATGTAACAGCTGATGATGGTGAACGTCGTGGGCATGCTGAAGAAGCCGCTGTGTTGGGGTGAGAGCAGCATAGGGGCCGCCGTTGAAGCTTGACTACGGGAGTGGGGTGCCCCCGGACTCTTGAGCAGATCATCCATCCCGTCTCCGGCACCATCTTCATCCTCGGGGCGTCTGTGAGGCATGGGAAGAGACTCGTGTGTATTTGCCGTTCCGTCGTTTGAGAACACGTCCATCTCCTCTGGTGAGTCAACATAGGAGTACTCCGAACTAGGAGACGAGCAGTCGCTTTGCTTGTCTTGCCGTGGCGGGGTCTGCAGTCCCTTGAGACGCTCCACGGTATCCAAAAAGACCTGGGAGCTTTCCAGCAGCACGCCGACCATGTTCTTCCCCGTCTCGGACTCTTCCTCATGGGCTTCGGCGGCGGCACGGGTCTTCCCGCCCGGCGAATAAGCAAGCAGATCCTCCAGCTCCACGGCGTGATCTTCTGTGAGGCTGAAACATCTCAGCAGCAGCGATGTCAGCTCGGTGAGCCGTTGCAGACAGTCGTCCTTGGTCTCACACCGATCACTCGTGATAGTCGTGGTTGGTCCTCGTGCTGTCGCTTTCGGGTTCTCGTTTGATTCGACGACAGGCGCGATGGTGCTTTTCTCCGGGCCCGTGGTAGTGGTGGTGGTGGTGTTAGTCAAGTCGCTTAGATCTTGGCCAAAGATGTTGGTCAGGGCAGGGTCGCACTCTGGCCAGTGGCTCAAGGAGGAAAGGTCGTGATCGCTGATACCAAAGGGGATGTTGCCGTTGTGCCCCCCGGGGTTTGACTTCACGCCTGCATCGACGCCCGCAAAGACCATGCCGGGGAAGCCTCCACTAATTGCGGACAAGTCCGCACCGGATGGGTCCGCGGCCATGGTGCGGTGGAAGCTGTCCTGCCGTCGTGATGACCCATGGCTCGGCCTACCGTGCTGCTGCTGCTGCTGCTGCTGTTGCTGACTGCCGACTGCTGTAAGTGATGCTCGCCCTTCTCCTGGGCATTGTGACATCGGGGTGGTGCGGTAGGATGATCGCGTGCTGGCATCCTGGTACATGTGGCCGCCGCCCGGTCCGGAGGGGAGGGCATCGTCGGTGACAGGCCGCTGATAGACAATAGGGGGCGACACCGAACCCATGGACCCTCGTCGCTCGTAGCCGCTGGTCCGTATCGAGACCTGTCGCGTGCGAACCGTATGCAGGCACTCTGCGCCGGCCTTGACGCACCTCTCGCAGGCCGGCAAGCCTCCCCCGGCACCCTCATTGAGGAAGTCGCAGCCGGGCGGCCTCACGCATCGCAGCTTGTGGGCGCGGCAGCGGTCGCAGGCGCTCCGTCTCGATCCGCTGCTGCTGTGGGAGCCGTTATCGTGTTGGATGACGCTGCTGCGGCGGGCTGCGGGAACGCCATTGGTGGTGATGCTCTTGCCAAGCGATGCAAAGTTTGGGTCCATGAGATGTCTCCTTATCTCTTCCGGGCAGAAGAGGTTGTTTCTTGTTCTCGAAGGGTTCAGAGATGCATCGGGGGGGCTGATATTTCTAGCTGAAAAAGGCCGAGGACCGAAGTTTATAGGAAAATCACACGCAATAGACGCGTGCCTGTTGAAGCTTCAACGAAACTCAAAGATGATGCGACTCGTCGCTGCTGGTCTTGTCATTGCAGCCAGAAGGAGGCATGTCTAAAGTAGGATGAGATATGGAGCAAACCGGGGGGCTGGAAGCTTCAATCTGGCAGCGAGTGCGGGCGCTTGATGAACCAGAGAGAGTTGGAGAGTGAGTTGGGGGAAGCAGTGGGCAAAGTTTAAGGCTTGCCGACAGGAAAAAAGAAAATTGCCGACGGAACCAACTGCTGCGGCAAGTTTATCGCGACAAGGGCCTTTTCTAAAGATGGTCAAGATTTCCGTGTTTGAATGAACGGCACACCCTACTAACCCCAATATTGAACTCGTCCCTTCTCAGTTATACGTTCATGCCACCGCATGTGGTCAATCAAAACATCGTGAACTGCTCTGTTCCGTCCGACTGGGAGTGTGCTACACTACTAGGGATCGGCAAAAAACTCACATTTTCTTCTATTTCAACCGAACCCCAAACGCTCCCTATTCTTCCAAAACCATGTTGATGCCGCCGGCATTGTCTTCCAGTTCATCCGTTGTTGATGAAATATCGAGGAGTTTGATTGGGCAAAACGAACGTGCTTGAGTAAGAGACAGGCACTGGATAGCTCGGTTAAATAGCCAGAGATGAAACGACTTTCCTTCGCCGGAGGGATACTTTCGAGAATGCGAGCCAATGGGGAGAATAGGCCCAATGGCAGGAATATCACCGATTGGGACAGAAGAGGTGTTGGAAATGAAACTCGTATTCGGAAATACGTCGTCTATCAGAAAAAGCAGAAGATACATTTCCAACTTGCGACTCAGTTTCTCCGCAACGAGACCACGCCAAGTTCACCCAGCATGCATGCAATCCTCATCGTATGATGGGACGTTGACCATTACCGTCTTACAATACGAGATACGAGAATACAACATCAAGACCCCAGTCAACACAACTGCCGACATGGAAACATTACCCAGCTCAAACAAACCCCTACCCAAACATGCATACTACAGGATAACAAGGATGATGAAGATCTTGCAACAAGAAGATAAGGATGTATTGGTTTCGCGCAATGGAGTTCCACTTCAGAGCTGCCTTGCTCTCTCTGTCTTTGTGAGAATGAAGCTAAGTAAGACAGCATGCGGAAGAACTACTTCTTGATATCGTAAGATAGGTTTCCATGCTGAAGCTTAGGTAAACTTAGAGAAAGCTGGAGAGTCTCCGTATCGTAGTCGATTAGTACCTGCTCGAAGGCCGTCAAGACTCGCACACTGCCATTGTCTTCCTGGATAGAACATTGGCTGAAGCGCTCATATCGTTATTTCCTCCAGGTATGAGCTCTAAGTGGATGGGCTGTGAAGCTTCCTCGACATTTCGTCGAGGCATAACACCGAGAACCCTCAATGGCTAAACACAATCTCGACGAGGAAAGTTATTCAACACGGCAGCTTTGTCTAAAACAACATTTCACCAGACACCAGACAAAAGTACTAGTTCTCTTGCACTCGCCAGTCTGTCAAAGTTCGTCATCTCCCTAAAAGAAATGCTGAACAATCCTTTGTAGTAATGTAATCATAGAAACGTACTTTGTTAATGGACGGAGAAATTGTGAATAATCTGTCCTTTGAATTTGTCCTTTGAAGAAACACAGTTTCATTAACAGGTCTTTCCTAACGACAACTCAGCGCTTACAGTCTGAGATGAACAATGGGAGGAAACACGGAACAAGGGCGATTGTTCGACATCGTAGACACCTCGTCGGAGAGTGGTATAATAATCGCGGCTCAGGATAGTGATGAACCAGATTCGAAAACATTCAGAAACAAGCATCTCTTATACAAACAAAGTCAAACAACATCCTCAGTTGCCTTAGCCTCTTCAACGAGTAAACAACCTCACCAACACCATCAGATCATCATCATAACCCAAACTTACTCCACTAAAATACAATATGGCGTCCTCCAGCCGCGCCACACCATCTCTCCCAGACGTCTCTCCCATCCCCCGCAACCCGAACTACAACCGTCTCCAAATGCCAGTCCGCATCCCCCTCTGCCCCCACTACACGAAAGACGACCCGGAAAGCCTCCTCAAATACATCAGGGACCACAAGCACAAGCACCTGAAGACCCTCTGGAAGAGCCATCTCCTCATCGAGCAGAAGCCCAAGGAGACAGGCGGGTGGTACTACGCGCGCTGGAACCCGGACAAGGTCCCGGGGCCGCGCGACGTCAAGAAGATGCTGGACTGGTACGCCACCAAGAAGCTCTTCAACTTCCCGCGCGTGAAGAGCGTCAAGCTGCTCGGCACGGGCTTCACCAACGTCTACTTCCTCGTCCGCTTCTACATCATGCCGGGCGAGCGGGCCGAGGTGCCGGAGAAGGTCATCCTGCGCTTCCCGGCGCCGCTGTACGAGACTGACGACTCGGAAAAGGACTTCGACTCGCGGCTGGACCACGAGATCGCCGCCATGTGCTGGGTCCGCCGGACGGGCAAGGTGCCGCGGGTGTTTGTGTACGACCCCACGGGGCAGAACGAGCTGCGGCTCGAGTGGCTCGTGATGGAGCCCGTCGAGGGCTTCGTGCTGCGCAAGTGCATCGACCAGGACTACTGCACCTGCCAATCGGGACTACACGGCCTCCAGCCCGCGGCCCGGTCGTACCCTGTCTACGGGCCCGAGGAGAAGAGAAGAACTGACATCGAGCTTCAGGACCTGTACGACAGCTTCCTTGACTCAGGCCGCAAGTGTGGTGAGGTTCCTGAGCTCGGCAAGTTCATAGGCGGCCTCGACATAGAACGGGGTGATGTAAATGCGGTCTTCAAGAAGGGAAGATTCATGGACCAGCGGTTTGATGTCGCCAGGCTGAAGTCCAAACTGGTAACGAAACGCGGACCATTTCGAACCTTCGAACACTACTTTGACGAGCTGTTCTCCGTCGCATACCATGACAGAGAGGAAGACAACAAATATGCCCTGAAGATTGAGCTCGAACGCCGACTTGGAAAGCAAGGTTTCAACTACCGAGACTTTTTTGAGAGAATACGGGAGGAAGAAGCGCAGGAAATCTGCGTGCACAACCTCAACCTGGACGAGGGCAATATCCTTGTAGATGAGGATGGCAAGATCAAGGCCGTCATGGGGTGGGAGGACGCACTAGCCTTCCCAAGTTCCTGGTTTGGCCATATCACGGACTTGGTGGTTGCGATTGGGCGCATCCACGACGAAAGATTTCGCCCGCTCAACGAGGTGCTTGGGCCGTTTCGTTACATGGGGAGGTGGGGCTATTCTGGTGTCATGCCCTTTCCCAAACTTGACTTTGGCAAGATCCATAGTTGCCCCAATTCTCATCTCTTCAGTTCGACGCACTTTGATATAAACGAGGCTCGAGTTCCCGAGCCAAAAAAGGGATTGCTGGAGCGGATCATGACCAAGTTGGAAGTTTAGAGGCGCCGCTTGTACACTGTTTCGGACAGGGAATAGGAAACAGCACAAAGAAAATTTTGGAATGCTTCGGAATGAGATGGACAAACCTTTTCAACAGGCAGTGTATTTCTTTGGTATATGTGATCACTTGTCATGGCTGTGAATGGACAGCAATTCAGAAGTTTCCCATTGAATCCAAGGAATACAGACGACGCGCTAAACATGGCTGAAATTGGTGAAATAGGAAACGAAACGCTCCAATCAGACGCTTCGCGGGAAAGTCGCGGCGAGGATACGGCGGCCAACGACGGGGACAGGGGTTGCGGCTAGATCTCTGCGGATGACCGAAAGGAGATATTGGTCCGGGGAACATGGTAGCAATTGTGCTGTGCTTGCCAAGGCACCCTTGAGCGTTCATGATTCCGAGCGGCAGATTCTCAGCCGCGGGATGGATGGGGGCCGGAAGGGAGACAATGATGGGGATTGACTTGGAATGGCACCGTCCGGGCCGGTCAATCAGCACAGGGCTGGCTGGTGCTATTGACATTGACCCGTGGCTGGTTGGGAAGCCGAGAGAAAGTCCATGGCCATGGATGCGCAATACTTTGAAATGCGACAAGCAATTGAAATTGATTGATGGCTGGTGATGCAGTGGCTTGATGTTGCACAGCGGATGGCGTCAGAGCAGATGAGATATCCGTGAGGTGCATGGCACGCGCTAGTGATTGTAGCTTGACGTCATGGATCGCGCAGAGAAGCTATCGCGTGGTGGTGTGTTGTTGTGTGGTGGACGATCGCGATTTGGCGCCAACGTCTTGGGCAGAAAAAAAGTAGAGGAAAACAACAATTTGCAATGAATGCGCATACAAGAAAAGGGCGAGACAGGCCGGTGCAGCGTTGGGCCAGCGGCGATTAGGACAGGGTCGGACTGGAGGGTTACGTGTCAATCGCGTAGTGGCATCCACTTGGTGACGAATTAGGAGCAATTGACAGCAATAGAGTGACTGAAAGGGAGGTGATCGTTCATCTTGGGACCCATGAACGGCTGTGATGCCGCTGCCAATGTGCCAATGTGCCAATGCAGAGCCCGGCGCGGCGTGGGTTTGGGTTGGATTTGGATTTGGGTGCGGCGCTTGCCAGGGCCATGCAGGCATTTGCAGCTTTTTTTTCCCGAATGCTGCGGCGATCCATAGGCCGTGAATGGACGGATGGATCATGGGCCGGGGATGGGGCAGATGCTTGACAATGGATGTGCAAATGCAGCGAGACGTGCCAGAAGCGACGCCATCGATTGTGCGAGTGGCCGGGGGCGTTGTGCTCTGCAAGAAAAAGCTGGCAAAAGGCGCAGTGGTGGTGGTGATGGTGATTGGGTTACACCGAGCGGGAAGGATGGGAATGCGGAGGAAATAAGTGGTGAGGCGTTGGGGAAACGAAAGACGTCGGGTACGAAGTTATGAAGCACGCAGGTGCGGACGGATATCTTGGGGTGGTTAGCTAAACGACGGCGGGAGGCAGAAACATGTCTCTGTTTCCTCGTTCTTGCCGTCTTTTTTTGGGTTGCCCTTGCCTCCTACCGTGCTTCCTTCCTTCCCTTCGAGGTTGAGGTCGAGGTCTACAGGCAAGAGTCAGGCAGGGCAGGTGCGCGACGGAGTAGGCAAGATGCCATCCCGTGTGGTGTCGGTCGTGGCTGCCTCTAGAATCGGCACCTTCCTCTCGATTTCATGAAATGATAGTACGATACCCGTCGCGTGCCCCGAATGTGCGGCGGTTGACATGACGACATGGTCGAAACACGCCACAGGAGACGCGCATCGCAGCAGGCGTCGCCGATTCCGAAACATGGCAATCACCATGTGCCTTTGTACCTCGCTGGTGCTTCCTTAATGCCAGACGCGCAAGATGCACGATGCACCTGCGCGACGGCAACAGACGACAATTCCACAGACTGGACTGGACTCGATTGAGGTGGATGTGAGGGTGGTGTCTTGTTCTCTAACAGGGCCCCTGGCCATCCACACCACCTGCCGCCGTGCCGCCCTCCTGCTGCATCTGCATTGGATCCAGATCCTGGCGCACATCACCGAGTCGTCTCAACATGTCGCCCTCCAATTGCCTTGATGGTGCTCTCTTTCAGCTGGCAGCATGGACCAAAAGGGGATCAATTGGGAGTGCGCCAAACACCAGGACCTGATTCTTCATTGGCATTGGACCTCGAGAGACAAGACGACCCGGACAGACACCTCCGAATGGATATGGCCGAAAGGCAGCTCAACTCTCTACCTACCTACTTCCAGCACAAAGGGGTCCCAAGGTTTGAAAAGATGAGGCCGTTGGAATTAGAAGCTTCCCTCGAGCCAAACTCTGTCCGGTGGCCTGATGTCTGCAGTGCGACAGGAATTCATCACGAGGGAGGTTGGGAAACGGTTGTCTGAGAAGCAAAAGCAACCGTCCGAGCGCAATGAAATTGGCACATCGGCAGATGCACCAGGGAAGGGATCGGTGCTACGGGTTAGCAGCAGAAATCTAGACCACGTTTCGATTACGGGCTTCTCTCAAGACAGCCAGTGTCTCCTACCTCCTATCCTTAGCGCTTTCGAACAGGGTGAGCTGTGAGTTGTGAGCTGTCGACGACGACGATGTCAGCACGTCGCGACGATGCGTACGAAGCGTGTCACCTCGTCTGCGAAGCGGGCGGTGGGACCACTAATGGGTGCGAATCTCCCCAACTTGCAGCGGCGCTAAGATAGGCGGGGAGAAATGCCAGTGCAATGCCAGCTGGAACAGACCAGTGTCGACCCCGGGCGGCGGGTGGCAGGAGCTAAGGCACAACAAGCAAGCAAACAGGGCAGGTGCGGTCCAGCTGCGATGCTCCTGCCCGGCCTGCACATCGTCGTCTGAAATTTTTTTGTGTGGTGCACTGGCGCGGAAGGTACCGCTGCATAGGTACCTGCCAATTCAACCGATGACGTACTGCATCGACATTCCCTACCCCCTTCCTTCTTCACCAACGTCACCGTCGCAGTTGCACCACGAGGAAGGAGGCAGGCAGGCAAGGCAGGAAACGAACAGACACTCACACACTGGACGAATTGACTGGACTGGCTGGGACGGTGGTGGACCGGGCAGGACGGGTCCATCCAGATCCAGATCCAGCCCCCAATTGCCCCCAGTCCACTGTGATGGATAGACACTGGCCCTGACACTGACACACGCACACATTCGAAGGGAAGGGGCGGCCAGGACAGGACAGCAGCCAGGACCAAGCTCCGAATGGCAATCGGTGATGCACCTGCACTGGACACTTCTAGACCTTACCTAACCAGGACCTGGGGGCCCCCCTTTGACCTTTCCTTCCAAATTTGCTGCGAAACCGTCCCGTCTGCTGCCACGCGCCTTCGTCTCGCCTCGCCTCGCCTGGCCTCCCTGCCAATTGCTAGCTCCAAATTCGCTTCTGACGCAAATGAGCCTGCTTTGCGCCTGGGCACGCAACCTGCTCCAACCCAATCCAAACCTATAAACACCTCCCGTCACTCAACTTTTGCTCTCTTGCACCCTCTTCTCTCTGATCTTCTCTCCCTCTCATCAATACCTGTCGCTGTTTTTTTTCCCTTTGGTACAGGAACATCAGCCTCACGATTCCAATTATACCCAACCACTCTGTGATACCCCATCCCCCCTCAAACGACAACAATACCACAACAACCACGCCGCTTTTGTTCCTCCCTTTTTTGAACCTACTACCATACCAATAATTATTATACCCCGAAGACCGTCGAATCAGTTTTTTGCGATAGCTACGATACCCAATCATGTCAGCAAACGTTAACAAACCGACCGACCTCAAGCAGAAGGAGGCCGATGTCAACCGCAAGCTCCAGCTCTACGGCATCGTCTCCGCTTTCCAGGCTGGCAAGGTTCCCTCGGTACGTCACTGCCGGCATCTCTTGGCCCACGCGTCTCCGCTGGGCTGATCCCTGGCCCCAACCTTGTTTTGCACCCTGCAGAGTTGCATGACACTGACGTGATCCCCGCGACAGAATGACCAAATCGATGTTGCTCTCAACAGCTTCCTGGCCTCCAAGGCCCTGTCCAGCCCGTCCGAGAAGCTTTCCCCCGAGGGCAAGGCGCTAATCGCCGACACGCGCGATGTTATCCAGCAAGCCAAGTACCTTTTGCTGTCCAAGAACCAGGGCAACCTGCTCCAAGACTTCATTTGGCAGACACAAGAATTCGACCCCAAGGCTGTCGATGTTCCCGGTGCCCCCATCAACAAGGAGGTGGCTCAGCAGCATGGCGACAAGGCCGTCCAGGGTCTGCGCACCCTTGGCACCCTGTTGATCACCAACGGCCAGTTCCGCAAGCTGCGTAAGTTCCATCATCCCTGCCATTGTATAAGCTTATGCTGATTGTCCACAGTCAAGGATGCCAGTGTCCTCCTTCGCGACATGGCTGGTGATGCCGCCACCGAGGCCGCCCAGCGTGTCCGGCCTTCGGGTGAGGCCTTGGACCAGATGGATCGTCCCGCTGAGGACAACACATGGCACGATGCCCCCGACTTCTCCAAGGACAACTTCAAGAAGCAGGCTCAGGGTATCTACAAGGGCTCGCCCGCTGATGATGCTCGCGAGATTATCAACGCCGGCACGCAGTCGGCTCATCCACAGGGCTCCCAGAACCCCCAGGACCTGGCCGCTACCGCTGCCCGTGACCAGGCGCAGGGCACCAACTCGGGTGTCAACGCCCAGGGTGGCATCAATGCTGCTCGTGACGTCCTCCAGAAGAAGTACGATGAGAACGTAGACCAAGAGACTAAGGAGAAGGCTCGCCAGCGTAACGAGGAGTACAAGCGCCGTACCAAGGATTACTTCAACAAGAAGATGCCCCAGGAGCGCAAGGATCAGACCATCTGGCGCTTGAAGAAGATGGTGCTCGAATGCCAGCAGCACCCCGACTACTCTCAGGCCATCGAGACCCTCCTCAACCTTGCCGAGGAGTATGCCGGACACTCGCGATCACTTGCACAGGGCGGAAGTGGTACTGTCAAGGACGCCCGTGCTGGTCTCGCTCAGGCCGAGGCTGACCTCAAGACTCTTATTGAGCGCTTCGCCAACGGCACCTCCACTGACGACCTCTTCGAGTCCATCAACCAGATTTACCGCGATGCCGACCAGGATCGTGAGTTGAAGGACTGGTTCAAGGCCATGGACCGCTACGTCCGTCGCTGCCTTCTGGAGCAGGGCTACATCCTGGACGACGATTCCAACCAGGAGTGGAACCACCTGTACGACCATGGCCGCTACCTCCTGCGCGAGAAGTACCGCGCCCACACCGACCGCGTTCTGGATGAGATTAAGTTCTTGGCCGATCAGTTCGATCAGGATCCCCAGAACAAGCGCTTCGCCGAGTCTGTCCAGAAGCTCTTCACTGATCTGGGTAACGATGAGAACGGCAAGCCCACCTTCAAGCCTCACCTTCTCAAGGATTTGTCTGAGGTCATCATCCCCTCCATCTTCGAGAATGTCGCCTACATCCCCGTTCCCCGCATCGAGTACAGCGACCCTCAGTTCGACGCCGTCATTGAGAACCTCGTCCTCGAGTCTGACAACTTCATGCCCAACGTCTTGGAGATTAACAGCGAGAACTACTTCCTCTGGGGCCGAAAGAAGATCGCCAACAAGCACAAGCAGTCCTTTGAAGTGAAGGTTGCTGGCATTCAGCTTGATCTTCGCGATGTCGCCTACCACGTTAAGCGCAAGCAGGGATTCCCCTCCATCACCGACACTGGTGTTGCAGACATCCTTCTCGCCGGCGACGGCTTCTCTTTCAAGATGAAGCTGTCCTCTGCCGACAAGAAGGACAAGCAGAACTTCTTCAAGATTGACAAGGTCGATGTGGATATCAAGCACATGAGCATCAAGCTGAAGAAGTCCAACCACAAGCTTCTCTTCAGCATCGTCAAGCCCATCATGCTGAAGGTCCTTCGCCCTGCGCTGCAGAAGGCTGTCGAGCAGGCCATCAAGGACCAGGCCACCCAATTGGATGCTCTTCTCTTCCAGGTCAAGCAGGAGGCTGACCGCGCTCTGGACGAGGCTCGCTCCGACCCCGAGAGAACCCCCAACATCTACAACCGTTACGTCACCGCCATCCAGAAGCGTACCCTCCAGGGCAAGCAGAAGGCCGAGGAGGCTGTCGCAGACAAGAAGGTCAACGTCGCCATCACCAAGGAGGAGTCCATCTTCCCCAACATCAACCTTCCTGGAGGCATCAGCACCAAGGCTACCGAGTACAAGGAGCTTGCCCGCAAGGGAGAGCGTTGGGAGAGCCCGGTCTTCTCTATCGGCAAGGCCAGCAAGTCCACCGACATCCCCGAGGCCCCTCGCGTCGAGCGCAAGAAGCACGGTCTGCCCTCTCAGAACGGTGCTGTCAACGGCAATCTTGGCGGCGACCTGAACGGAACCGTGCACACTCTCGGCAGCCACAACCCTGCCGTTGTTAGTGGCTACTAGAGGGACTGAGATAGACCTTTTTCTTTTGTCATGGAGATTGCATCATGAGTAACGGCAAACGAAAAGGCTTATACCCGGATGAGAAGGGAGGTGGTACGATGAGAGCTTAATGACGTGTTTCCTTGGTAATAATTATGTAGTATCACAATTCACTTGTTCCTTGACACATACTCATCAAGTTGTTACTGCGAATGAGTGATATATGTTCATGACTTTGATCGAGCGTACGCGGTGGTATTTGACTTATTTTCTCACATCTTCTCTTGGATTTATACAAACATATGAATCGGCTCACATCATACCGTCGTCCATCCCATGTCAGTCGGCACCAATGCGCCATTGATGGTATTCATCCCATCTGAACACAAAACCAGCACGGTCTTGGCGACCTGTTCCAATGGCGACCATCCAAAGTTCCATCCTTGCTTCGCAGGGTCACCATGGACCGTGTTGAACGTCGACACAACTTTGGCATTGTTAGCGTCTTACTCTCATTCCCTCAACTCATCTTCAGACGAGAGTCAATGTACATACCGACAGCCAAGCCTTCCTTGTGGAAGTCGGCAATGTGGTTCTCGTTGCGCGCCATGTTGGTCTGCATGGGCCCGGGCATGATGGCGAGGCAGCGGATGCCCTTGGGCCCGTAGAAGGCTGCTGTGCTGCGGGTGAGGCCTACGGTTCCGTGTTTGGAGGCTGTGTATGCGACGCCTTTTGCGTTGTTAGTGTTTGTGAGTTTTATCCATTATTGTTTCTCATCTTTTCTTTTCATAATACTTGGGATTTGTTTGGATTCAGGGGTTGATGACGTACCTGCTCTCGCACCGTTGAGACCCGCCGCACTAATTACATTCAGAATCACGCCCCTCTGTCCGCCCTCGCGCGGGTCCTGCTTGAGGAACTGCTGGATCGCCGCCTGGCTGGTGACGAAGGGCCCCGTCATGTTGACGAGGATGTTCTTCTCCCACATGGCCATGTCGCAGTCGCCGGTGGGGTGCATCTTGTCGGAGATGCCGGCGTTGTTGATGAGCACGTCCAGGCGGCGGGAGGGGTCCGCGGAGAGGTAGGTGGTGAAGGCCTCGGCGACGGAGGCCGGGGAGGTGACGTCGCATTTGATGGGGTGCACGCGGGCGCGGTGAGCTTCCGGGACGGCGGCGGGGAGGGACTCCAGGGCGGCCGGGGAGATGTCGAGGGCGAGGACGGTGGCATTGGCGGCGAGGAAGGCGTTTGTGAGGGCGAGGCCGAGGCCGGCGGCGCCGCCTGTTATGGCGACTGTTTTGGAGGTGTAATCTACGGACATTTTGTGTTGTTTACTTCTGAGAGGTTGAGAGGTTGAGGGTGAAGTTGGCCCGGGTTGAGTGTGGATGGAGTTTTGGGTTGGTGGTTGTGAGATGAGATGAGATCAGATGAAAGCCAACAATGAATGAGACCAAATTGAAAGACGTGAGCTTGATATATATGAGTTTCTACGGAGAGCCGATAAAAGCAAGCGTTGAAGATGAGTGAAGTCTGACAGAATGTCGCCGGTTATCGCAAGCCGAAAGCGAAAGCGAGAGCGACGGCACAGGGGGGGAGGAGGAGAGATCCGACGTCCCGCTGCGGGCTGTTCCTTCAGACCCCAGATTTTCCCCGCATTATTAGCTTCAGGGACGATTTGGAGATACAGCGGGAAAGAGGGGACTGTTGCATCTTCATATACGGCGTATTGCTCTTGGCTAACATGCCATTGTTGTTCAAGGTTGAAGAGCTAAGGAGCCGCGAAGCGAGAACGACCCCGATATCTCGGGTGGGGACCCCGCGGGACGCACGGCTGGCATCCGACAAAGACTCCAACTCAGATGAACATGGTGTCTACGTCCAGATGAATATCTAGACTACAGGCATCCCCCTCCTCCTCCCTCTCCTCCTTCTACCGAGCTTGGTCGCTAGCGTCGCTCCTCAGGCCGGCGAACCGCGTCCTCTATGGTTAGAATGGCGGCCCGTGGTGGCCTCGAGGTCTTTCTCGGCACCTTCCTTTTCGCTCAGAGGGCCTGATAGGAGGGCTCCTCCGCCGGAGCGGGTTGAGGAGTCTGCGAGGGTGGCTGCGCGGTCCGGGGAGCCGATGAGGAATGTGAAGAAGGCCCCAAGGGTGATGGCCACGCCGGTGATTGCGTAGACTGTGCCTCTAAAAGTGCGGCGGACGTGTCAATGGTGTCGGGCGGGACATGGGATGGAGGAAACACGGGAGGGGAGGGGAAAGAAGAGTTCTGCGACTTACCGGTTCCTGACCTCATCCGGACGGGTGGGGACTTTTTATTCGGCGGACCCGGCCGGGGGAGGCTGGTCCCCGCCGTAATATGACCGGGTGTCCCGTGGGGGCTCGTTAGCTGCATAGGTTCGCCGGGGGGCGTACTGGACAGGCCTAGGGATGCGCTGCCGCAAGGCGGCCTGGAGTCTTGGGGATCGTAGGGGTGACATTGTTGGTTTGAGTCTCGACTACGGGGAGGAAAGGGGAAATAAAAGATTGTGCGGTAATTCATCAAGTGTGTAAACGCTTCCATGCGTCTTTCTTTTTAATGCCCTGCGTTTCTTTTAACGGCCCGAGCCATCCGCTTCACGATTACCGTTTAGTGATGTGTTGCTGATGAAGATGCCCCAGAGAGTCTCCGAAGGCAGGATGATGATGCACAATGAAGTGGAGAAGCGGAGTATCAGTCCTGCTCGTGGTGCGATCGCTTTCCCACGCCACACAGAACTTACCCTTACTTCAAAGTCGGATGCAGATGACTGATCCCCGAACCTTGTACTCCATGAGACGGGTCAAATTGATGTGGACAACCGCAGACCCAGCTGTTGGCCTCATCTGATTATGGTAACCGCCCTAAAGGCTCGCACCGGTCTTTTTTCAACATATGGGCACTGTGAGTCCAGTCACAGAAACTATCAAGTGATACACCCTCTTGAATCCTCCATCCTTTTCAGCCGCTTTTCTTTTCCACCCTCTCTCCGGTACATCACCTGTTCCGCAGCGCCGCGTGGATCCCGTTGTACGTCCAGTTCAGCCTCATCCTGTCCAGCTGCGCCTGCGCCGACATGTCCGTCACGTGCCTCGAGTTCTGCTGCACCTGCGACGCCCGCGGCCGCCTCACCGAGTCCCAGGTCTGCAGCGCTCCAAACACGTTGCTCGCGTCCACGTTGTCATGCAGCAACAGCCGCAGGCCCTCCGCGTCTTCGATAGCCTGCGTCGCGCCCTGGCCCTGGAACGGCGTCATGGGGTGCGCTGCGTCGCCAATGATGACGGCGCGCCCGCCGACGTAGTGCGTCAGCGGGTTGGCGTCTTTGACTTTGTATAGTCTCACGTCGTCGACGGTACTTTTCTCGGTCTTCAGTCACGCTCGGGTTTCAGACCTAGGGGAGTTACTCACCGCATGAGGTTCAGCATCCACGGCGCAAAGTCTCGGAAGTTGTCCAGCAGCTCTTCGCGGTTGCCCTCGGCGCTCCAGGACGTCTCGCTCTCCTGGGATAACACGGAGTCCGGCACCCGCGCGACGACGTTGAGCATCGTGTTGTTCCGGCACGGGTAGAAGATGATGTTGCGGTGCAGATCGTCGTCGGCGGTCATGAGGTTGAGAAACCCGCCGGTCCGCGGGTCGATCGCTTCCGGCAGCCCGTCGAGAGTCTCCTTCGCCTTGTCCAGCGGGTACACGAACCGGTAAAGCGACGCGCCGCTGGAAATCATCTCCGGCTCGGTGCCGAGGATCGCCTCCCGAACGATGGAGTGAATTCCATCAGCACCTGCAAATTCATCAACATCTCACCTCCTTTCATCAACCGCAACACAGACGATCTCACCAACAATAACATCAGCCTCAACAACCTCCCCGCTGCCCAGCGTCACCCTCCCATGCTCCACATCCACCTCCGTCACCTGCACCCCCTGCACCACCCGCGCCGGCGGTCCCGAGATGCCCAGCTTCGCCGCGTCCCCAGTCGCCAGCCTCGCCAGCTCGTCCTTGAGGTCCTGGCGGTGCATCAGCAGCCACTCGCTGCCGAACGGCTCCGTCACGCCCGTGATCTCCCGCAGCAGGTTGCCCTCCTTGTCGTACGTGCGCGTGCCCGCGCACACGGTCGCCTTCACGGCATCCGCGCGGAACTGGAACGCCTTCTTGAGCATCTTGCTGCCGTTGGGTCCGAGCCCGATGCCCGCGCCGCGTTCGGGCGCGTCGGGCGCGTTGAGGTCGTAGACGACCACGTCGTGCTTCTGGCGCAGGACGGCTGCGGCGGCGAGGCCGGCGATGCCGCCGCCCACGACGGCGATGCGGAGCTTCGCCCCGTTGGCGGTGGTGCTGCTGCTCATCTTCTCGGCTGCGGCTGTGTTGGGTGTGATCCAGCGTCAGGTGCGTAGTCGCTGCCTTCAGCCCTTCGCTTGCGTCGGCTGGAGATGAGAAGAAGGCCGAGTGCTGATGAGATGTAGTCAGAATCGGCTATGGCGGCTGCCTCCCCATGGTGAGGAGTCCCCCGCATGACTGGGAGAATTGGTATTTCTGGTGCGACATCAAACGAAATTCTAAACATAGACGGGTGCGGTTTACGCTGATGTCCCGCAAAGCTTAAAACCTAAATCTGGCTGCTGGTTTGGCGGAACTGACGAATGAAGCATCCCAGATGTGACGGGACATTCATGCGCGAGGGTATGGGACGGGGGTGGGCTGGGTTTTGGTCCAAACATTTGGTGATGTCAACGAGTCCGAGCGGTTGGCGGGCCGGGTCTCGTGGTGATGGCTTCCGGGACCGGGGACATGCTTCCTGTGACCCGCTCCGCTGGAGTCCGACCCGGATCGGAAGGGGGTCCGCTTTTGCTATCATGTTCCGGTGAGATTTTGAAGAGTCAGCATGATTTGGTCAGCCACAGCTCGTTCCAGTGTTTTCGTTTGCATCCTCCATTAAGATATCCATAGCATCGGGATAACTTTGTGGCTGCATATGCAACAGCGGCATTCCCGTGCGGGAAGCCCGCCTCGGAAGCGCCCCGCAGCTCGGCCGCCGTCGGACGCCGGGCGGTGCAGGCCTGCAGATAAAACACGAGCAGCTTAATCAGACCTCACTCCGCTCCGCTCCGCAAGCCCATCCGGGACAATTGCACACCGAGATTGGTAAGGCCGTATCGTATCGGCACCACCTGGTTCGACGCCACCGAGGGGCGCATCGTCCGAGACATTGTCGCGTCATCAGGCTTTCTTTATCAAGTATTGCTAGCGCAACTCCGAGGTTACTTCCAGCATTCCATCGGAGACCTTCTCTCATCACACGCGACCATTCAGACCTCATTGTTTCTCTTCGACCACACAATCGATTCGCCTTGCTCCCATTGTTTCGTGTGACCTAAGCACTCTCGCCCTCTGCAGCCATGTCGAGAGCTTTGTTGATCTGCGGTGCCACCGGCAAGCAGGGCGGCGCCGTGATCGACCACCTCCTCCGGCAAAAGGCCGACTTTGAGATCCTCGCCGTGACGCGGTACGCCGAGTCCGTCTCGGCGCAGCGCCTGCTGAAGAAGTCGAAGCAGATCAGGATCGTGCAGGGCAACATGGCCGACCCAACGGCGCTCTTCAAGGCGGCAAGGGAGGCCACGACGAACCCGATCTGGGGCGTCTTCAGTGTCCAGGTGAGTGCAAAGCATAGCCCGCGTCTAGAATTCTGTTTCACTGACCAGTGTCTAGACCCCGATGGGCATGGACCAAGGCGGCGGCGGCGAGCTGGGCCAGGGCAAGGCTCTCGTGGACGCGGCGCTCGCCAACAACGTCTCCTTCTTCGTCTACGCCTCCGTGGACCGGCACGGCGAGGACTCGCTCACCAGCCCGACCAACATCCCGCACTTCATCCACAAGCACCAGATCGAGCAGCACCTCATCGCCAAATCCAAGGGCTCCAACATGGAGTGGGCGATCCTGCGCCCCGTGGCCTTCATGGACAACTTCACGGACAACTTCCCCGGCCGCGTCTTCGTCACCGCGTGGGAGATGGCGCTGCGCGGCAAGCCGCTGCAGCTCATCGCGACGACGGACATTGGCTTCTTTGGCGCGCAAGCGTTTGTGAAGCCGGAGGAGTACAAGGGGCGGGGCATCTCGCTGGCGGGAGATGAGCTGACGTTTGAGCAGATGGTGGGCGTGTTTGAGCGGACCACGGGCAGGCGGCCGGCGGGAAGCTGGAAGGTGCTGACGTGGCTGTTCATGACGCTCGTGAAGGACTTTGGGTTGATGTTTAAGTGGTTTCACGACGTGGGGTACGCGGCTGATACTTCGAAGTTGAAGAAGGAGTATGCGGGGCTGCAGGACCTGGAGACGTGGTTGAGGACGGAGAGCGAGTTTAAAAAGTATATCAAATGAGGCGGCGGGGGTGATTTGGTGTGGCTATTTCTTTTCTGTTGATCCGATCGGACCTGAGTTTAATTGAAGACATTCACATTTCATGTTGTTTTGTCCTTCTCATTCAGAACGGACTCGAATGATGCTAGTGACATTTTGCCTCTGCGTAATCCACGAGATTACGACTTGCTCCCACTGATGCCCATATCATATCGAATACCGGGGATATTGATTTTCCATGACGAGTTCTATATAAGACAGGACATGCATTTCAAATTACGCACAGACGCCCGGTACGATATCCGCCCGTCGCCGTTGCAGACACGGAGCTGGGTGGGTCCAAGCCGGCGCACATTGGTCATGTCGGCCTCCGATGAACACCGACGTCAACTTATCGGCCCGCCCGGTCTCAGACTAAGGTATCTAACTCTCAAGCTATGAGTGGCAATTGGGCTCAAACTCCGCAAAGACGTCGCCAAGATTCTTCTGGCTCCGCTGCGCTTATGACAACGCATACTGACCGGTTCAAGTCGTAGAGACATCATTACATCCATCGAAGGTCTTGACTCAGGTTTCCTCCACTTCGATGAGTTTCTAACGCTCCGCCAACGCGTTTACGTGACGCCGTCGTCTGCTGCCTGGGCCTAGAGACATCTCGTAAGCGAAGTGATGCATCTTTCCAGTCATGCAATTGGCATATAAAACCAAACGGTGCTGGACCTATTGCTGTTCTTAAGCATCTCACAATACTCTCACCAACATCAGCATCAAACACGAACATCAACTCAAACATCGCTCAACATGTCGAAGGTTCTCACCGTCTTCGGAGCCACTGGAAACCAGGGCGGCTCCGTCATCAAGGCAGTCCTCGCAGACCCCGTTCTCTCCAAAGAATTCAAAATCAGGGGCGTCACCCGTGATGTCTCCAAGCCCGCCGCGCAAGCTTTGGCTGCCAAGGGTGTCGAAGTAGTCGCTGTAGGTCATTCTCCCCGGAATTATTTTTGGCCTGCTCCCTAACAACGTTCTAGGCGGACATGTCCTCAAAGCCGTCCCTCGCCGACGCCATCAAGGGCTCCGACACCGTCTTCCTCGTCACCACGCCCGACTTCATGTCCGGCGGCGGCACCCAGGAGCAGGTCCACGGCAAGAACGTTGCCGACGTCGCTGCGAAGGCTGTCGTCAAGCATCTGATCTACTCGTCTTTGCTCCACGTTACGGACACGACCAATGGCCGCCTCAAGCACGTCGTCCACTTTGACGACAAGGCAGAGGTCGAGCGCTACATCCGCGCCAAGGGTGTCCCGAGCACCTTTGTTCTGCCGGGGTATTTTATGAGCAACTTTACTGCGCTGCAGATGATCCGAAAGGGCGAGGATGGGGTTTACAACTTGACGTACCCCGTTGGTGATGGGGCCAAGTTCCCGCTCATCGACACTGAGTCTGACGTTGGTAAGCTTTTGCACTCAGACAGGCTTGATTGTTGTGCAACAGATAGCTGACAAGTGACGAATGTTCCAGGCACGTTCGTCGTCGCCGCCATGCGCAACCGCGACTCGGTCCTCGGGAAGCAGATTCTTGCTGCGGCGGACTACTACACCCCGTCGCGCATCGTCTCCGAGTTCCAGGAGGTTACCGGAAAGACGGCTCGCTTCGTCCAGATTGATGCTGAGACGTACAAGGGCTTCTTTCCTGCTCCCATGGCTGACGAGATGTTGGAGAACCATTTGTTCATTGGGGAGCCCGGATACTACGCTGGCAAGGATCTGAAGGAAAGTCTGGATCTGGTCAGCGGTGTTGGATTGAATCCTACGTCCTGGAAGGAGTTTTTGAAAGCGAACAAGGCTGCTTTCCAGTAGACACAATGACTTCTATATAGGCAAGTTGTTGGTAACAAAGAATCTCAAAATCACAGAATAAAGTTCATTGATAGGAGGCCTCCTTTCTTTCGTAGTTCTCCTTTACTTCTCCCAACCGCCAAACGTTGGGAAGCCTCCCGCAGCCACTGCCACCCCCTCCTGTTGGCTCAGTGACATTCCGAGTCGCCTCAGGAGCTGCTAAATATACGCACAGAGCTTGGGCCCCAGACGTGGTGGCTTCAGAAGGAAGTCTGATGATCCGCGCTATCGCGGTTTTAGTCTGGCAAACAGTCTTCCTTCCATCGCGAGTCCTGACCACGCCCAATCAGGTATAGTGGCCGGTGAAGCTAGCAACAAGTCGTCGCCGATGCGCATCTTAGTCTGTCTGAAGTTCTCATGATCCAATCAAGCCACTGCATATCCTTCGAAAGGGTGCCGTGTGCTAAGAGTCGCGCAAAGACAATGCTACTCCTTCATTTCAGCTTTTTTCGGCCGAGGTGGGCATAGGGCTGTGTTGAAACCAGCTGCAAAACATGCCCCGATTGAGCATCCCACCACCCAGGCAGAATAACAAATGGGATCCAGCCACATCAATGCTTCAACTTACTTATTCCAACTTTTCTTTTTTTTCCCTCCTTTTTTTCGCTTCTTGAAAATTTTCAGTCGTCTTTCGCGTTTGTGAACTGTCATTTCTGATCAAACCTTCTCCATCCCTCGACTATCTAAGACTGTGTCTCAACTCCACGATAGATTCGGCTCCCGGCTCCCCACGATGTATCGCGAAATCCTCAGGCTGGCGTACCTGGCCGCGATCGCCTCCGCACAGTGCTACCTGCCCAACGGCACCAACCGGGCGAGCACCTCCGACGTGGGGAAGAACACGTACAAGCCTTGCGACGGCAACGGGCACAGCATGTGCTGCAACACGTACACGGGCGACGTATGTCGGGACGGGTTCTGCTGGAACGAAAGCGGGAGGGTGCTGTGGCGCGAGAGCTGCACCGATCCGACGTGGCAGTCGCCAAAGTGCCTGAAGCTGTGCATCGACAGCTCAATCAGTAAGGAACCAGGTCTCATGGGTTGGGGAGCGGCAGCTGACGGTGCGTTTCTAGAAGTGGATGCGAACAGGACTCAGGCGCAGACGGATATCGTGGTGACGCAGTGCGCCGACGGGACATATTGTTGTGGGAACGCCGATCCGGCGAGGAAATGCTGCCAGGCGGGGAAGGGTGTGCGCGTCGTTAATGGCCAGGTGGTCGCGTCATCATCGACAACATCGTCTGCTACAGCGTCGGCGACGACATCAGCTTCAACTGCGGACTCGTCGACTTCAGTCGAGACAACGACTGCCGATACATCTGCGGATACATCCGACTCCAGCCAGGATAGCAACCGAGCTGCTATCATAGGAGGTGCTGTAGGCGGGACGGTGGGAGCGCTGCTGCTTATCGGAGGCATCGTGGCGTTCATGTTGCATAGGAGGAAGCAGAAGACTGTCACTGAGGCGACTCATCTTGGTCTTGTTGGTGGTTCTGGGTCAAATGCGTCTGTCACCGGGGCAGGCGATGGTGTTTACTTCAAGGAAATGTCGGCGGACCAGCAGCGATTTGAGTTGTATGGTGGAACACCACCGGTAACTCCTGCTCCCTACCTTAGGTAAACGGGGGAGCATTTGTATATCAAAGTTTCAGATATTGCGTCTATTCATTCATTAAAGCGAAGTTGAACATTCATATCATGATGATGGGGCAGAGGGTGTGGCTGGGAACAAGATTCACATGAGTACCTTAGGTAGGTACTTCAGGTCTGCACCTTCCTCTTGTTACATCTGGTGTTGACAAAAAGTTGTATTCTCTGGCGCTAAGAACTCACCTTTACCTGGCCCTCCCAGCTGTGTGAAAAACTTCTTTCCATTAACCCGCCTGCCTCTCTCAGTTCCTTTGGCAGGACAGCCGCCTGAGGCAAGGAAAGCAACGCGTTTGCCCACAACAAAGATTTTCTTTCCCTGTCAACAAGCACCACGATCCATCTTCACACACGACCGGACCAGCGTCAGACACCAGTCAAGATGGTCAAGCTCACGGAGCTTCCGTGTGAGATCATCACAAGCATCTTGGAGCAATGCAGTGCGCGCAACATTTTCACTGCTGTCCAGTCATGCCGATATATTCGCTACTGCTTCCTACAACACCCCATCCTTGCAGGCCGAGTCATCCTGCGACAGATTCCCGAACGACTGCTTCCGTATGCAGTTGTAGCGCTGCATGCTGATCACTCGCCGATCCCCCGAACGGAGCCAATGGTCCAGAACCTCATCAATTGCCTCTGGCCCAATTTCACGGCCACTGCAATTTCCGACGTCGAACGAATGAGCCTCGGTCGTCTCCTCAAAATGGAGGACTTGCATAACATCATCCACTCCATGGCACTTGACTATGCTAATGAGGCCTGGGACTTCATACAGACCACCAACATGCGCGTCCCGAGTCCTGGCACCCTTCAGCTGTCGCAAAATGAGTACCTTCGTTTCTGCCGGGCTTTCTACCGCGTGGAAATCTTCCATTCTGTCGAACGCCCCGGACCTGTTGGGCCTTTTCGGCCTCGTGCCTGGAATGAGGGCGAAATTTACCTCGACCCTCTCCCTTCATGTGATCGAGAACAGATTGGATGCGTCCTGGAGTATCAGGAGAGACTCTTCCTCAACAGTGAGTCGCTATTGAATGCGTTATCATTACCAGAACTGACGGTTCTTCGTCAGGCGTACGGGAGGTCCTTGCACACGATGTTGCGATGGGTCACATTGGAGTCAACTACGTGAGGCCCCAGTATGACAATGTTATTCAGAACTGGGTAAGTGCCTTCCATCATCAGGACTTATCGACTTACCCATACCTTGTCATCCAACTATCTTTCTGGTGAGATTCTGGTGACTTGGACGTCAGCTAACGTCCTTTCTCAGTTGGCCCAAGGATTGCGTTTCCTCGTCAAGATTACCAGCGACCTGTCATACGACGAGAAGAAGAATCTTCTGTACTCCAAGTACGGCCCCGGCGACTTGATCCACCTCTGGAAATCACTTGATATGTCCCGGACCTGGCTGGATACAGATCGGCAACCGGCGGACGACCCCTGGGTACACAATGAGGACGGATCCCTTGTTCACCTCGACAAAGACGCTGTCGATGCAATGGACCTAGACCTCGGTCCCCGGGAGGCCTTCGCGCGTTCAATTGCAGGCCCGACGCCGATCGAGGATCTGGGCTATTATGGCTCTCGAGACCGCGCCTACGTACTGTGGGACATGGACCGTCTCCTCCAGCTTGAGGCGGGTTGGGCGTGGACGGTGCCCACTCGCTCCTCGGATAGATTCTACATCTTCGTGGATGAACCAAGGCCCATTCGCGTGCCGGCTAAGTATCAGGGGGTGGGAGCGGAAAAGGATTTGGAGAAGTCTATTCAGGCTCGCAAGGAAATCTAGGACAAGGGAGGCTCCGGCTACTGGAGAGTCGACGATCTCAGCAAGATCATGTGGGCTGGAGAGAGATGGGTTCCTCACGCATACCCCGAATACTGATGAATGGAACGAATGGGAGTTTGGAATCGGGGAAGGTATCGCCAATTTGGTGTAGAAGCTGTTAGCGTATCATCGAGCCCATCGATAGCTGCCTTACATGAACTAGCCGCAGTACATTTTTGATCAGATATGCGAGACCCATTCGTATCTCAGGAGTTCATTCGAAAAGCCTGAAGAAACTAATCGAACTACGAACAACAGGGAGGATGACAGAAGCGGACGATGGCAATGGCAGGAGGCACCCGGGGCAACCTGGAAAAACCCAAAGATCGTGAGGTCTGTTGAGTCGACAAGTAATTGATCAACCGTGACGTTTCTAACCACCCTCCGCGTCTTTACTGGGTCATTATTCTTTTTTCGCCCGTCATCTTTTTCGTGGCCATCGTCGTTCTTGCCTCTTGGGTGGGTTCGCACCTGCCTCAAGCAACCGCCAGATTTTCACCTTTGCTTTGGACTTGGGGCCGACCCATCTCGAGCTTTTCTTCCCCCTTCTCCCACTTCGACCACAGAACGTTTGGAATCTCTTTCCTGCCATCTACAAGCAGCGACACCTTTTCGCTCAGGAGAGATATTCTACCCTCAACATCGCGAAAGACTCTATTGTCATTTGGCAGTTATTCCCTCTTCGCTACAAGACGACGACGACGACGAGAGGCAACGCTGATCGTTCTTTCGAGACTCGCACCTTCGCCTTCGACGCGAGTCTTGTGTGATTGAACAGGTATCTTCCTCATCCCCACGCAAATCACGCGAAGGTCTTTCCTACTTGCGGGCGTTTGGATAGCGATTCCAAGTAAACGACAGCACAAACAGCCCTTCGGTCAGTTATTCGTTCGTATTCTTCCCCTTCACAACTGACAATACCAGAGGCGACGGATAGATACAGATGTGCCTGTCGGTATCGCTAGACTTTCACCTCCTGTTCGATCTTGCGTTCTGCCCGTCTTGAGAACCCCCCGCCGCAACCAGGCAAACCTCTTTCCTACTCGCAATCGCAAGGCTTTCTGGGCTGCGATTTCGATTCTGCGACGGAACCCACACTCAGACATCCATCTGTTACCCTTCACTTGCGACGACAGCAACACTGTCAGTTACGAAAAGACCACCCAGTTCACTGTCAGTCATCCGTCTGGTATCCCTCCCTCTCGCCACTGACAATATTAGCGACGATTACCAAAAAGCTACGTTCTCTTCGACGACAAGATGGCTTCCATTACCGACTTGCCTCGAGAGCTCATCGGCGCAATCGTGGCCGAGGTCAGCACACTTCAGGATCTCGACAACCTGATGAGAGCCTCGCGTTACTTCCTCCAAGCCGTCCACGCGTGGCCAGCCATCCCCCACATAGTCCTGCGCCGCCAACTCCTCATGGAACTCCCTTCGGGCCTCATGGCCTGCGCGATAGGTATCGTTGAAGCCGGCAACTTGCCTCGCCCACGATCGTCCAAGCATGCCGGCAGGGCCATGTCGAGGGTCCTCTATCAAGTGGCCCACGACCCTGGTCACAGCTTGAACCTGGTCTCAACTCTTTGCTTCAAGTCTCTCATCAAGATAAGGGACATGCACAAAACTATCCTGAGTTTAGCAAACGCAATGGCACAAGATGCTTGGAAAATGCTCCGAGATGTGGATGGAGTGGTTTCAGGAGACTTGGTTCTATCGGGACGAGAGCAACATCGAATCACCAAAGCTATCTACGAAACGGAACTACTTTCGACGGTTTTTGGCGACGAGAGCTGGGAAACAGCAGACTTGGACGTCTTTTACAGTGCAGACGGAGATATTTATCTCGCGACTAAGAGCTCTTGGGAAATCGAGGCCATTGGCTGCGTCTTGGACTTCTTTGAGAAGAGACTGTTTGAGGGTAGGTGTTGACTCCAAAAGCTTTTCACCAAAGACACAACTGCTAACAGCACGCTAATTGTGGACAGTTGCGCTTGACGTCTTCACTCACGATGTTGAATTTGGCTGGTCCAGTTTTGATTACGTACGTCGGGGAAGCGATAACGCAGACACGATGATGTTGGTGAGTCTCCAGCTTGCGCGCTGATGTGTTTGTTCAGCCCATCTTACAAAGGCATTCAACTAGGTCTCAGGTGGTGTGAACTTTGTTCACCAGCTAATTCAGGAACCTTCATACCAAAAAAAGCGCGACATGCTTTGGACCAAGCATAATGACTCAGATGCAGTGCTGATGAGTATCATGCTTGCGGAGTTCTCCCGCTCCCCCCTCCGACAACCCAGTTCACAGCAGCTGGCGATCTGGTACAGAGAGGAATACCCGCAGGCTGGAGAGGATCTTGACGACAAAGGCCCTCAAATGGCCTTTGATCAGACTCTGCTGGGGCAGCCTCCATTCTTTCACCCAATCTACGCAGGACAGAGGGAGAGGGGCTATGTCTTTTGGGACGCCAACCGCCTCATGGCAAACAATCACAAACTCCTCAACCTCGTCAAGAGAACCCTGCCTACCACCAATCAGACCTGCACCTGACTTCGCACGGTATGGTTTATCAGGATAATACAGCAGCTCGTCTCTTGGCGATGGAAGCGAGCTGGGACGAGCGCGCCGCCATTTACGAGGAAGGCGGCAGAGGCTTCTTGAAAGATGGGGACTATAACGGCATCGAGTGGACAGGAGAAAAGATGAAGAATTCACATGGAGAGCAAGACGAAACCAGCGACGAAGATAGCGATGACGATGAGTAGGGACGGCAGGCAGGGAGGTCAGTGGCGGCTGAAGATGAACCAATACCCTCTTGGAGAATGATGCATCCCATGGTAGACCGGAATGAGCGCATCTGACCGCCGTGATAATTTCACGGTTATTGTAGGATAATTATCGCGCAGACAATTGATTCGCACACATATCGGCATGCTTTCGGACGCTTCGCTTGCAATATCATCTCGTGAACATGGAGGCTGACGTGGAGCGACACAGAACAACCATCCGCATTTCATCTCGCGACCGGGCCAAAACATCACCATATTATCATATGTCGTCAAACCCCCAGTGCATCATCACATGTATTCCCCAACATCGCTTCTGTAGGCTTAGTCATCACTGGCTCGATGATGCACGCGGTTCTTCTTAACCGGATGAGGGGGAAGATCTGAGGGCGTATCAACCCCGCGCCAGCCGGCGCTGGCGGCAAAGCCAAGAGGGCATCTCCTCATTCCTTCACCTCACCTGATTTGAAATCCACGTCATCACATAGGCCATCTTCAAATTCATGTCCCCAAAAACCGCGATGTCTTCAACGCAATCCGAGCGCGCGATGGAGGTGGCCCTCGCCATCCCGGAGCTGCTCGAGTCCATCCTGGTGCACCTGGACATGACCACGCTGCTCGTGTCTGCATCGCGCGTTAGCAAGTCGTGGAAGACGCTGATGGACGCCTCGCCGGCGATTCAGCAGGCGCTCTTCTTCAAACCGGTGGTGGTGGCCGCTGCGCCGTCGCGGGATCCTGACCATGATCTCGACGACGACGACAAGGGGGCTGGTGGAGAACAAAGAGATGCTGCTGCTGGGACGAGTTGCAAGCGCGCCCGCCCGGTGATCAACCCGCTGCTGGCGAAAAAGTTCGACAAGTGCTTCTTCGACTTTGGGCAGACGTACTCGCTCCACCGGCGGGCGAACTCCTTCTACGAGATGCCGTGGTCGCGACAGCCGATCCGCGCGGTACAGGAGATCTGGGGAGGTTGGAGCCAGCTAAGACCCGCCGACCTCGACGCTGAGACGGAGCAGTCCGAGAAGGAGTGCCGTCGGCGATTCACGCGTCGGGGCGCAAGCTGGCGGCGGATGCTCGTCTCGCAGCCGCCGCCGCCGTCGCTGGGTTACATCAAGTTTGACATCTCGGAGATGCCCACCGAGGGCCACAGGGTCTGGAGCGCGGCCTTGAAACCAGGATCCGACGAAGCTGGGCTGCGCATGGGCCAGCTGTTTGATCTCGTCCAGGACGAAGTCGGGCACCACGGGCGGCACTCGTTGTGGTTCCGCGTGCTCTGGGGCAAGCCGACGAGCAGCTTCGCGATCTCGCGCGTGAAGGAGACGTTTGAGTGGTTGATGGCGGAGACGCACGTCGTGGTGGAGCTCATGCACGCGGACGACACGTCGCTGCCGAACCACCCGCAGGACCCGGCTGACGTGAGCGTGTTCGACGAGGCGTTCCGGTGTGACGAGCACACCGAGGTGAAGGTCCACACCGAGGAGGCGTTGGTATATCCCCCTGAGTTCCCCGAGTTCGACGGCCGCTTTGTCATTTGGCACTGGAAGCTGCTGGAGCACGAGCGCAATTCGGGCTAGGATTGCTGGTCTGGCTGAGCGTGGAAGTAATTGCGGTCTCGGGAAGTGGGGTTGCCAGGGGTGGTTCTCGGGCATTGTTTCCGTGGATCTTCGAACTTTCGAGACCCCTTCCATCTTGGCGACTGAAGACAATTTGTACTTTGTTTTTCTTTGAGTTTGTTGGTATGGATTCGGGGGACTACGAGGTTGTTACTGCAGTGTTGGTTACGTTTCAAACATTGTCATTTTACGGCATGGCGAGCATGCGACGTCTACAGTGTATTTTACTAGCAGCTATGTCTGGGTTATAGGGGACGCGTGGCACTCGTGGCTGAGAGCTATTCGATCATGTGTGTAAAGTACAAGGCAAGGATAATGATTAAGTTGTGATGATCAGTCTCTTGGTGTTTTTAAGAGATCCTCTCTAACAAGCAAATGCCCAGGATAACCATTTTTCCTGTTGCTTTGTTGATGGGCCTAGTGTAGTGAGAGGCCTATCACGGGCGACATCAGACGATTACTGTGGCTCCTCACGATGTCTAGCCCCTGAACACATAATTTGACTCATGTGGTGGGTTTGCTTGTGGCTACCAGTCCAATGGTTGTTTCAATATTTCTTTCATGCATTAAATCCGCTTTTGCCTAGTTCACATAGCCCCGTTACAGAATCAGCCTTAACCGACCCTACTTGCGCGCTCCATATCTTCCCCAAATTACCCCTTGATTGCGACCTTGGTCCCAAAATCGTGGTAGGCCTCGTCCTGTAAGCCGTGTCGTTCCGCGTATCTCCTCGTCCCACCCGCTCGTGTAAGTGGGTGCGCTTAGCAGGTCCAGACGTAGGTGCACTTGGTTCCCACGGGGGTGCAGCTGGTCTTTCCCTGGTTGCCCTCGCCGGAGAAGTGTCCGTTGTTGTTGCCGCAGACGAGCTGAGGGCTGGTGTACTGGGTGTCGACATCGCAGGTCAGGTCGCTCTTGCAGGTTCCAGAGAGGTTCCAGGTGTCGGCGGCCAGAGCCAGAGGGGCCAAGAGAGCGATGACGGTAGCGAACTGCATTTTTGCTGTTGTTGATGTGTAGAGTTGCGTTGAAAGATTGATAGTTTCTGGAACGAGGGACTGGAGTTAAGATGCGCTGTCGATGATGGTCATTTCAAACCAAGAGCCGTTCGAGGCCAGCAGTATTTATAAATATTTCCTCTTTCACCAATTCTTACACATCCATCCTATGCCCCTTGATGTCGTATCAGTCAGCGGCCTCGAGGCATACAGTATGTATCAAGGCGGTCTGGGGGCTATCTGGGGCTTTACCGAGCCTGACTCGTAGACGTAGATCATAACTTGCTCTGTAGTCGGAAGGCCCTGTCTGTACGTTTGTATTCAAAAGTGGCAAGTCGAACGGCTCCTAAAGCCGTTACCGAGTCATGGGATGGAGTCGTCTAATAAGGGAGTCGGTCGTGGGCCGACGGGATACTTTGTGGGCACCTCGTTTTGCTCACTGTGCTGTTAGACTTATCAGCTATTCGGGGCGAGGCGGTGCCTTGTCTCCGTAGCAGCAGACGGAGTAGTCCGGAGGACGGAATGCGACAGCTTCGTACAACCTCTTATTGCGATGCGACAACTTCGTACAATCGGACTGAAGGTTTTCCCGAAACTAGCATTTCTTGAATTAATAGCATTTGTACGAGGAAAAGATAGATTCGCAAATAATATATTGTTCTCGGCAATGGGAGTCCTGGTTAGATATTTCACCTGAGTTGCTCGCAAGATAGGAGACAGTTGTTACGACTGTTACGACCCGACAGGCATGACACGTTGGAACAGCCCCGCCTGGCATCTCGGCGGCTAACGCAGAACATATGTAAGCAGTAACACAGGTGTAACCAGGAACCATCGGGAAAGGAAGAACTATGGTACAGGTCACGTGA